GATATGTCCTAAAACCATCAGAGATGTTAATTATACCGTGATATAAATTTGAGCTATACCACTCGCTACTACGAAGGCGGTTCCCTTCCAGTTTTGTCAATCTTACACAAAAGTTCTACAAACATTATTGAAAAAAACTACATAGTTCAACTGAGGGACCTCCAAAACATGATTCTTCCATCACATCACTCCAAAGACCCCCTTTTTGCCCTACTTATGATGATCGTACGTATGCCAACATGAGGATGATGATGAACATGAAACATGATGATAGACAAAAGGAGTTTGATGATGAATGTACAGACTGGACCCCGTTGTCCTGGCCTGCTGCATCAGCATGCCCCTTTCCCCTGGCCCAGTTAAGGCCTGCTTTCTGCAAGCTGGCCTGTTCCTGGCCACCGGCAGCGTCCTCGACTGCCGCTTTTTTCTGATTACCCAACATTTCTTTTCTCTTTTCTGCTGCCAGTGCTTCCTGCCAGATCGCTTTAATATCCCTCCTGATGACTGTTCCTATAATAATGCAGTTGCCTTTTTTATCGATAATGTGTCACAGAATCCCTCTTTGTCGTTATTGAACAGCGCTCGGAACAGAATGGCATTTACCGTGGGGAAATAAGGGATCGATAGCCAACAGCAAATTAAGTAATAGCATTTTTGTGTCAATGCATAATACAGGTTGGTTAACAGCGCCCGGATCAGCATGGCTCCACATCATAGCGCGAGCAGATCAATCCAAACACAAAGGCGGCGTCTCTCTTGGACAACATAATTGGCTGTCTTACAGACGGAAGTGTGAATGGACAATATCAAAGACCTCCACAGACATTCAGCTCATGTTGTGGCAGTCTAGGAGCAGGATCTTTTGGAAAGAACTGGAATTTGCTGGATCACCTCTGTGATAATATGCTGTAAGGATGATAACATTTGCACAAACTCAATCTTTTTCTCTCAAATATGATACTTGTGAGAAAACTTAATTCATACACATAGGAATGGAAACACAGTTAACCTTTACATTTTATTCTCAAAATGAATAGCAACGTTTGGGCATTACTGGTTGAAATGTGCACGAGTTGCAAAGAACGAGGTTAAAATAAGAACCATTTCATTTCATTTACTATATAAACCTTGATACAGTAAACGACATAGTAGATATAGTATATCATATGTAGCATAGTATAGTATCGCATAGACACCTGCTCATCCAGTGTTTCTTTTGACATCAAGGGTGTCAAGGAGAATGCTACCCATTTACCAAAATGGTTTTGATGTAAAAAAGTTAATTATAGAAAACCGTACTGATGCAATGTCTACAATGCAATCATAGCCATTTTATTTGTTATGCAAAATAACCAGTGAACCTACACGTCTTCTGAGTTTCTATATGTAATGCGTATAATGGTAAAACAGTGGAAAAAAACTTTTTCTTTGGGTACTATTTACAATAACACACATGAAGCTTATATTAAAACTACCATAACACAGTACATCAGGCATCAGGCAGTGTATTCATAACCATCATAATTATTGAATAACACTTCAGACGCCTGGTTCCTATCACCACCACTGTGAACAATTCTGACTCTCAATTCTGAAGTTTCTCTAGAACAGAGCATCATGTCATACCACTCTGAATGGCCTTCTTTAAGGCTTAACAATATAATTAGCTAGAAATTTTGAGAAACTGGTGGAGTTCCCCTTAACAGGGAGTTTGCCCCCCGTTTTCTGCAGAAACAGCCTCTACTCTTCTGAGAAGGCTTTCTACTAGATGTTGGAACATTGCTGTGAGGATTAGTCAGGAACATTAGTCATGTACTGCTATTGTAAGATTGGTTCTTTAATCACAAACGCCACTCCAACTCGTCCCAAACTCAGTTCCTAAAGAAAACACAGTTCCACTGCATCACATCCCAATGCTGGGAGGGCTTTATACCCCTCTTTTTACTTACAGCTTTGGGAGCATAAAAATGGAACACTAGAATGTTTACTGAATTTGATATTTGAACAAAAGGTAGGCCTGAGAAAGAGATTCCAGCTTGATAGTTCTGAAAAAAAAAATGCTAAAACAAAAGTTTACAAATTGCTTTACTAAGGGCAAAAAATTGACCAACTAAAAATGTATTCATGTCAAGGCACCACACATTTTGTGCCTACGCTTCATTTATTAGTCTGCAAATCTCTCTCAAATGTGTTTGTGGGCGGTCGAGTCATGCGCCTGATTATCGGGCTTCAGTTAAACACATAGATGAGTGTTAAACTGAATAGAACAGGCCGTGCTGTAAGCCATGCCTTCCACTATTACCAGGGACGGATCACGGTCCTGTGAGGCCCGTGGGCAGAAGCGAAATTTAGAGTCCCCACAAACTCTAACAATAACACATAATAAACAAACATGTAAACAAACAAGACCTGAAACATGAGATCAAATAATAGTTTATGCCCATGTTTATGTGCATTTTGAGGAACACAAATCTGTTTCTCTTTTGTTTTGAAAAAAGGCCTTATACATTTGCAAACTTCATGATTTCTCCTTTTTCTTTAATATAATAAAAATAAAACAGTTCGATGTAGTATGTAAATATTGCTAAAGTTAAAACTTACCATTCACTATCCAGTCCATACAGTCCTGTTGCACATCCTGTTCCAAAACCATGGATATTATTATTATGGTACTGACCCCCTCTAACAGCCTTCACTTTTCCGGGAAGGCATTCCACAAGATTTTGGAGTGAGTCTGTAGGAATTTCCAGCATTCTGTCAAAAAAGCATTTGTGAGGTCAGGCACTTATGTTGGACAAGAAGGCCTGTTTCGCAAAAGTCATTCCAGTTCATCCCAAACAGTGGGGTTGAGGTCAGGGTTCTGTGCAGGCCTCTGGAGTTCCTCACCAAATTCATCAAGCCATGTCTTTATGGACCGCTTTGTGCACAGGGGCACAGTGATGGTGGAACAGAAAAATGCCTTCCCCAAACTGTGGCCACAAAGTTGGAAGAGTACAATTGTCTTTGTGCTGCAGTTTTAACATCATCCTTCACTGGATTTAAGAGCCCAAACCTTGAAAAAAAATTATTTCCTCTCCTCCAAACTTTACTGTCGGCAAAATGTAAACCGGTAGGTAGCGTTCTCCTGGCATTTGCCAAACCCAGATTCATCTATCAGGCTCCAAAATAATGAAGCATGATTCGTCACTCTAGAGAACACCTTTCCACTGCTCCAGATTCCAGTGTTGGCGTGCTCTACACCACTCCAGTCGACGTTTGGCATTGCTCAAATTGATTGTAGGCTTGTGCACTGCTTGGCCATGGAAACCCATTCCATGAAGCTCCTGATGCACGGTTTTTGCATTGATGTTGCTTCCAGAGGCAGCTGGGAAGGTCATTTTTATGCGCTACATGCTTCAGCACTTGGCAACCCCACTCAGTATCTTCTGCTTCGAGACTGAGCTGTCATTGCTCCTAGATGCTTCCATTTCACAATAATAGCACTGACAGTTGACTATGGCAGATCTAACAAAGCAGACATTTCACAAACTGGGATTTGGTAAAGGTGGCATCCTGTGACAATGCGACGTTTATAGTCACTGAGCACTTCAGTACAACTCATTCTACCGCCAGTGCTTGTCTATGGGGATTGCATGGCTATGTGCTTGAGTTTATCCACCTGTTAGCAATAAGTGTGACAAAAACACCTGAACTCAATCATTAGGAGGGCCGGCCACATAATGTACCTGCCTCTTCGGCCTACAGAAGTTTAACCCCATAAAAGAAGTGTTTCAGCCTGGATCGCTGAACAATGCTCAATACAAGCCAGAAAAGTGAGAACAGAGCTCATTTATATAATTCAGAATTAAAATCACAGTAACAAAAGCAGCTGGTTTGTAAGTGATAAAGAGAGGTTGGAAAAAGGTCTTGTAAACATAAATTATGACTGTTTTTGACACATAAATGCATGCAAATGTTATAAGCAGACCTCAGGGGCCAAAATAAAATATATGAAGGTCTAGGATATGGGCCCTTTAAGTAGTCTTGTGGAATTGTCACAACAATTATGAAATAAGAAATTTTAGACATATTGCCTAGATTTTAGTTAATTTGCCAAGATATCTTTTTTTGCAGTGTAGACAGCTGCATCATTAGGAAGACCAGAAAAATATGGGTCCAGAGTCTCAGAAACATTACTCTGCCTCTATTTGTACATATTTAATTGCTATGCTTGATATTTCTTTTTGTAATCTTTTTACATGCAGTGGAGTGTCCTGAGTGTCTGAGCCCCCTTGGGTCTTGCATCTAGGTGGCATGGTGGCACAGTGGGTGGCCTCACAGCAAGAAGGATTCCCTGTCTGGGCAACCAGGGTCCTTTCTGTGTGGAGTTTGCATGTTCTCCCTGTGTCTGTGTGGGTTTCCTCCGGGTGCCAATTAGAGATGCTAAATTGCCCCTAGGTGTGAATGTGTGTGTCTGACCTGTGATGGACTGGCAGTCCAGGGTATTTCCTGCCTTCCACCCAATGAGCGCTGGGACAGGCTCCAGCACCTGGTCGTGGTCATGTCCCACTGGCCTGGTCAGCAATTCACCTGACTATTACCTTAGCAATATGAGTCTACCCATTGTTCTTACAGTCAACCTGAATCAAACTTTTTTGAAGGCTACATGTAATGTTTTCGACTATATAATGAAGAATTTTCCACAGTTTGTGCGTTCATCATAAAATAATACAGTGCAGCCTAATATGTGCTCTGAGGATGATCTCTGGTGAATCCACGGTTAAAAATACTTTTAAAAACAAGACCAAGAGCCCCACAATGAATGGATTTCCAGGCCACAGCCAGAAGACAGACTCTTAAATCGGATAAATCTTTTGAATCTCTGAAAAGAACCATTTCGTTAATCTGAGTGAAATGTAGCATCGCTAGTTAGCTGAGGAAACACTAAAGCGCGGGAAGCGGCGTCGCGAGGGCAAAAACCGCTAGAACACGACCGAGTCTTCGTCCTCGCGACGCCGCTTCCCGCGCTTTTGTTTTAGTTAACGCTCCCTTTGACGACACGTCTTTTGTTTGGACTCGCGCCACTTAAGGTTGTAATTACCCCCGCACGCGACCCCCTCCAGCCTCAGTGGATCAGGCACGCGCGTAGGAGGGGAGGGGAAGGAGGGGGAGACCGTGCCAACCGCAGAAACCGACAGCGCGAGAGCGCGCCAGTACACGGGCGAGCGGCAGGAAGCGGCTGGCGCGCTTTACCTCAGAACGTTCACTGTGGGGAAAAACGCAGCGAGGCGCGAGGATGCGCGCGGACTGCACGGCGCTCGAGCTCCTGTGTGTTTTCGCCGTGCTGGTCGCAGGCAGCCGCGGCGCGCGAGTCGTGAGCGGTGAGTTTTAATACTTTAAATAAGATCATTTTTGATAATGAGTTATAAGAACTGCAACCTAAGAAATAAATGGTAAATTAAAGCGTCCAGCTAAACTCCAGCCTCATAATGTTTTACTTGACAAGTTCGTTCTGCTTTCTTGTTCTTGTTCTACTTTACTATCATATTTTATGATTTTTAAATTCATAAACAGTGTCGTCTGTCTACGCTGTGTAAAATACAGAGACAGAGTAGAAAACAAAGATGACCACGATGTGGAAAACACACAACACTCTCTAGGATACAGCGTTTCAACCCGTTATAATCCATTTTTGACAACTTTTTTTTCTTTTTTTTTGGTTTTCTGACTTTGCCTGAGCACAAAACTAAACATCTTTTTTCAAATCAACCAAACCTTTTGCCTAGAAATTGATTTTTTGGGTCTTTTGAGTCTTTTGGTCAGCTCTATTGATCTATTGAGCAAAACAATAGAGCATACAAATCTGAGTGTAAATAAAAGTATAAATAAATGACATGTAATTAAAACTATTCAAATGGATAATATTATCCAACATCTAATGTTTAATTCTGCAAAATTTCATCAGTTCAGACCAATCAGGAGAACTTTGTTGTTTTTCCTTAGTATGTATAAGTATAGTAAATCTAGTTGGTGGACACGAAAGAGTTAATTTTGCTTTTTTCCATTTTCCTTGATTGCTCTTAATACTTTAAATGTCTATTCTGAGTCCTTAATTTTGTGATAGAGGGCTCTCACTTCTATCTATCTATCTATCTATCTATCTATCTATCTATCTATCTATCTATCTATCTATGTTTCTATGCTAAATGGTGCAAATAAAGCCCCAGTTGTCTGGTGAAGAGCACTAGTCCTGTCTTTCTGGGGGAGTACACTAAGCTGAATTTGCTTGAATGGTCTGATGGGGGATAGAGTGAGGGCGCCAGACTGTACATCTGAGACAAAAAAGAGGACGGACGAGAACAATAGAGGAGAAGTGTATGGGAAGAAGAACAGAGGAGAAACATCGCATTTTGAGCAGGACTGAGTGGGGGAGACAGTTTGGAGCTCTTAATCTGGGATGGAGGAGGAAGCAGGATCACTGTCCCTAGATTCATGGAGGAAGAAGAGGAAGTTGTTTGGAAAATTGCTGAGTCCGGATCTCCCCCGGTTAGCCCCTGGCCCATTACTGTCCTTAAAGTGATGATAGTGCAGATCTGGACCAGGCAATTATTTAAAGTACCTCCTGGGCAGTGAGCTAATGTTATTATTAGACTTTTAACAGACTGTGTATTAATCACAGATATCCTCCTCTGCACTGAGCACTGCCATATCCACAGTGTTTTACAAGACTGATCCCTTTGGTTTACGATTCCACCCCGAATACGGTCTCTCAGGTTTACCTTCCATGGCTTTACTCATGAGTTTTTATTTCCAGCAGCCTAAACATTTTTGATTGTACACTTTTGGCTTGGATTTATACCCTTTAATTGGTATAGAACCTTTACATTATATATGTGGTGGTTCTTTAACCTTAAAAAAAGGGTCTTCATGCTCAGATCTCATTTCCAGTTCTTCAAAGACTCATCCACTGAGAGGTTCTGTAGGGAATAAAAGGCATCTTTTGGAAAATGTAGGAGGTTAAAGTAGCTGGTCAGATGAGTCCTGGTTGGTCAGTGGGATTTTTATGTCTAATATTTTTGAGGTATGTGCTTGATTAAAATACATCTGATGTGTTCTTGTCTTTAATAAACATGATGGTTGGTGGATGAAAGCCAAAATTGAAGGGTAATAAATCTAGTGTTGGGTGCATAATGCAATGCATTTGCTATATTGCTGGGGGTGTCTACAATAACCCATACAATGTTAACAATGCACTTGGTACCTGTTATTGTATATTGTATTAGCATGCAAAATACAGACCTTTAAAATTCAAGAATACACATTATTTGTTGCTGATTTGTTGCTATTTCCATGTCTGCTACATTACTTACCACAGACAGTTATTTCTGTATTTAGTAAAGAACAAAAAACTCAGAAATAAAGCTGTGTCTATTTTTTGTAAGTAAAGCAGAGAACTGGTCTGGACTCTCTGTAGGTCAGACGGTGTGCGAGGGTGGCCCTGAGCAGCCATGCTATAAGATTGCCTACTTCAGAGACATGGCGAGCCGCGTGGCCTTCGGGGAGGCTCTGCGGGCATGTGAGGTTGACGGCGGCTCATTGTTGAGTGTGGAGAGTGCAGCGGAGCAGCAGCACATCGAGGGTCTGCTGCAGAAGCTCAGCGGCTCCTCCACAGGCAGTGTTCCAGGCACAGGGCCCACCATCGCTGACGGAGATTTCTGGATCGGCCTCACCCGCGCTGACAGCGACAGCCCCCAGGAGCATGGGAGCTTCACCTCCTGCCCTGACCTTTACAGATGGACAGACGGCAGTGTCTCACAATTCAGGTGTGTTTAAGAATCATTGTACGTAAATAGAAAGTACATTTTATGTGTAATATTTTTAAATAATAGTAGATGGTCTAAGGGATGTGCATAATTAAGACATAAATTAATATACAGCACCAAAAAAACAACATGATACAAACCTCTGGTCAGTGTATTTACATGCCTATAACATTTCACAAGGCTAATATATTGATACTGATAAAAAATAAATGGTAAATTTCAGGCTTCGGTCAGTAGACTATGACTTTAAGCTTCAATCGAGACTGGAGTAACTCAGTTGAAGACATTAGTGACCTAGGGGCAAAGTAATGGCAGAACAAGTGTGTGATATAGGAGGGTGCTAGCTTTAAAAATGATCCAATGATGCTGTAATTGTTAGGAAGTCAGGAAAGGGGCTAAAATCAGGGCGATATAAACTACTTGAACTAATCTGTGGCCGTATTGAGAGCATGATTGTAGCGATTTTCGATGATGCCATATGAAAGGAAAGCCCTGAATTATTCAGAGAGCACAGGGCCCGGGAAAATGGCTGGAAATATAGTGAGGTAGGTTGGGGGCCCGGTGTGTGTTTATCTCAAAAGGCTCGAAATTCTAGCCTTACCCCTTCAGTCATTTAATTGCTATAAGCTTCAGCACTCTGTTGGTCTCATAGGAACTGGTACTTTGATGAGCCATCATGTGGAGGAGAGGCTTGTGTTGTCATGTACCATCAGCCCACTGCTCTCCACGGCCTGGGAGGACCATACCTTTATCAGTGGAACGACGACAGGTGCAACATGAAGCACAATTTCATCTGCAAGTATGAGCCAGGTACAGTAACACATGTTGAACAATAGATTCTGAAAAATTCATACTGAATCAGCACAAACTGGAGCAAACAGCGTATTGTCACTGTACAAAGAAAAACATGCATCTGCAAAATAGTAACTTTACAGCAGAAGGCAAAACATTCTTCATTTTTAATGTAAATTAATTTAAAGAGGGGTTATACCAAGTCATTTTACAGCATTTCATCATGAAATTTTCACACAATGTAAAGGACAATAACACATACTGGAGCATATTGGAACAACACATGTGGAAAACATAAAAACATGTAAAAATGTATTGTGTTAAAGACTGATTACCTGTTAAAATGTATTTGTACAGGATTATATTAAAGTAATGTAATCTGACTAATTTCAGTTCCATCTGAATTATTTTTTAAAGTTGACTAATTACATAAACAAATTAAATTCAACTTTTCAACAGTAGTTTAACACAAGGCAAACAGGAAAACTGCCCTGTTCTTTGAAACAATAATAGATTATAGATGACTTAAGAATTGTGCCTCACGATAACGGTCACATTTATCAAAATGGCCAAATCTAAGTGGAGCAATATAGGCAAGTTATGAAAACAAAAAGCTGACAAATTTGTATAGTATAATTTATTTGAGTTTAGACATGTTTACTCATGAGCAGTAAAAAGGTCCTTCAGAAATCAGGAATCAAATATGATTTTAACAGGAAAATTGGGTACACTGACACTAAAACTCTGTGTGAATGACCTAGTTCAAATGTAATATAGTCAAAAACTATACTGCTCTCCTGGGTTTTTGGCTTATTTATTAACTCTCTGTTGCTTACTGTACCAGGTCAAAATATCAATCTGCTAGAAATATTCTTTTGGGACCTTCATCAACAACAACTATAAATAGAGACCATTCTAAAAACTCTGATTGGCCAACATTTTTGTTCTCTCTGCTAAAAGGCCTATACTGGCTCTTAAGGTTTCATACTGGTGCGTTGTGCTTGTACTTTGTTGATCAAAATTTGAAGACGCTCCTTCAGCTTTCAGTGGATTCAGCAGCCCACAGAAATCAATGTGGTTTCACACGAAAGATAAGTAGGAGCTGACTGTCTTACAAACAATGATAATTTACACAAATTAACATTTTGCACCATCATTTAAAACCTACTGGAGAAAGAAAGCATACTTTCTATTCATGTTTTAAAACTGTTAGTTAATGTTAGCTTCAGCTAATCTGAGATGTTATCGTTTCCAAATTTTTGATTTATATCTAGTCAAACTGTAGGATTTTATGTAGCAACAACCGAGAATAAAAGAGTTTACACTCAGATCTGTTTACTGTAAAACCTGGTGATATTGAAAATAAGGGTAAACAACCAAATTAAATATCTGCGTTAAACACTGCAGATCGTAGTTCTGCCTATCAAAATAAAACACTTGCAAAAGTTTCTATAAATTGGCTAAATGAAACACTGTGAACTGCTGCTGAGGAGGGGGATTCTTTAGAAATCTGTCCTGGCAGCAGGACCCTCTTCCCCTCACTTCTTCCCCAAATTAAAAACTCTTAAAATCTCTGTGATTCATGTGAGATGTTTATCCTTAAAAACATCATAATTTCTATAATGCACCTATAATCTGATTACTTTCTTTCTTTACTGTAACAGAATACAGCGAGGGGTTATTTTGTACCCTGATTACATAACGCTGTTGTATGTATTCAGTTACTTCCCAACCCTTTATATAAAAAAACAACACATACTGTAACAACACATACAGGAAAATACACTGAAAACATAATAGAACAATGCATATTGAAATAACACATAACAACATGTCCTAGAAAAACACATTCTGCAAACGTATATTAGAACCACACATAATGGAATAACACATACTGAAACAACACATTATGAAACAAAACACGCTGAATACATCGCACTGAAATTACTCAACTTACCTGAATGTGCACTCACGTTCATGTTGGTATGTCGGTGCTAAATGTTATTGTCATCATCCGTAATGCAGAGAGCCATCTGGTGAAAGAACATGGAGATAGGCCTGGAGGTCGTGATGCAGGTGAAGCAGATGGCAAATCTCTTATTATCTGATTTATGTCTGATGTGTAAACATGCGTATTTACACCAATTTTCATGCTGCTGTGCTGGCAGGCCTACCAGATATTTCAACAGAACATGAAGAAGAGAGAAAAACACCTGCTGTTAATGAGGATGAAAGCTTTCATGTCATGGTGGCAGGACCCTCAAGTAATACCAATCCTAATTTGTCTAAAATTTAATTTAATTTGTCTTTAAATTTAATTAATAATGTGATTCCACAATATAAATATATTTTTTTTACTTTGTAGGTATGCTGCTGATTTATGTGATCATACCTACCATTCCTCTACTGCTGCTGATCCTTGTGGCCTCAGGGACCTGCTGCTTCCAGATGCTGAGCAAGAGGTGACAGCATATCATTTACATTTATTTATTTAGCGCATGTTCTTATTCAGAGCCAATCGCAAAACAGTGGAAGCTAAGCCAGTACAAAAAAAAATCCAAGGAACCTGCAAAGTTTTATGAATCATAGATGCAACAGCCCTAGCATAGCTTGATATAGTTAAATAAATATAAGTGGAGACCATGAGGACAAACATATGTGTACAGTTTTTTTTTAAATATTCAAATGTCAAGCCTGGAAGATTGCAGTGCTTAAAAATTAAGTACAACTGAGTGCAGACTTGTGGTTAGGGTTTGGGTCTTAAGTTTTCACTTAAAGAAATAGAGACAGAGGGCAAAGCTAATTTTGCTAACAATGTATGAAAGAGCCCAGACAGCAAGAAGACAGCAGACCACTGTTGGCCCACTGATAGCAAAGCTGGTGGCCCAAAGGCCTTTTGCTCTGCGTTTACTTGGAGGCTCACTGATGCTTAAGTAGAGTGTTAGACAAAAGGCCAATTTTTGTTGCTCATTTTCCACTCACAGTCCAGTTTACTTATTTTCCTTCATTTCTTTCATAATAATATTAATATCATGAATGAAGACATTGTAATCTAGCACAGCATCAGCAGCATTTTCAACAATGTCATTTTATATTTGGCCTAGTCATTAATTTTTTTCTCTCATTTGTTTGTGATATTTGTCTTTTCCAAAATAAAAGGCTAAAACTGAGGAGATTAAAATCTATTTAGACCTTGTATGCAGGACAGTAACCTGGGTGGTCCAAGGGTGGACCAGCAGTGGCATACAGTCAGCAGGGTGTAGACAGATATTCTTGCAATCTGGGAGAACAGCCGCCAGTTAACGTTATGCAAATAGAGTAATGCTAACTGTTTGCCTCTACCTTCCATTTGATGTTAGCTAGCATGTGTGGTCAATTGAGTCTTTTAAGGGTCTCTTTTCCTTCTTTGAGCTCTAAGTATGCTTGTAAGTGACCATGCTAAGTGAACATGCTAACATGGCTAACAATGAATGGAAGCTTTTAGTAACCAATTAGCCTGACTCCATTAGCATTTTGGCTCAAGCTGTTCTTTTAAGGGACAGTTTCATTCCAGCACTGAGGGGCACAGATACTAAAGCACTGAGATTTTATCTTACATGCATGGTTAGATCTTGTGGAAGGACATGCTAAACAACTGGAGGTTGAACTTAGTAAATACACATACATAAAAAGTACCTGAAAACTCCACATCATTCTATAGCAACTGTACTCATCATCAACTGCAGCGCATCAGACAATTACCATAAGGGTAACGTGCTAACGACACTGCCCTAAGCAGACGCTAATGGCATCTATGCTACTTCCTGACCAATCAGTGGTAGGGGAGCATGACAGCAACTTCCCTTCATTCCCTTTATTCCAGACTAAAGCTTTTTTAATTGAATGGAAATTGTTTGTTTGGTACACCGCTTACTCAGTAATAATCACAGCGCTTACGAAAGCATTATTAGAGGATACGTTTAGCTTAGCAGTGGCAGTTTCTGTCTACAGTTGTTTGTCACTGTAAGGGCTAGGCCTGCTGCTGCCTTACATTGCACTGGCAATACACACAGAGAATTTAACTTATGCTTCACTTCTCATCAGTATCCTGACCAGCAGACATCAGGCAAATGCTGAAGCAAGCACTGTCCCTCTCAACAGTGTACGAAACAGTCCAGCCCCCCTTAGCGCCAAGCCTTCTGCTTGGCAGGGCAATACGAAGTGCTTTATTTATGTAATTCATTATGTTTATTAGGCCCCGACTCTCTCAGAGTGATGTCTTTTTAACATATTTTCAATCACTCAGCCAGACTGGGCATCTTTAGACAATGCATTTAATCACTGGCACTAACTGGCTTCACTCTGGGCAGTAAAAGGCTTCCTGGAGCATGTTCAAGTCCTCAGGGTAAACACCCTTTGCTCTAAGCAGCTGTAATGCTTCTGTTTTACAATGCCTGCCATTATTAAGACTCCACATAATCTGAGAGAATAAAAGTGACAAGTAGATTTGTATCCGCAGTTCAGCCAAGTGTCATTTTGTGTACATATTTTTCTATGAAGTGAAATTTATCTATATATGGTGTTTTTAAGTGATGCGTCAGCTAAAAAACAAACAGGCAGATTATTAGCTATAAAAATAGACAAAAGCACAGACAAAAGGCTTTAATGATACTGTTTTGCAAATTTTAGTGCACAGTTTATATATTATAATATATATACATGTTATAAAAAATACAAAACATAAAAGGAGGAGACCACAATTTTTTCCCTGTTCAGACATGAACACTAACGTTACTGTTATACCAACAACATTGTTCACGCCTCTTTGCATTATACTTGCCCAAATTTAAATAGCTATGAATAAGAGCATCAGCTACTAATGTAAAGGTAATGTTTACATAATTGGTGAAAGCCTGAACGTTATTAAAAGTAGGCTACTGACAACTTACACTAGCACTGGATGGCTAAATGGTGAAAAAAAAACAGTCTTAGAACAGGAGATAATATGTGACGTTATTTATAAATAAAATAAAGACTGGTGCCCATACCAATATTTGCTAATGTTAGCTAGACTATCCGGGGTCAACGTCTTGGACTTTCAGGAGGATTCTGTATGGTGATTGTGTTGATCAGTATGATTTGACAGCTTTTGCACACTAAATGTTAACATTATTGATAATACAGGTCAAAACACTGAATTAATTAACCTCTTTCTGCAGGCCCTCTAGTGGCCATTCCACCAGTGGAATGGAAATCGACTCTGAAATGATTAAACTAATATAGCCAATTAAAATATTTTTCTCCATATCTCTATTATCAGATTATATAACTAGTAATGCTGTGAGTCTCTGTTGAGCTGCTAGAGAGCAATGAGAGGTGAAAGAGAAAGGGTGGGACACCCCCTCCACTGTAAAAATAATTCACACCTCTCTACCAGGACAGCCTGCAATGATAAAATGGACATCAGAACCGCAGATTTCTTCACATCAAAAAATGTGCACTGCCACACTTGCTCACCTACCGTAAAAAGGAGTAAAACAGTCATGCCAGCTACAACGGCAATACAGTGAAACTTCTGTTTGCTTTCTGATGGCTGTTGTCACATCGAACTGTGCAGCACACAGAATCTTTTTTGATTCTCCTCCTCATGGAAATGGCAGCAGGGTCATACAGTGACATCACTTTAGAAAGACGAATGGAAACTGTTACACAGTGTCAGAAAAAACATAAGCAAATGAATTTTGAATGCTTAATAACTTGACACAGATTGAAACAACTGTGATGATGCAGGCATGCAGATTGCACAGTGCTAATTGCTGGGGTATAGGCTTCCAATACTTGTTAGCTACATTAGCCTTGTAGCTGGAGTGCAAAACTAAAGCAGGAAAATTCGGACACCAAACTTGTTTTGGCCGTTCAGTTATATTTGGGATAATACTGTGGCGTCGCCATAGAATAAAATGCAGGAAACATTGCGCTTTAAAGGCGAATGCATTTCTACTCTATGGCAGACGGTAACCCACACAGACTACCCCACAGTTCAGCACAGAACACCACATGCATCACACAGACACACCACAGACTAACAACAACTTATTTACACTTTAAAGTCTTTCCTTAGCACAGGCACAGCACTCCCGAGAGCCTGTGCTCATGACTGCTCTGCATGGCCGCGCCTCCCGTGCTTCCACAACAGCATGGCCTATTAATCTTATTAATGCAATAATAGAAACATTAGGCCACAGATTAAAAAAAATGAAATAATGTTACATATTTTGATCTCTCACCTTTTTTGTACAGAAAACCACGGACCAAAACGAGTGTTAATCAGTCAACACTCTGGATCTCGAAGACGCCAAAGTCAGACAGCGCGATGGAGGTCTAAAAAAGAGAAAACTCACATCTTCCCATAATGAAAGCAAGCCCTGCTGTGGCCTACCCAGACCTTATACGGTCTGCATTCTTGTTTGTCCAGTTGTAAGTTGTATGTGGTCTTCTAATGCAAGGTGATATGCATCTCAGTGTAAACACTTTGGTACACTTCACTCTTCTGCAATATTCTCTAAGATGACCCTTGCTCTTTTGGCCCAAAATGAACCATTGCTGATTATTTAAACGATCTCAATTTCATTTTTTTCACCCAAAACCTCTTTTTCTAATAGAACTCGCATTCCTTCAGTCTCCTCCTCTTACTCTCCTCTCCATCAGAGAGAGTGATCAGTGCAGTCAGTTGCAGAGGGGAGGCCACCACTAATTGGCACCAAAACACAGAGCGATTAAGTTACTGTAATTAAGACAAGTGCGAATGGGACTCACATAAAAAGAGGACTTTGGAGTCCCAGCTGACACTTAATTGAGTAAAAGTGATTGAAGACTGCAACAAGATGAATTAAGCAGTGACAAAATGGCAAAAAGAAAATCTCCGAGAACAAAATGCAATCTTCAATTGAAAAAAATTAGGTTGACGTTTTAGAAAATAGAGCAGAGTTAGATCAATCGCTCTAGAACTGGGTTCCAGAACTCTTACCACACAAGCTCCATCACCTTTATAAAAACAGGTATTCTCACTGATGCAGGACTGTTTCATTAACTTCAAGTGAACAGAACCACTATTAGAATGGACTTGTGCCATTACATTAGTTCAGCCTAAGTGAACATGTGGACATTTTATATGATCCATTTCATGTTCTGCCAAACCCACCCTGATCACTATTATATATGCAGTTTTAGCATGTAATGCCATTTTTATCATGACATAGTTAGTAATATTTGTTTATCACAGTACTATTACCTTTAAAAACTGCATATATAAAACTGACAAATCTCTGTGATCTCTGTGATAGTATGTCATATAAAATGGGATAAACTGCATCGTATTAATGTTTTGATTCAAATTTGTCTGTTAGTAATCTGCTTGTAAATGAAGGTAAACAGTGTTCATAAGAGTGGATGTATTGTATGTGTGTGTTTGGACTGGAGAAGTTGTACAGGATTGTTTCTTTTTTTAAATATTTTTGGGACGGTAACAAAAATGAAATAAAGGGATAATTGTGAAGAGCGTGGCTCGAAAATGGTATTATATATGGCACTAATGCATCTTTCAGTGAGAGTGTACACTACAGTCAAAAAGTCAGTGTTGAATAATGACAAATCTATTGGTGTTCAATTTGTCCACTCTTTACTTTTGTGCACATACTGCAACTTTAACTCCTTCATCCCTTCAATCTGAAAAACATCCAGATACAGCTGAGTCCTTCTAACAAAATCTGTTCCAAAAGGAGTCACTGATATTATGTTCCCCTTCAAAGAGACACTAGTTCCCACACTAAAATGGCAAAAGGAGATATTTCTGATAAGATTAGATACAAAGTAATCAAACTGCCTAAGAAAGTTAAAGGAAAATAAAAAGGAAAAATCAAGTGGACAAATAAGAAATAATGTAGAGAAAAACTGTCACCATCAGATAAAGGTTCTTAAAGCTTTTGTCTTTGAGTGTTTCTGTCCATCTTTTAATTGTGAGAAGATAACTCTATGAGTCTGAAAGGATGTGTAGCTGTCAAGAAGTTGTTCCTGAGAAAAGGAAATAAACAAAAAAGGAGAAAACTTGTCCTAGAACACCAAAACTGAGTAAGGTTTTATGGACTGATGCCCAAATTTGTCACTGGGATTATTTGGATCGTGAGAAGGAGAATTTGCAACCAACTTCTAAATCTTGCAGATTTCTTTGAAAAACTGAAAGCAAGAGTCCTGAAAAGAATGGAAGCTGTAATAAAGGCAAAGAGTGGACATAATAGTATACTCGTATGTAGTTGTTAAGGCTTCTGTGTAATTTTCTGTAAAATATGTTTTCTGCTTTCTGAACTTTTATTTCCACTCAAAATAACCGTTGGGGGAGGGGCTTTGATTAAATAATTGAAGAATGGTCTCTAACTTTTGTATAGTAATGTATATTAATGGGAAAATTATTGATTTTAGTAGCCATTTGTAACAATAGATCATTTTTTCCAAACAATTTATGGTGCCAGATCTTCTTGATGTTCAGTTTCGTGGTAAAATGGAGGCGTAAAAGGAAGTCATAAATCTGTCTGACTAAATTTGACTATAATAAGTGTAAGTACTACAAATTACAAATCGCAGCCTTCATATTTCACATTTATTTTTTGGCAATTTGCCACTAGTGTATATTCTCACTTTTTCACGCTTTGCCAGAATGTAATGTCTGCAGTGACAGAGACACATCTCAGCCTGATTAATGAAAATGTCTACAGATACATAAATATAGAGACCACTAGGACCAAAGGTTTTCTGGTAGATTCTGCAGATGATGAGCACATGCAGATGCTAATAGAAAGATGAGTGTAGCCATGGATGCATTAAAAAATGTCAGTTTTGAATGTGTGACTCAGCCTGGCCTCCAATTAGTAACAGCATACACTCTAAAATACACTGTTCATTACAGGGTCTATTAAACTAATCAGTTCACTGCTCCCGTCACGTCACTGTCCTAATTACAGACACGACTGCAATCACGACTGCGACGCTCAGGGTGGAATTAATTACAGAAACAAATCCTTCCCCTGTTTGGAGAGAGAAGCCGATTAAAGACATGAAACAAACAGCTCTCAGGCACGGCTCACCCAGCTCTGTATGAATATGATGGGTTTGTTGGAGAAACACGCGAGAATCTCGGAAGGTGCAGTTCACACCAGTTCCCTCTGCAGTTCTAAAAGAATATGGACTAAATTTTTGTTTTGCTCTACCAGTATGTCTGTTTGACATGATGGGGACTGTGAATGACTACGCTGCAGATGATATGCATCTTAAAAATGAAAGCACCTTAAATGTAGGCAATACATATATAATACATTAATATGGCCAAAAGTATATGGACACCTGACCATTACACCTATATGAATTCCAAAATCATGGACATTAATACGTAGTTACTCCTACTTTGTGGTTATAAGAGCCTCCACCCCTCTGGCAAGACTTTCAATAAGATTTTGCAGTGTGTCTGTGGGAATTTGTGCCCATGAAGTCAAAAGGGCATTTGTGAGGTGAGGAACTGATATTGGACGAGAAGGCCTGGCTCATAATCAACGTTTCAAATCATTCTAAAGGTGTTTAGTGGGGTTGAGGTCAGAACTCTGTGCAGGCCACTGGAGTTCCTCCACACCAAACTCCTCAAAACATGTCTTTATGGACCTCACGGTGTGCACAGGACAGTCATGCTGGGACAGGAAAGGGTTTCCCCAAACTGTTGCAACAAAGTTGGAAGCATATAATTTTTTCTAAAATGTCTTTGTGCTGTAGTATTAACATCACCCCTCACTGGAACCAAGGGGCCCAAACCCTGAAAAACAGCCCAGACCATTACCCCCCCCCTCCACCAAACTTTACTGTTGGCACTATCCATTCTTTAAAACCTATTTCATGAAGCTCCTGATGCACAGTTCTTGGGCTTGCTTCCAGTGGCAGTTTGGAACTCTGTAGTAATTGGTGCAACATAGGAGAGGTGGTTTTTATGTGCTTTGTGCTTCAGCCCTTGGCAACCTCTCTCTGTGAGTTTGCGTTGGTCTACCGCTTCATGACTGAGCTGATGTTGCTCCTAGACACTTCCATTTTATAATAATAGCTCTTACAATTGACAGAGGCAGATCTAGCAGTGTAGAAATGTCTTGAACTGACTTACGGCATCCTATGACGATGCCATATTTAAAGTCACTGAGCTCTTCGCTCTTAAGTACAATCCATTCTACTGCCAATGCTCATCTATGGAGACTGCATGGCTATGGGCTTGATTTGATACACCTGTTAGCAATGAGTGTGAAACACCTGAACTCAGTGATTAGGAAGGGTGTCCACATACTTTTGGTTACACAGTAGTGCATTTAAAGATTTGCAGACCTCAAGTGAGAGGTCTATGTACATTATGTAGGCTTCCACATTATGGAATTCTAATTTTCATTATGAGCTTGTTGTAAAAACATTACAAGATTATTTCATTTCCAAGAGCAAGAACAATTCTTTTTGTGATTTCTTTTGTGAAAATGACATGTTATTTAATATTTCAGCATACTCAAAATTCATGGTTACAATAACAGACTTTTCAAAGCAGTGAAAAAGCTTTATTGAAACTTCATACAAACAGATGGAAGTTCACTTCATAATAATCAATACATTTCATTTTTAATCGCAGCAGTTAAGCTTTAAAACAGTTAAGAATTAAGTTCTGCCGTGATTTTTTCACAGGCTGGACACTTCAGCAAATCACAACTTCTAATCACAACTTTTCGTCCAGCGTTTCATCTTCCTGCCGTTGCAGTACTTATCCCAGGTTTCCCTGTAGGCACACGTCTCAACATTAATGCATATTCTTTTCAAAATTGCATCACATTTTTTTTAAACTGTGTTTAGTAATGCCTTATACACATATAATATTTAGAATATAGTAATTACACTAGTGTTTAAAAGGTTGGAAACCTTTAATAATAATAGGTCTGATTGTTTTATTTTATATTTTAACACAGACTTAAAAACTTAGATGTTTTCATCTGTATTCTGTGTTTTACAATTGTACGCAAAAGTTCATTTGGCTAAATTATATTTAATTATAAGAGTTTTCGTCAAATCGTCTGCCTTGAGATGTGACACTCACTTTGAAACTTAATGTATTATAGATTGTTTTAGAATAATCAGCTCTGTTCATCATTCTGAATACATGTCTTACACATTTTTTTAATATATTTATTTTACAGCCTTCTAGTAATTATTTATAATCATATAAACCTCTGAAGCTGGACAGGAACAGTATATATATTTATCTGCCACCACACCACCATACGTTATTGTAGACAAGGATTCCAAACTTCGAACACGGGTGTAAATGCATAAATACTTATTCCCACATGGTGGAACTTTAAACATTTTTTCACATTTTTAAATAGAAATCCATTGCAATATCTAGTTAGCACTTACCATGCCTTCAGTCCCTCCCTTCTGACAATGAGTTTTGCACACTCAACAGAGGCCTTCAGGTTATCATTGAGCAGATCTAACAGAAGAAAAACATTCATTCTTATACACACCAAAAGAACACAGCTGAAGCATATGTTTTTATTGCATGAACGATGGTTAGCATGATCCATCTTTTTCTACACACTGTATCCATTAGCAGTGAAGAATATAACAAGAAGACTCATGAATGCATTGACTGCAAAGGGAAAACTTCATTACCTCCGCAGGAGACATTGCACAGGTTCTTTCCACCTGTGGTGCCATCATTACACCACTTGTAGCTGTTGATTTGGAAGATACCATAGTCCTTTCCTATGTTGTCGCTGTCCCGCACCTTATGGGTCTTCCACTTGGTCTCCCAGTACGCCATGCACACGTCTACAGCGGTCAGACAGGGTGAAGTTAGAAGAGTGATAAAAATTAACTAGTGTATATGGAAACATATATATAACCGTTTACAAAACCTAGCTCTAACCTACTACAAACCTTAGCTGAAGTAAACAGGGCCCAACCAATAACAAACACAAGACTTAATCTTTTACAAACCTTAGCCTCACATTTTACAATTCTATTACAATCTTACCACTTACATATTACAAACCTGAGACCAAACTTATTAAGCAACAGAACATGAGATGGACTGAGTTATCCGAAACATCAATTTCACACTTTCTTCTCCTTACCTCAGACGTAGCTGATCAGCCAAGGCATGTTTGGTGACCAAGGTTTGCTTCTTTAGATACAATGCAAGTCTAAAAATGTAACATGCTATTGCATTAACCTTGTAGCTCCAGTGCAAAAATAAGGAAGCAAACTTCAAACACAAAGCATGTCTTGGCTGATCACCTGCATTTGGGGTAAGGAGTAAATAGTGTAAATTTGATTTTCAATCAAACATACCTTTAACACAAGTTGAAGCCATCACCTACAAAGCACAGAGCTGAGCTAAGAGTAACATCAGAGGTAAAAGAAGAGCTATACTCACAGTTTCCAAGTGAAAATCCCTCAAAGCCATCCAGTCCCTGTTTCCTGAAGAGGCGGACAACCTCACAGCGGCCCAGCTGGCGAGACTCGCACACCGCCAGAATCATCATGCACAACACAATCACCAGCCTCATGGTGAAGAATTCACTGCTGCTGCTCGACAAGAGACTTCACCCCAGGATCTACTGAAGATCACTATGTGTTGACCACCCTACAGTGGAGCCATTTATAGAAGAATCTCAGGATTTGTGTTGAAATTCCATTTTACGCAAATGTTTTCAGTTTTAATTTCTCAACCAGGATTGCTGTGGAAGCTGAGGCAGTTTGGTTTGCAAGGAGAGGATTTCCACACTCATGGATAGCAGTAGCAGAGATTGAGAAACCTATGCGAAGCGTACGAAGAAAATCACACTGCATCTTCTCTAAACGTGTATTTATTTAAGGGGTAATTATTCAACAGCTATACAAAAACAAAGCAGCTGAACACAGTTACCCAAACTTTACTAAACCACCTTCATCAGAGGGGCTATTGAAATGCTTTTCACATTTAATAGAGACCCTAACTGACTTGTGTGTCAGTTACATTGTGGCACCTTGTTGTGAAAACCAAACTGTCCATAATGCAACTCAAACTATCAGTGAAGAAAATAAACTGTCAGTTAAGAAATGGACCCAACGACTGAAAAGGGGAAGCAAAGAGATCAACACGTATTACTGTCACTGCTTGATGTTTGTACACTACTTTAGGTAGCACAAGATACAGGGAGGTTTGAAATGCTGTACTATTAGGAAAGCTCCCTAATCTCTTAGACTCTGATTACAATACATGCTGTAAAAAGACATACTTTATCGTTTCACGAGACAAAACCATGAAAACAGAATGAACTGTCAAGTAACACTGAAAAACATGTTCAGCTCAAAGTAAATAAAGAATGATACATTAAATGTGAGTTTTAAATACTTAAATCATGAATCTTCCATTTCTGTGGGATAGAACTTCTTAACAAATGAGAAGAACAATTTTAAATATGTTACTACAAAAATGGTGACAAAACAAGGTGATCAAATCAATGATTGTAGTTGAAAATTGTTCAGCTATGAATGGTTCTATTTAAAAAGCAGAGAATAACAAAACATTGTTGTGCTTGATTTATATTCATACACGGGGTACAAAAGTCTGAGCTGACCAGTGAAAATGCTTCTATTTCGCATTCTGTTTATGGACTGCTTTCTATAGTCAATTGAAAGAATAGAATTGATTCCATTCTAATTTAATACAAAACTTTTCATTATGATTTGTATTAGCAGCATAACAATTTGAGTGAAATTTTAACATGAATTCCAGAATTTCTTAGTATTTGGTATGTCCCTCTTTTGCTTTCTCGACGACAGTGTGCGGTTCAAGCCTACATGAACTCCACAAATGCCACAATTTTGCTTAAATTAGACCTATAAACAGTGCAGAACTGTTCTTCTTCATTATATTTTCCCTAACTGTTTTAATTTTTTGATAAAATCGAAAAAAATATTTTAAATGAAAAAAATCCCAGATTTTCAATGTGGTCTCAGACTTTTGGACCCCACTGTATATAAGTAACACAATATATAACTTATGTACAAAAAATTGTAAGCTAAAGTTTGAGTAACCCCAGTCCAAGTGAAAATAAGTCAACATATCCTCTACAGAGAACAAGTTTAAGTGTTTTTCTGCAAATGTTCTGCAAATTTCTATTTCTTTGCTGATTGTTATGTTAAATTCAGCAAATAAACAGTAATTGTGCATTAAACTGTGCAAAAGTGTAGGGGACGTGTACTTATTTTCTCATTTTCTCTAATTTATACAACTGCACACAACTATGTACCAAAATACTTAAATATGTATGCACACTGCCTGTCAAAGACTTCAGTATATTCTGGTTTTCCTTGTTAAACACTGCCTCTCTGTGACTCCTGCAGTAGCTGTCTGAACAGTGTCCCCTGCTGGATGAGAACAGAAGGAGAGTCAAACTCCACAGCATGGCCAGCGTCCAGCACCAGCACCCTATGGACATAAGAGGCAATTAATATATACAAGGTTTTATATCTAACGTTTTTTTTAATGTTCTTAGTGGAGTTGCTTCCTCCTTAGCGATACTCACCTGTCTGTGTGCATGACACTGTTTGGATTCTGACTCAGCCACAGAACAGTGCATTCTGGGAGTAGTGTAAGGACTAGCTGCTGAAGCAGATGTTCTGATTCTGAATCACCTAAAAGAAGAGCCTCCTCCACTAGCAGCACTCTGGCTTTCCCCAGCAGAGCCCTGACCAGACACAGCAGCCTCTTTTGTCCACTGCTAAGGAAGCTAAAAACAGTGCAGACAACTTTATTTCAAATCACAATCTTCATTTACTGCTTATACAGGCAGAACCAAAGCTCATGTACATTTACAAAAGATTGAAATGAGTTTAAAATAGCTTTTAATTACAAACAGTTGCATGAATTTGTGTATCTTAATTGTTCTTTGGTTGATTGTATTTAGCTTTGAATGTTGATGCATATATATTTCATTCTTAAATCTTATTTTTATGCATATTTTTACTCTTTGATTGTTCTCATATTATTTTGTCTACTTATTTACATCGTTATTCACTCCTTTAAAAGTAAAGCAATATTTTTAAGGGACAAAAAGGGCTACATCAGTAAAGTTGAGTTGAGAGTTCTCACATCCATCACTTATTTAAGGCCAGTTTTAACTTGATATTGCAACAGACATTTATCTTCAAATCTAGGTATCTCAGACATTCTCCAGAATGACTGAAGCACCTGTTGGTGCCAGTATCTACCTGTGAGCGGTGAAGCTGGGCTGTATGGAGTGCAGCAGCTGGCCCTGCAGCTGCTGTGCAATTTCCTTCAGCTGGCAAAGCTCCAAAACCTGCCACACCTGGGCGTCGGAGCACTGTGCAAAAGGGTCCACATTAGCCCTCAGAGATCCAGAGAACAGCACAGGCACCTATGACAATGAGCCAGAAATTAATGCAATTTCCAGCTAATAAGGGGGACGCCTATCACTGGCGTTGCCCCATTTAAGTTAAAAGCAGAGCTGCACACAACATGCTACAACATTCTTTGCACCACACCCCTGGGTCATCATTCTGCTGCCTGTCAACACACCTTCGCCTGCAGTCTTCTATCAGAACATGCTGGATCTGCCAAACAGTGAACACACCTTTTCTGTGTGATCTGTGCACATTTGCATGGCATGGCTGTCACAAGAAATGCACAACAGCTTGTTAATCGTTATTGTGATACTAGCTTTGGACTATCACAAAAGGCTGCAATATACAAATAAGCTTTTAGACTTAGACCTGAGCATCTTTACCAATCACAGCTCCAGATGAGTGTTTCTGAGGGGTTTTGACAAATTGATGAAATAAAAGTAAATTACTTTGGTCAAAAACAATGCAGGCCAATCTTTAAAAATGTCACACTTCTTAGCTACTCAATTACTTTACTACCCCACAAGACAAACTACACAGCTAATACCATCACACATCACACAATGTGAGTGAGTGCTATTTTAGGCTACATTTGTTCCAGGACTGGATCAGATTCAAGCATTTTCTGCTGACATCAGGCCTATACCAATACCTGGTATCGGATCGGTGCCATCTCTAGTTTTTAGTATATTGCAATGTGTCACAATATGCAGCAATATAATCTCAATACCAGCATTTCATCCATATCATGCAGGCCTAGTTAACTGACCTGAGGGATTAGGTGCAGGTGACTGCGCAGGGTGTGGAGTCCCACGCTGACTATGTTCACTCCATCAATAAGAACAGCTCCACAACTGGCCTCCACTGCTCTGAACAGACAGCTTATCAAACCATCAGTCTCAGCCTTCTCTCTGCTTACAACACCAACCTACCAAACACAAATATCACATATATGACAGAAAGAGCAAAAGACTGCATGCATGCAACAACAGCATTAACCTAATGTTTATGTTAGACTATTTAACATTTTTAAGCATTCTAAAGCTCTCTCTCTCTCTCTCTCTCTCTCTCTCTCTCTCTCTATCTATCTATCTATCTATCTATAGTTGTGAAGAAAGAATGGTTACCATGGATGAGATGCATTACGAATAAGAGTGAAATAAACATCGTCATGGCTGTTTTGTAGTGTTTGCGGAAGTTCACGGAAGAAAGTGGATCTTTCTGTGAGTCATGAGCGTACAGCTGTGTCAGTATCTATATGAGGTGTCTAATAAAGGTGCTTACATTTCAGGTTACACCACTGGTTACATAACACTACAGAAAAATAATCATTTTAGCTATGAATATTTAACTGCAGAACACACACACACACACACACACACACACACACTCTCTCTTGTACCTACAGACACACATACCCCCCTTTACCTTCTCTCCTTTACAAATACTGAAGCTAAGTCCTCTGAATGCTGGTGTGATTGCTCCTGCTTCAGTTCCATAATGTATAAACTCAAGCTCTCCTTTTTGGGGCCAGCCAGGTGGGGCTCTGTGGCCTCCGGTCCATTCAGCCTGACAGGAAATGACATATTACATAACGCCAGAGATCCAGACTTCAATTCCTCATAACTACATAGCTTACACAGTAGTTTCATATTGGGTTAATGAATAATGTATAGTAGGGTTAAAAATTTAACAATATACCTGCAGTTTAAGAGGTTTTCTATTTAGAATCATTGAATCAAACCTTCCGGCTGACATTTCTATATGAGACTGACATGATAGAGACAAATCAAAATCAGAATAACTTTTTTTTGGCCAAAATATGTTACACATACAAGGGATTTGTCTTGGTGAGTGAACACATGCATGACATGTAACATCCTATCCAGGCCAGACAAGCACACTATTAAACACTATTAACAAGTATTTAACTAAAGGACAGATAAAACAAAAATACAATAAATGGAATAAAGAACAAGAAAGAATAGTGAAACAGTCAATGTGAAAGGAGCTAAAGAAACATGTGAATATCTGTACAAATATACATATAAATATCTACACATATGCAGGTCTGAGATGACATATTAATAACTTTTATATGTTTAATATAAAAAATATGGCCAATTGTTCATTTAAATGATGCCAGTTATGTCTAAGGATGATTACGGTAAAGAAGCCATCACTATTCTAGTTTCATTTGACAGGTCTTCTGAGGAAATGCACATCTAGTGTTAAATCCATTACCTCTTTCTCCATTTTGGAGTAAACACAGATTCTCTGTACCATCAGTGCATTCCTTGTAGTTTCTGCGGAAGTTGCAGTAAACTGGTGCATCGCTTCTCTCACCTGTAAGAATAACCTTATCGTCATCATCATCAGCAAAAATCCATCCATCTGATTCACAACAAAATCATGTTGTTATATCTTATTCATTCGTTCAGCTCACTGAAACAAACAGAGAGATTCCATAAGATGTGTGGATTTTAAACTTTTTAAAATTTCTATACTTTTGATACTGAAACACAAAAATTAGTAATGCAGACACAAATGTATGATACAGAATGTAAATATAATTCATTACATATCTATCTATACATTATCTATTGTTTTTAAATACTTATGTAATTACACTTAAACAGTATAGCAAAATAAAAATACTTCTAGGCTTCTAATGGTTTATATAACAGCACCGTAGGCCTGGACAGAACAACTTTAAGCAGAGTTTATTCAAACAGAGTTGAACTCACATTAAAACCATAAGCCAGAGCCAAAGCTATGATGCCAGCATCCAGGGAATCCGCACTATCCAGCAAGGCCAGACTGATGAGGAATAAACTAATTGCATAAACAATGTCCAGTCTCAGCAAAGCCCACCTGCACAGTTCACAGGCCAGATGCAAGATAAGAAGTTAGCAGGATGGATTCCAAGGTAACACTACCCCCTAGTGGACAGCTATGGTCACAGCAAAAATCTGAGAATTATGTATCTTTAACTGTGTGTGTGTGTGGGACTTGCACTACATGTGGAAAATCCCAGATACTGACCTTTCCATATCAACACTTTTGTGCTGTACTTGTAGGTTCTGGGCTGATGTCTTGGAGCAAGTGGTTCAGGCAGAGTTTTGTCACTCATGTGGGGCGAGACTGGGCGTCTGCTGTGCTGTTTCACACACACCGGTGAGAGGATTGAGGACATGTATGTGACATGCTCCTGTACTGATGAGCAGTGAGACTGACAGAGACAGAGAGAGAGAGAGAGAGATATGGAGAGAATGAATAAAGAGAGAGATGATAATGAGTGTTATATTACAGAAGAGCATGTGAAAGTGGGAGCAGACTAGCTCAATGTCTAATAATACTATTATCCTCAGACAAAGCATTTTATTGAAAAAGAACCATTTAGATTACAGAATTTGTTTGACATGGAGGATGCTTAATCTTACCTGGACAGTGAAGAAGAGAAAAGTCAAAGGACATAGCGCCAAGCTGAAGACAGGAATGATATAGATAATCAGCAGCATGCTGGCCATTATCTGCAGAAGACAACTTCCCCAGGTGTGTAGCTGTTCAGGTAGCTGCTCCTCAATCACATACATGTCCTGAACCAACACAGTCATAAAGTAAACCTTAATGCACTTCAGTACCAATCTAAACATCTCCATACCTTACTTACAAGTATGCTAATACTGTTTTGAAGTGGAACAGTGCACTCTTTGTTCCTCTTGAAAAAAAAAAACAAGCTGCTGAGACTTTTTAAATTCTATACAGTGAAATTTTGAGTTTTTAATATTGTTAAATACTTTTTAATACTTTTAAAAAATGTAACTTAATAAACTAGTCTCAGAATTTATAATGTGGCTGGATGTGGTTGTTTTAAACTGAGACTAGTTTATTTTCTCTTTTATAGTTTTGGTCCCACATTACTAGAAAAGTCTGCATTCAGCCACCCCAATGAAATAAACAGAGCTATCGAAAAAAACTTGAAATGCCTGCTATGATACGCAATAATGAGCAAGTCATGCATGACTGAGGAATGAAAGTGTGGGCCCGCTTACAGACCCTGGCGATTTCAGGGGTTAAGTAACAGCTAGGCCATTAATTAAAAACTCTGACAGCCTTTAAAGCAGCACTGGAGAACAGCCCACCTTTTAAAATATCTATATAATCTTATGTTTGTATGTTTTGGAAGTTTCAACTTGCATGAAGATTATTTCTGATGATTTCTAGAAATTTCTGTGAAAATCTGATAGAAGGACTGTGTTCTTCAGCATAATTTCTCTGGACCTCCATGCTGTCCCTCACCTGAGTGAAGGTGCGCAGTAAGTGAGGGGGGTCAGTGGTCAAGTGCACACTTAAAGGCAGGCGAAGGACGCTGGAGAGCAGCTCACATTGCAAAGAGTGAGAGGCCCTGAGAGAGCCACAGTTGAGACAATATGCCGCCCAGCACACCAGCAAGGCTGAAAAACACATATAAACCCACACACAATGAGCCCATGTTTACCACAAGCTCCAAACCTACAAAGACTTCTTAACCCAAGTGGCCTTTCCTAGTTTACATTTCTCTGCACAAACACAGCAGATTCAAACAGATGATTATGAAGTCTTTCAGTATTAGATCAGGTCCATGATTTTTTTTATTATTATTATTATTATTATTATTATTATTATTTAGAAATGGCATGTTTTTTTTTATGGACACAATACAGGACACAAAACAGCACACATTTTTAAATGGACACAATATTGGACATCTACACAGAAGAGGTTATTTACATATATCAGCCTGTAAAGGCACAGTAATAAATCCAGCCTGTTTAAGGGATAAAGAGAGTTCGGGAAATGGTCATGTAAAAATTAATTATGACTGGTTTTGGTACATAAAATCACAAGAAAAAAAGATAAAATACACGAAAAATGTAGGGTCCTTTAAGTACATTTAGTATAGCATTGGCCACATGTATATTATTACAACTGACTATAATTATTTCCAACATTTAAAAATTGATGCAGTGGATTTGGCACCTTCAGATTCATTTTACATTCCTAGATATTATTGTTATTATTGTTATTAACAAACCCTGCAGAAGTCCAAGCAGAATGCAGACAGACAAGCGTGAATTTCTGAGCTCCTTCCACTCCTCCAGCCCCTGCACGTCCTTTGCCTCTGCTGTCCACACACACAGCAGTCCGTCCTGGGCCACACATACAATGCATACACCCAGCTGGGCCAGCAGGGTCAGAATTACCCAGTGAAAGCCAAAAGCCCTCAGATACTGCCCGAGCGCTCCTCCAATGCCCTGTGGGACAGCATTAATGCAGGAATTACACTGGGCTTCAGTCAGCTTGATGAAAAACATAATCTTATAAACAGTTATCATTTATACTCACTTTATGGGCTGGCAATTGCTCTATATCCCTTTCAGTTTCATGATGATTCTTGTTATTACATCTGTGAAAATTACATGTGTTTAATTATTGAATATATCTGTCAACTTAACATGCTAGCATGCATCAGCCAAGTAATACGTAAATTTTCTTCATTTTTAAAACAATGTGTGTCAAAACTGTGTACAGTACTCAGAGGCAGACTGGGAGAAAATTAAAAGCCAAAAGCATGTCTAATGCTCTTAAATTCAGTAATATTGCATTTTGGATTAGAACTATTGTAATTCTGCATTGCTGGTTGACTACAGCATGCCAAGACGCTAACCCTCAGGTCAAAGCATACAAAGGGTATAACCCTGGCCTCTCCAATCAAACGGCTGTACCAGCACACACACACACACACACACACACACACACACACACACACACACACACACACACACACACACACACACACTCTTCTGAAAAAAGTGCAGAGATTATGCTGCCTGGGATCCCCATGACATCTCAGGAGGCTGCAGGTTAGTGATAGCAGGCATGAAAGCCATGCAATCCCAGCATTAATGTTAATAATACTTAAATGAACTACAGTGGTTTTAGCTATTGGGCCCAAAAGAGTACATTCTCCTGAAAGCACACACACACACACACACAGAGTCACTACTTTTTTATCATTTTTTTTTTTACTTTTTTCCAGATTTTACTTTTTTTTTTTTAAAGATCTTTTTGTTTTCTTATAAAGTTTAAATACTACTTTTAGTCCATGGGCGGAGCCTTATTTTAGCCACACCCCTGCATTTTAGAGCAGGCTGTCAGACTGTGGCGATGTCCCTCATGGTCACATGGCGAGCAATTAGATCCCATTATTATGAAGTAAATTTGTCTTTAAGGTTTGAAAATCAATGTAACATTAAGAACTGTCACTATTGAAATGCATGTTTTCTACAATTAAGTAAACTTTTCCGTGTTTTCATGAAAAACATCATGATTTTATGCATCTACATCTGTTCAAAGCTCTGTTTGCTAGTCATGTCTCGGCTAGAGTTTCTGAGGTAAGGTGAAAATTAAATTTGTCACTACTGAAACAGTTTGGCAGTGTTATGATTGTTTTGTTAGCAACAAAATGGAATGTTTAATCATTCATTTTAATAAGATAATTGAAGTTTGAATCAATTCAGTAGAATGATCCACATATGTAAATAAGGTAATAACATGTCCCATATGTGGAGCTGCATCTACCAAAAAATTTGATTTTCGAACATTTAATCCAATATTATTATATTAGAAAAGCTCAAGACATGTTTCTGTTCAATAATCTGACCAACAATTATTTTTAGTATTTTAGTATTATTTCTTTTGCCTTTTATTTATGCTTTTTTTTAATTAAAGTTATATGAAACACTAGAAGGTAATGAAATGATCTTGGACAATCTAGCTACACTGAACACATTGCGGTTTAAACCGCCAGTGATAAGTGGTGCAAGCAAGTTTTTAAAAACATTTATACAAGAGCACACACTAAAATAGGTCATAATGGCGGGTCTGAGTTAGCTTGCTAGCCTGTACATTCTTAATTATTTTTGATAATGAATGCAGCTGAGAGCATGCTGTTGATGTAGCAAAACCCGAAGCAGCTGGACATTATATTACAGCTTCAAATAAGAACCTTCAAGCTGACAGTTAGGAGTCTTAACAGCTTGTTTCTTCTGACTATTGTAGAGAGTCTGGTGAATTTCACAGACATGCAAAAACGCTAACCACAAACTGCTGTTTGTTGCAGGTAGGTTTTCTTTCATACTTCATACCTGCCACAATGCTGTGGGAACCTGCAGGGTGAATCTGCATAACAACAGAAAAGAGAAATTTAATTACTGTATTTATTCTGATACTGTTGCAGACACTATCAAGTATGTGTTTTAGCGACAATATTTGGTTTGTATATATACCTTGTGAAGGGCATGGGTGACAGTTTTTAATGTCCAGATTCTCGGAGATAAAGAATTCCTCCAGATGACAGAGAGACTGCTTTGTCTGGGCAAGTAAATCATATAATGGGCATATATTGGAATTGATTTCAGGAGGCTTAACACAAGTATACTGTCTTAAACTGAGTGTGTTACCTGTTTTAACATAGTGGAGAGTGTGTGGAGCTTCAGAAACAGAGGCAGCAGCAGTCTAAAGAGACAGAGGCTCATGAACACCTGAGAGGGCGTCAGAACGTTCCCATCATCCATCAGAACAAACGCACCCAGGCTAGACAGACACACCTGCACAGAGAGAACATTATTTCTTAGAGTGTCATCTCTATGTAAATAATTATAACAGACTAAAGCCATACAGTTCATTCATTCAATTTAAACATAGTCAAAAATTGCAATGAGCCACATAAAGAGGACATCTGAGGCCTTACAGTTATATACACCTCAATTATTCTGGTAGACATTAGGGGTGTACACACATATATCAATGCATTACCATACACTGATCTGAAGGTGGCAATTCAACTACCATTTATTATACGTCAAAACTTATTATAACAACATTCAAGAAATTTTTTTAAATGAAAAAAGTCCAGCTTGTATTTTTTCTATTGTCTATATTCCACTACTATGAATCCTTCAGTCACATTGGGTAATCAATATGTTTTTTACAAAGACACAAAGTGTCACTGATGCAAAGCACCACTCATATGAAACACCGAAAAGTACAGAAGTGTTAAAAGCTTATGGAGAATCTTAGCCTGCTAAACATGATTGAGTGAGTGACTGAGTAAGTTACTGAGTGAGTGAGTGTATATGTGAGTGAGTTGGAAGCCAGGTCCATGAGGTGCTTCGCATCATTATTCTAAACATAACCAAAATAACCAAATCAAACTATAGTGCAAACAAAGATTTCAGGATGCACTGCACCATTTCCTAAAGATTCACAACTGAATCAAATTTTGTCAAGTCAAAGATTCACACCCCTTGTAAACATTGTACCCCTAAACATTATCACTTTTGTCTATTTAGCCTTTTTGGTATATTTTGCATGAATTTGTTTTTTGTATTTAAACTATTTAGGGATACAACATTTACAAGATGTGTGAATCTCTGACTTGACACAATTCGCTTCACTTAAATTATCCTTAAGTGCTGGATAATTTAGACAGATTATTTTACTAGTTGCAGCTGCCAGTTCCGTACCAGATACGGTATACAAATGCGGCTTAGCATAGAAAAGGACGTAAGATATCCCAGAACTTGAAGTGTCTCCAGTTCCCGCTCCCACGCCTCTGCCACCCTGTACTGGAAGAAAAACTCCCATGCCAGCAGCTTCAGTGCCTACACACACACAAGAATAAACATACTAAAGACAGCTAACATACAGACCTCTACATTAAAGCAGTAGATATATCTGACAAAATATTTTTTATATTTCATTTGTGTGATGTGAGTGATTTCAAGACTGAATGAAGAAATAATAACAACTAAAAGCCATATTGTGAATTTACAAGTAGGTGTCATTAAAGTACTATAAGCCCAAAAGGCACAAAATAATCACCTTCATCTCATGCAGCATCTCTTTAATGAGGTTTTCACTTGCCTCTCGAATGGTCACCTGACTGCACTGTAATTAAAAAAAGGAAGGGATAATAGTCTAGATTAAAGGCAAGACAGATAGTGAGATTCAAGGCCTAATATAACTTTTTAAAGAGCTACATAATAAGGTAGAGTTGTCATGATTACTTGATCAGATTAGCTTACTTTATGTTCTAATGTTCTCTCTTAAAGTAAGAAACTAAGCCTGATAGACACAACCATATACTGTCGCTGACAGATAAAACCTTGTATCTACTCTTTTGGTTTTTTAAAATGTTTTTACATAATTTGAAAACACCAATTGCTTCATGATTCAAGAATATTTCATGATAAATGGAATGATAGAAATGGTTCAATTTACTTGTAATAAAATCTTGTTACATTCATTTACATTAAAAGTAAAAAATGTTAATTCCTGGTCCTGTAAAGTTGCCATTTCAGAGATACAAGATACAATGTGCATTTTTTCGCCACATTTTCACATTTCCATTAAAATAATCTGGAATCTTTTAAGGGCAATCCATAGTTTGCTAGTGTTTAGTTTAAGTCTATTTTTATTGTTTGGCCTTTTTAACCCCTTTAATGGAATTTTATTAAACACTTCTTTAACTTAAGGATAACTTGCATGGTAGTTGCTTTAACTGAATGATAAGTCTTATGATGTAATAAGGCTAAGATTTAAGGAGTTTATACCCTAGGCTTTAATACATACTAAGGCTTATTATTCAGTAACTACAGAGACTTCAATGCAAACTGACCGAGCTATTCTCAGGATATTGGGCCCACCGGTGACCCTGATCATTTAAGGAGTTAAGAACTGATGACTTGATTAAACATCAAAATGATTACTGAATAACTTTTTTACTACTATTACTAATAGTGACGTTCCTGAAATGAAGTTTTTCTTTACTCAACTGTTATAAAAAGTGCACATACATCATACAAGTCCACTGCTATGGCTGACCTGCAGCAGTTTGATGCGGTGCTCCAGTGAGGAATGGACAGGAGTGAGAAACAGCAGCAGTGCTGGACCAACCAGCATAGCTGGGCCCAGCTCTATCCACAGGATCCCCACACAAAGAACCACTCTCACTGGAAAGGAGATGAGCCATGGAAGATGCACCACCAGCTCTGCTATCTGGTCAACTTCAGCCAACATCTGGGAGACCGGTGCAGCGGAGTGTGTCTGATGTGGGGGGCTGTTGGACAGAGACAATGCCTTTCATGTGTATAGGAAAGGGTAATGGGGGGAGTAACCAGAAAGATCACAGGTTTGGCATGAGGATGGAAGAAAAGGAGATGAGTATGAAGAGGAAAGCAAAGAATTAACATAGGAACATGGGATAGAATACTTTACTTTCAGAACAAAGCACCAGAGACTAAAAATAGTGTCCATAACCTTAACACATCAAGCATGTCAAAACAGCAAAGTGTCAAAGCGCTGCCAAAATAATCCTTCTCAGAGTGCAGTTTTTTCAATTACTAAAATCCTGCCCAGGCATGGAGCACATCACAAAGGACTTTGTGCAACAGAGCAGACAATGCCAGAAGTGAACAGGCAGGGGTGGAAGAAGTACAGAGAAACTGTACTTCAGCAAAATACAGGCCCTGTGTTGAAATTTTACTCAATTAAAAGAGGAAGAACATGGTTTAAAACAAAATTAAAGGAGTGAGTGTTGTTTTTAAAATATTATGGTAACTTTAAAGCTTGAGGCGATCACAGTCTATGGAACCAGACTAGCAAATCCGTTTTACCCCTTTTCAACAAGCTCTGTCTGTGTTGTGGTGACTAATCGGTGATATTAATGGTTAATGGGTGACTGCTACAGGCAGTTTCATCAAGGATATGAATTCCAGAAAAAAATTAAAAAATAAAACGTGCAGGAACTCGACTGGCAATAGAAAAATAAATAAAAAGGTATTTGAGATTTGTAACAAGTATTTTAAATATCAAGACAACATTTTCTTTGCTTTTTCAAAATAAAAGGGCTCGATGTAGAAACTAGACATTAAAATTTTAAAACATACCATTTGCTCCCCTAGGCCACTTAGTCTATATAAGGAAACTAAGCTGTAAATTAATTCTGACAGCTGCATTGAATTCAGTGTTTTTGTGATGCCATGAAAACCAAAGCACGCACACACATTCACCTATTCAAGCCTACAGTAGTTTAGCCCTGCTAATTCATGCTGAAGTTAAAGAGTATTTCAGCCTGGACTGCTTTTTTGAATGAGGAACAGAGCTCATTTACACATAAAGGCACAGTAATAAAAAACAGACAAAGAGAGACCAGAAAATAGTCATGTAAAATATAATTATAAGTGATTGTGGCCTATAAAACCATGCAAACTTCTTAAGCAGATCAAAAAAATTTAAAGAAGAAAAATGTAGGAGGTCAAAAAGAAAATGTAAGGAGTAAAAAGTATGTTTTCCCCTTGAAAACATAATTGAGTAAAAGTACATGTATTCAGTTTCAAAAATACTAAAATCCAGTACAAATCTTTCAAAAATAATACCAAAATATAGTAACAAATATAGTAATATAGTAAATTCCAACGCTGTGAATAGAGTCTTTAAAAATCCACATTCTTCAAATCATTTTAATCAGAGAAACATTACATTTATTTGTAGCTATGTCCAAATACGGATAATGAACTAATATCTGGGGCATACCTACTATATCAACTTGTTAGGTTATTATCCTGCACTTCATGAGGAGTATTGGAGCAGGGAAAACAGAACAATGCACAGAATAGGATAAAGCCATTCATTTAAATTACTCAGGAATAAAAGCTCACACTACCTGTCTGTAGAGGGCGCCAGATAAGGCTGCATGAGCGCTGGCCGCAGTTTTCCTGCTCAATCTCCCAAGCAGGTGTTGTGAGACAGCGTAGCAGAAGGCTGACCCCAGAATGACCAGAGCATAGACGTACCCCGCCCACTCAAACACAGGCTGCTTCTCACAGAACAATACTGCCCACCTAAGACCAAAGAACATATAATTAGACTGGTCAATGTTAATTGTGCATTGTACTTAAATTATTTACAATCAGCGTCATTACACACATTTACATTTATTCATTTGGCTAATGGTTCTATCCAAAGTAACTTACAAGTGAGCTTAGAGCAACACGAGTGTAAAGCTATGACATGAACTAAGCACAGATAAACATGGTGCAATACCTGAGAGTGAAAAGGCCAAATATGCTGAGAAGGTCAGCTGACAGCCTCAATAGAATGACCTTGAGTAATGATGGACGAAACGTCATCCACAAAGTGTAGAGGAGGGAGAGGCCAGGGCTGGATGGAGAAGAGAAGAGCAGACCTTCTGTCTCAGAGTCTACACTCTTCTGCAAGGGTCAATTTCACAAAGGCACAAAAAATAGGACATGAAATGAATATACAGATTCAGAAAATGGTTAAAGCAATCTCAAATCACTTTTTTAAAAAAATCTGCTATATGAAGAACATCCAGCCATGATATGCTGCACATACTATGCTCACCTCATAGTTTCTCTGCTGCTTTTTCCATTTTTGCTCAATGTCCAAGTCCAGATGGTGGATTGAGTGGTCATCACCCCACAGGTCAGTTAGGTGCTGCAGCAGCGTCCTGCGGCCCATGGCTAGCCACCAGACATCACTGAGGAACCTCCAAAGACTTCTGGTTAAAGAGCATCTTGAATGCTGCATTGAAACAGAGGCACATGATTGAATTTACTCATACCTACTGAACAAACAGACACTTTTCTGGTCTTTTTCTTTACCAGCAGGAGAAAATGTATTACATGGTCTGATTTCTAGTGCATTTAAGGCCACTGACACTAACAACTTTTAACCTTCTTGGCTATTTAAAACTCTTCCTATCTAAAATTGTTAAACAGCTTTTTAAAGGTTTGCACATGAAAAGTACAACTGTACAAAGTAGTTTTACAGATTTAGGGAAAATAAACGTTGAACATGCTTAAATGCATTAATATTAGTCAAAATGTGCATCACAGGGAAAAACTGGGTACACATGAGCCACTGACAATCATCTATGGAAGGCAATTTTTTGCTAAACTAAACACACTAAAAAAGGTTCACCCATTTTAGTGCATTACTGTCTGTAACATCAGCCACAGGAGTCAGAAGACCTCACAATCATTTTCACAGCCTCGTATCCGTCTTTCCAACATTTACTACAGAAGACACATGGCAGTAACTGCTGTTTTACCTAACCCCATCGCCTATATGTAAATACCTATTGTTTATTAATTTAAAAGGAAGAAAGAAAGACTACATTTGGCTAAACTCGCAGGGAATAAAAGTTTCTCTTACCTCCTCTTCATCAGACTTGCTCCTTAGAGAGACATACGTAAGAGGATTTCGTATCCTCGGTGTTTGACAGTCCGGCAGACCAAACAAAAGATCCTGCACAGCTTTTGTGCTAAACGGAGTCACATGAGCACATTTAGTATTTGCTTTTAAACCCTCACATTTCCAGCTCGTATCCTATATCATATTCAGAACATCGCTGTTTTTGGACAAAGGAATTAATGACATTTTGGAAAGTAAATCGCGCTCAGAACCAGTCAAGTGAGGCGTGCGCGGCTGTTGGGCGTCTCAGTGCGGTCATTCAAAGCGCTAAAGCGCCCCTAGTGGAGAGGGCGAAAACAACGGCACATTTTAGTCCCTTGATAAAACGCTGTTGTCTTAAAACTGGAAAGGGTTACGAGCTGGTTAAATAACCTAAAAAATACATATACCACACAATACACAATCAGAAATAATAAGAAAATAATAATAAACATCTAATACTTAATATCTCCACACAGCACAGCAAGTTTTTTTTAAATATTATTTATTTATTGGAAAACTCCTAACTTTATTAGAACAGTGTGAGTTCAGTGGATTTGGGAGATTTTGCTATGTATCTTAGGCATTATCTCACCGCTTGTTAGTATACAATATAGTCCGAATCATCAAGTTAATTCCTATTTATTTTAATACTAAAAAGACTAGAAAAGACTAAAGCTTTCTGACAGAACAAAACTTACTAAATGGCAGATAAATAGCAATCAATTGAGTAATGCCAACTAACACTGAAGTTGATGGCTTTTTTATTTATGCAGGCAGGAAAATGAAATGTGATTTGCACATATCAAAATGATCTGATCACAACCTGCGAAAGTACACATATATGTAGACATGTAATGCTGTAAAATTTCATAATAAACATATTCAGCACTCTACTACACACTTAAAAAAGAGGGTTCATTAAGGGTTTTTTAGTAAAGGAAATGGTTCTACTTACAGCCATTAGTTCTATTTAGGACCATTTCATGTTTAAATGGTTCTTTGCATGATGAAATGGAGAATCTATTTGTTCTAAATAGAATCATTGCCTTTATTAAAACGCCCTTGAAGAACCATCTTTTTTTAAGCGTGTACTCTTAGACCACTTATTATGTCCAGTTATGAACACAATGATAAGGATTAATGGCCAGAAAAAGGAAAACTGAGATTTGGCAAAATTTGAGCAATTGTAAGTGACCACAAATCACATGTTCCACTGTAGAAGTACCAACAGCCCTGATAGCATTCTGTGGTGAAGTACTGGGAAACACTGTTATTGTAATACACACACTCAGATAGGTGTTTTTTGCAAATTTGTTATGCTAGGAGGTTCTAGTATTCTCTGCATTTTTTTGGAATAGTGCATATAACAATAAACAAAACCACATTTATTTATTGTATAAATTTAAAGCATTATTGACTAACGACCATTCTATGTACATTTAATTATTAAAGGGGGATTCCACTAGTTTTTCAAAATTTCTGGATCATTCAGTGGTTAAGATGTAAACACTCAGAGTCACCCAGAGTGTTTTGATGTAAAGAATTTATATATATATATATAACAGTTATGAATACACATGCTGTCTGATGCCAGACAGACTGTTTTATCATAGTTTTGCAATAAGGTTTTAGCCTAAAACATATTTTTTAAAAGAATGAGTGGAGAGGTACATGCAGGGTGTTGTAAAGCCAAATAGTCCCCAAGGAAAAACTAGTTTTCTGATGTACCTCTATTTTACTATTTTCAACATTACATCTAAAAAAAGAAGACCTGTGTGCATTCACTGGTGGTTTCGGAAGGTAAATAAAATGGCTGTATTTGCACTGTGGATATGGCAACCCCTGGTTCCTAGTGTAACCTATATCACTGTTATTCATAGCATATAATAGCAAGAGCAAGCGGTCCTACTGTCCCTTTTAACAGACATAGAATATTGAACTAACAGCACAAACACATTGTTGTCCTGTCCCCTTAAATACAAACTTTAAAATGTTGGCTAAAAAAGTCAGTTGGTATTATTTTCTTTCAAACTCTAGTTTCTTCATTAGCAGATTGAATAGCAGAGCAAGTCTCCAAATAATTTAGATCTTTTCAACTAAGAAAACACTTCAAAACAGACACAGATTCTTAAAGAAGACTATCCACACAATCACATGCAATACTTTGATCACCGGCACAACACTTTGTCACTTTGTACACAATACACAGACAGGTGAGCAGGATGAGTTAGCATACCGTTTGATACAGACATTGATAATGCCATTCACTTCACTTCACTTAGGTGAAGTGTTCCATTATTTAATGTGTATGTGTGTATTCATTCATGCTGTTGTAACTGCAGAAACAACATAACTTACTACAGATGTTCTTGTTGAAAATAAAGTAGTTATATTATAAAGTAGTTATAAAATAAAGTGCTAAATGAGTAACTGAACTGGACATTTGAGTGAATGCTTGTACATTTGTGTGCAGGCTGTTTTTTTTTTTATCATTCTTGAGCTACATTTGAGCTGGACTGCCCCACGACCCTCACTATACCACGTAACCATCTCTGCAACTCATCGTGACAATACTTCAGCTTACTGATAACCCTCCATCTGTAGGATCAGGGAAAGAGACATTATGTTATGGAAGGGTGGTAGGGACTAGAAAAGGGAACTGAAAGGGAAACTGTTTTTTAAATAATTAGAAATACTTTGTTCATTTTATTGAGATCTCATTTCAATTGTTTCTATTATTATTATTATTATTATTATTACTGTTCATTGCTTTTTTGGGCCAAACTAACAAATTCAATGTATAGTATTATTGTACATTATTGTACATTTTTTAATTTAATAGATATTATTAATTTTATTAATAGTATAGAAGGACAATACAGACACTATCAAATACACAAATCAAATCATTAATAACTGTCATTTGTCATCTTTGGGGTGGAAGAAATATTTTTAACATCAGCCAGACTGAATTAAATCTACCAGTCTTCTTAAAGAACCTAGAGATAACAGATATAGATTTACCCAGTGCTTGTATTCATTAAGAGCATGTGGTTACACCACCACTGTAAAGAAGTCTGAGTTCATAAGTTTCTCTGCGTTGCATCATTCCACATCTAACTATTCTAGATGACTTTGTTTCCATCTCAGCCACTAATTATACATTAATTAAAAAAGGTGGAATTCTCACATATCTTTTATGTATTCATAGATCTTGCAATTACAAAGCTCTAATGACAAGAGACTCCACAGAGGACAACAAATCTTTCTTAAGATTCTCTCAGAGAAATAAAGCAGATCTCAATATTACATTAATGAAGGATCACTGATTTCTGAATTGTTTCTCCTAAACCCACCTTAGGAGAAAAGAGGAGATTAACATCAGCATTTCACTGTGAGAAGTTCTGGTGATGAAGGAGAAAAGCATGAGTTCTGATTCTTCACTGACAGACTGCAAAAAGAGTTCTGTAATCTAGAATAGATCTATATAAGAAAACGATGAGATCTTACACTTTTCTTATGGAAATATTTTTCAGCTGAGATTTTTTATCAAAGTGAGAAAATCTGAGGGTTACTTGTCAGGAGCCAAATTTCAGAAACAGGAGAAAATGGCTTAAGTCTCACCCTGATTTCAAACTGGACATTACTGTGTCTAGAAGTACCTGAGATAAAGAGGAGATCTTAGTTAGAATATTTATTTCCTCTGGGTCAGTCCACGTCTCTAAGACTGATGAGAGATTAAGTGACATTCATTCTTTCCAATCTAAGACAAAAAAAAAAACAACTGCACAAATAAGAAAAATAAGTAGGATTTTACTGAAGAGTTCATTTTACACACTTACCATCTTTGCGTCCTTTTTAACTGCAAATAGGGACTGTGGAAAAACAAACATGCATAGTTCAGAACCATTTAAAAACAACTTGGTAACAATCTTTCCACTCTCCTTAAGAAAAGCATGTTATGATGAAGGGCTCAGGTGTAGATGTGCTTTTTTTCCAGACACTTCTAACACAGCAGGGTGAGAGTGTGATTCATGTGAAGTAGGGGCATCACCTTTTATTAATCATCTCTGAGCACTCTGAGTTTTCTAGATGCATAGAGACCAAATAATAGAGAGATTATATAAAGTGGCGTTAAAAGGCCACGTGAAGTGCCACGTGACTTAAGTAAACAACAAAATGACCTTCAAATACAACACAATCATTTGGCCAGACTGTTGCTTAGATATACGACATGCTAAATCCCCTGCCGTCCTCTGTGTGAAAAAAGGGTGGTACTGGAAATGTACAGTCAATTTTAACACAGCTTAAAATGCGCAACATAACATAATAAGCTGAGGCTTATTGTTCAAGATGACTGAGAGGGTTCGGAACAAAGTCAGGGCAGACGGAGATTTTTGTGGGGATGTGAATGAAGACTTTCAATCAGGTAATTCATTTATTTTCCTCAGGGCTTGGCTTTTGAACACTATCAAACCATTGTTATGTATTTGTCTCACCAGGCGAGGGTCAGCCAAAGAGCTCTGGTTTCTGCGGGCTTCTCCTCACTGCTCTCTCTTTTCTTCTCATTCTCGCCACATTCCCAGTCTCTGTATGGAGCTGCATGAAGGTAATAACACTGCAACTATTTGGAGAAAATGTACCGTACTGTGTAAAAGACAGAAAGCACAATTTCATTGATGTGATTTCAAATCAAAACTGCCTTCAAGTTATTCATTTTTCAGTATCAGGAAAAAAAGCAGAACATACACTTAAAAGAAAGTCTAACAACTAAATGCAATATTTTTCAGTATTTAGTGCGCCCACATTTTTTCTTTTTTACAGCTTCTGTTCTTTTCAGGAGACTCACTTTCAGTTTTTCACAGAAACCTGCAGGGATATTTTTCCACACCTCCTCAGTTCAGATGTTTATTTAATGGGTACATCTGATGTTTATCTGATGGGGACAGTTTTGGTGGTCTACCAGCTCTTGCACAGTTGTTAGGAGTCCCATTTTCTCTCTAGCTTTTAATCATTTCTTGAACAGATTTATGCAAGAGTATTATCTTCTATCTAATCTTCTCAGAAAATATTAGAATTATATATAAATATTATAATATAATGTTGGTGCTTTTGTGTAATTTTCTGTTAATTAGATTCCAGCTTTTTTCCCTGATGCTAAAAAATGAATAATTAGTACTCAATTAATAAATGAATGGTCTCTGATTTGTGCACAGTACTGTATATGCAAAAATCTGTATTAAATAAAATCTATATATTACAGAAGCCAGACTTGATGACCAAACTTCTGCTGCCTTCAACAAAAATTTATTTTGTTTTTGGTTTTATGGATTAATTTTGTATTCCAGTGTAACAGAGGATCATCCCAAAGCAAGCCACATAACTGTACAAATATCTGACAGTATTTTGATGGACTGTCATGAGCACATGAACGTACTAATCGTTATCATTTATTCTGTTTATTCCTATTCGACTGAAAGATTGTCAAGGAATATGAGAGAGCAGTTATCTTCCGTTTAGGGCGACTCCTGGGTGGAGCAAAGGGGCCTGGTGAGTTACTGTTTTATTAAAAATAAGATATTGTTTTAATTTCATCATTCCTGATACATGAATGTTTTCAAACTAAATGTTTATAATTTGCTACTTTTTAAAGGCATATTCTGGATTCTTCCATGTGTGGACACCTTTCGGAAGGTTGATCTGAGGACAGTATCCTTCAACATTCCCCCACAGGAGTTGAGTTTCAACAGATAAAATTAAACTTTTAAACTTTGCCATCCAGAAATAGTTCCTGCTCTATTGCCTACTGCTTGTTTTAATTAAAAATAATAAAAAAGTTATAGAACGCCATCTAGTGGTAAAGATATGTATATTACACTTAGATGTTAAAAATTACAGACAAATACAAATTAAGTGAAATAAGAAAATCTGCTATAGCTTTTAAGCTCTAATCCTTTGTGTCTAAGTTTTAGATATTCATATATTTCATGACTTGAAATTTTAAATATGGCCCTTGTCATGCTTCTCTCTACAGGTGCTGACAAAAGACTCAGTAACTATCATGGTAGATGGGGTGGTGTATTATCGAGTTTTTAACCCTACAGTGTCTATAACCAAAGTGGAGGATGCCAATCTGGCCACACAGATGCTGGCACAAACCACCCTCAGAAACATGTTGGGTACCAAAAGCTTGGCGGATATCTTGCGAGACCGTGAGGAGATGGCAGAACAAATGGAGGTGGGGTATGCCACAGAGCTCTTGCAAAACGTTAGCCTCAATTACCAATTAACTGGTTTACCATTACTAAAAACTGTTTCTAAAGCTTTTAATATATCAATAATATATTTTGTTAATTCATGTGGAAATTATGTGCAGAATTGAATCAAGCAAACACAATGCATCATTTTTTCAGTGGCAAACGCACACAGACATAAATACATTTAATAACAAGAACATAAACTATAAAACATTTTATTTCCTCCATTCATGATTGAATCTAATTTTGTCCGACAGGAAGTCATTTACTCTGCGTCTAAGAACTGGGGCATTAAAGTGGAGCGGGTAGAGCTGAAGGACGTTAAACTCCCTCACACCTTGCAGAGGGCAATGGCTGCTGAGGCTGAGGCCACCAGAGAGGCTCGGGCCAAGGTGAGTCTTCATACATTCTCAGCAGAAATGTCCCTATGCACAAAGTCTGACAGCACTGCTGCAAAGCCTGCCAAGTTCAGCCTGATCAGCTTTGCAGCTTTGCGTTGTGTCTAGAGGGCTAGTGAGCTCTCTGATTGGCCAATGACTCGGCGCTGCCCCCTGTGTGCGGGTGGGTGAGGCGTAAAACCCCCTGAGGCCACCTGCTCACGAGGGTTACACCTGATTCGTACAGGATCACGCTGGCTTTATCGTCCCAGATATCCACGTACCTGGCAAACAAATGTGCTCATGTGTGTTTACACACCATGTGCTGACGACACTTCCTACAGCCATCTGCTGTGTCTCTAAAAAACCCATGCAGCTGTTCATTCATTAGACACTCAGCCGAACTCGTCATGTGTTTTTGTCTGACACTCACAGTATGAAACGGGTCATTTAGTGTTAAACGGGTCATCTAGTGTTAAACGGGTCATCTAACATATACATACTATGAGTAAATATATGTACAAAATATAAAGGAGAACAATGCGTGACTTACAAAGGCAGTTGAGACCACTGCATGAAACCTCTGAAAGGTCACTGTCCTGTTTACTATTGATTCTGTAAGATGAATGAAGTTGCAGCATCCATTTAGTGACCTACAATGTTCAAAACTTTGAAATGACTTTTCATACGAAAGATTTTTTATATTTTATACACAATGATAAATTATATAATGTTGAATATTATCAGCTAGAAACAAATGGTATTTTTTAGACATTTATTTTAAGCATTTAGACATTTATTTTAAGCATTTTATGGACATCAAGTTATTTAATGCTAAATAACACACCGTGATTACCAATTTACAATTATTTTTGTGTCAAGCTCCATTCATCATTCTGGACAGATCTAACATTTTGTGTCTTATTTCTTTTTTTCCTCTTAATTATTTGAAAGTTGCACAGAACTTGCATATCAGAATCCTTTAACAGATTAATCTGCAACCACTTGGTTTTAAATAACTGAAAAAAACTGAACCTAAACCTCTGAACAGTAACTCACATGTGTTTGTCTCCTACAGGTGATTGCAGCTGAGGGAGAGATGAAAGCATCCTGTGCTCTGAAGGAAGCAGCCCATGTGATGTCCGAGTCTCCGGCCGCTCTGCAGCTGCGATACCTGCAGACCCTGGCTGAAATTGCCACAGAGAGGAACTCCACTGTGGTTTTCCCCATCCCTATGGACCTCATCAGCACCTTCATGAAGAAGTAAATGAAGAAACCAAGTGAACCATGAAAGCTCTTAATCAGAGCATATATTTAATTAGACTAGAACACACTATACAACTAAATAATTAATCACCATAAATAAAGTACTACAAGTATGTATAAATATATAACAGTGCTTCTATATATTTTTACTTCAATACCTTTAATACTGCTAACAGCTGAAGTCTTCTTTGACAGAATATTGCCAAGACTAAATCAATTGAAGTGCATGCTTAGTATCAATTCAGTCAAGAGAATGCTTAGTATCAATACATATACACATATTTTTGTACATAGAGTGTTTAATCAAACATCAAGATATATCATAGTTTCTTATATGGTGTTGTTCGAGACCTTTATTTAATTACTGTAGCAGTATGGTTGTAATATTCTGAAATCCACTTGACCAAGATAAAAATATAACTGTACATAAATGAATAAAAACATGCATGTATTTAGTGCATATTTGGTTCCATTTGTAAAAGATAAGGGGGATTTCGGCCTCCTATTATAGATGATTAAGAGTGTGCATGGACTGTACCAAACTGTGGAGTTCTGCATTGTCAGTTATTAACCTGCTGACCTGTAAGGGGAAATATGGGCTCAATGAGCTGTGTTTCATGAGCCTGATTAATTGGATCTCCTCCATTTGATGCGGTTATTGGAGGACAGTAGAGAAGAGTTACTGTAATCGGCCTGTGAAGTTAGTGAAGTTGCTGTAAAGTTAGTAATGCCATTAGGTGCATGCTGTGCAAGTATGCAAAAGCAATAACGCCCTCCAAATTTCTAAAATGAATTAGGTTTTTTTTATCAATCATAATATTCACATTTTAGACAGTTCAGACATTTTATTTTAAATAATGAAATACATATCAGCTGAGGTATAAAGCTGTAAGCAATGTATTTGGCCTCCCTGCCCTTAGGGCCAGTTTTTATGCAGGAAGCTTACACTACACTGACAAGAATGTAGGCACAGTGCCTGAAGCCCTTTTGAACAGTGACAAAATACTGCAGTGCATTTGTATATTTAAGCTATCTAAGCATATAGCTGGCTGGTTTACAGAAAAGAGGCGAATAAAAACTAAGAAATGGAGCGGCACTAATCCAGTGATTATCAATAACTAACATTTCACAATACCGCTCTTGTCATTTCATGCCCGCATAGTGGCGCCATGTAATGTGTGACCAATCATCCTTGTTAAAATGAGCTTACAGAATAAATGATGCTGAAGGGTAATCACAGGAAGTGTGTTACTGTGCTAAGCATCTCTTGTAGATTCTAAAACTTGATTATTTGGTTATGGCCAGTTGCCTCAGTCTTGTAGTATTTTAGTCTCCATGAAATGAAGACTTATGCATACCTAAAATGACACGTGCTGATGGCAGGGTATACTTTAGAAACCCGCAGTTCATGCTGTTTAGTTCATGCATGCTATGTATATCCCATCTAAAGCGGCTCTCCCACTAGTTATGCAGACAGAACCCCTCCTAGTCAAAGACTTGACCTAGATGTGGGAGTGAGAAAGGAGAACAGTAAACCAAAGGGTTGCTGGACAGGGAGAGATGCAGGTAGAGATCTGCTGTAAGAAACATGTATATTTAAAGGAACAGTGACAGTAGCCTGAAATTAAACATTAATTTACACTAATTAATTTATTGCAATACCATGATTTCATTATCTTGTTCTTTTACTTTACACTACTATTTGGATTCGCTGTTCAAAAGTTTGGAATCAAAGTTTTCAATAACATAAAACCAATCTGGTTGCAGATATCTGCAACAGAAAATAATAATAATATGTAATTAATAGGAGAATAAGAAGGTGCAAGACAAAAATTTGAGAAATGTTAGATTTGCCAGGAATGATAAACAGAACTACAAGGAATTCTAAAATGGCTCATAAAGTTACAATAAAATTAATATGTACATTTCATTATATTTCAATAGTACTGATCTAACCTCAGGGCAGATAACTTAAAAATCCATCTAAATAGATAATCATAGTATATTTTTATCATTTAATAACATCTTGTTCACATAATTCTTGAAATATTGAATAAAATACTTACAAATACATTTTGGCAAAAAGTCTGTAATATTTTAATTCACAATGAATAAGTAGTTGTATTGTAAATTAACAAAACTTAATACAGCAAATGATTCCAAATTTTTTGAATAGTAGTTTATCTATTGTAGGTTTTCTGTATATTTTTTTTTAGAAAAAGCCCTCAGCTGGCCTACTGACTAGCCACATTAAGCACTGCCCACAGACTAAGCATGCTCTGATCTCCTCCAACCAGATTCTTCCCTCCCACAGTCTCCACCCACTTGTCTGTGCTTTACTACAAGCACTCCTCCGGTTGTCACTTAGATGTCTCTGACTCTTTCAGGTGTGCTTTCCTTCTGCTCTTTCTCACTGCTTTCCTTCTGCTCTCACATGCCATACTAGGAATGGGTCTCTTGAAATTCCTGGGTCTTCTGGGTTTCTTCACCCTTTGCAGAGGTAAGAGACAAAATTGGATTCTATTATGCATCTGAATTGGACATTGCCTCTAGGCCACCATCTAATTATCTTCTGTGGAAACTTTGGGATTCAAAATTAGCAACTTTCTATTTCAGTCGCTCTTTAAAGATAACAGTGTTATGAAACAAGGCAAAATGTGGACTATTTGTATTGAATAATAATAATATTAAGTTTTATTTATATAGTACTTCCCACCAAACTTAAGGTTTCTTTATAATAGCATTAGCAAAGAAAAAACGGATCTGCAGACCACATTAACCCTATTTGTGATACACAAATGTGAGTCATGATTTACAGCGGTGTATCTGTGGCCAGGACCATAAGCACTGCTGACAAAAAGCAGTTCTAATGGAGCAAGTCTAGAGAGGTCAGGGGTCAGGCTTGGGCAGGAAGAACATGCTAGAGGAGGGTGATTGGGGTCAATCATATTGCACACTCCTCATTACACCCTACGCACTCGACTGAACCCCTGTAATCACCCTAGGCATCTCTGCAGAGCATGGGGTCAGATGGGAGGGGCAAGCAAAGACCAACAAAGGAACATGTGAAGCAGTGGGATGAGCAGCTTTTTTATAGCACCGTGATCCAATTGTGCCTCATACGTGCATGCTAATTACAGAGCACAGATCACCTCTAAAGCCTGCGGTTTGCAGCACACTGCCCGAGAGCCCAGCATGGCTAATTGTCTGCAAAACGATGTTGAGGCAAGTGACAGTATTTGAATCCAACCAGACATGACGCAAGCATAGGTTTTCTACAGTGGGACGGTGTCAGGCAAAAACAGGTGATCTTTGTTGGGCAGCAGTGACAAGGGCACTAGATGAGCGGAAACTGGGTCGCTAAAGCCATGGCTTACTTCATTGTGGATCAGTTTACTAAACTGGGAAAACAATGAGACGGAGAGAGAAGAAGCGAGAAGGAAAAACAGAGCCACTTTGAACTGCTTAGTTCAATGCAATTAAAACTATGACGCTAACTTTGTGGATTAAAAGGGATCAGAAATTAAACTGTTATTCATTCCATGTCATTCATTCTTTATTTTATGCATAGAATATATTTTATTTTTTATGACTACGATGCTTAAAGACATAACCAGACACAAAGACCTGAAATGTCTATAACACTGGAAAAAAGCAAAACACTTTAAATGATTTTTTGAATAAAAAAGAATGAAAACCAGGGGTTAATCCATAAAGCACAATTTCTCAGTAAACTGATCAATTTAAACTACAAATGAAGACTTTCCCACAGGAATATTCCTCCTCTCCCACTGGAACGGTTTGACTTCCACTGATTTTTCAAAAACTTTGCATAATCAAATATATGAAATATAAACAAAATCATTCAGAGTGATTTGATTTAAAATGCTCCATTCTAGAGAAACTTCCAGAGTGAGAATTGTTCACAGCGGTGGTGATGGGAACCAAGACATCTGAAACATTTAATGCCTCTAAAAGCTCCCTCACAGAAAGTTACTACGTTAATGGTTAAGATAAATCTGCCTGATATCTGAGACGCTGACTTACAGTGACGCAGGAAGCTGTTTTAAGTTGGGGGTGCTGACATTTTAAGCAGCACGTGTGACGTGACGTTTTATGTGAATTTACATCAAACATAAATATAATGAAGCGAGAGAGGACAATATGTGCTGACAAAGAGGACAATATATATCTTATAACTGACTCACTCTGATTCTGGTCAAACTTTACATAAATTAACTTTACATAAATTAACTATGCTCAAATTATTATAAAGTTCAGAACTTTTTATTCTTGGTATTACTTTTAACAGTTGCAATCCTGAAATTAGGGGGCGCTGCAGCACCCTCAGCACCCCCACTTCCCGCGTTCCTGTTGAGTAAGAATGTTTTGCAGTAAGGATTTGGCCCAAAACATATTTTTCAAAGCCATTGATGGCAAAGGGTCACATGTAGGGTGTTGTGAGCAAACTCCCAAAGTAAACATATATACACACATAGGTTCACTGGTGGTTTTGAATAGTAAATTAGCAATTTCGTGTTCTGTATATCGTGACCCCTGGCTCCTATCATTACCACTGTGAAGAAATCTAAGTTGGCAAGTTTCTCTACAATGAATGATTTCACATCAAACCACTCCGAAATGATTTTGTTTACATCTTCATGACTGAATTATACAGAAATTTCGAGAAATCGGTGGAATTTTCCTTTCAGTTATCTGTTCTTAGTAAGCTGCTCAATTTAAGCTACAAGAGAGGACTGTCCTATAGGATTACTCCTTCTCTCCTGTTGGACAGGAGACAAAGAATAATCAGATGGCCTGACTCATGTCTAATAGTTTAAATGGAAAATGCTTCAATGCAGCAACTGCCAATTAACCCTAACATAAATGTACAAAAAAGTTTCTCTGTCACATTCACAAATATACAAACACATAAACAGCAAATGTTCACTGTTAGCAGGTCAAGACATCGAGTGCGACAACTTTTCTGACCTGAACTTCCATGAGACGTTCATTGGAACCAACCTTTATGTGCGTCTGCTCCTCTACACCCGTGCCAACCTGAATTGTGGTCAAGAGCTGCCCCATCATAATTTTACCAAGGAGCCCCTGTTTGATGTGAAAAAACCCACCACCTTCGTCATACATGGCTACAGGCCCACCGGTGCCCCACCCATCTGGATCAACCACATTATACACCTGCTGGCAGCTCAGGCAGACATGAACATTTTGGTAGTAGACTGGAACCGAGGTGCTGCCAACCTCAACTACTTCATCGCTGTGACCAACACACGCCGCACTGCTATCAACATTACAGGCTTTATTGAGAGGATGAGGGTGAGTAACCTGCAAATATACATTAATAAAATATATACAAATATGTAAATAAAAATATAAGTTAATTCCAACCACACAATATGGGTCAAATTTTAAAAACCATATCTGTATCAATCCTTTGATTGCAGGTTGCTAGAAATAAAAATGGCCACTTTTTTTGGTAGATGAAACTGAATATATAGAAATGAAACTAGGTTTATGGCTTATTTGCTTTACTTTTTTCTTTTCTTTATGTAGCAAAACTCCAATCACACTTGAACAAGATGGATCTTCAAGGGTTCTTTAGTAAAGAAAATGGTTCTATATAGAACAATGAACACTCAAAGAACCCTTAAAGGGTTCTTTGCATTGTGAAAGGGTTCTTCAGATTGATGGAGAATGTGCTGAAGATGATGCTATATAAAACCTTTTTGAAAAGGGTTCTAAAGAGCACCAAAAAGGCTTCTTCTATTGTTACAATGTCAAGCTCGTAACAACAGCAGAACCTTTTTCAAAAGGGTGCTATATAGAACCATGTACAACACATTCTCCATAAATGAAGAACTCTTTTACGATGCAAAGAACAATTTAAGCATGCAAATGGTTCTTTGAGTGTTCATGGTTCTATATAGAACCATTTTCTTTACTAAAGAACCCTTGAAGAACCATCTTTTTTAAGAGTGTAAAACACTCAGGAACATGAGTTATTACAAATTACACTACAGCAGTGATGATCCACGGCTCAAACAATTTTACGCGACAGCACTCTATTGCTTATAACAATTAATGTCCGTCATTTGACAAAGGCTTGGTGGGGGTATGTGAGCTGTGAATGAAAACCACATGCTGTGTTGTTCCAGGATCAGGGAGCATCTCTCGACTCAATCCACCTGATAGGGGTCAGCCTGGGGGCACACGTGGCTGGGTTCATAGGAGCAATGCTAGGAGGCAAAGTGGGCAGAATCACAGGTGAGAGATCCTAAATAAAATCTGAGCTTTGGAAGCATCTTTACCCCTTAAGCTTATAACGTCAGCATGTCCTGAATTCCCAACTTCCCTTGCTCAATCTTACAATTACATACCTTATATATTACTTTCATAGTGGCTGCTAAATAACACATAGTAAATACTGGATAACACACCTTTAAGAGATTTTTATCCATACAAATGAACAACATATGGACTGCTACTATTGCGTTTTTTTGTCACTGTGATGTACTTTGTGAAAGGGTTCTTCAGACTGATGGAGAATGTGTTTTTGTTCATTGTTATATAGTTGCAGGAAACAGATAAGCAAGCATATCTGAGATTGTTTAACAACAAATGCGATTTGAGGCAAATGTGTGATAGTTTAGAGATGCAGTTTGCATAATGCTATTTGGTGCAGTATAAGCTTTGATTATTTAATAGCTACATTAGCTTTGTAGTCCCTGTGCTGACCTAAATTAACTTTAGACACCAAACATGTCTTGGCTGATGGGCTACATTTGGGTAAGGGGACAGTAAATTAGATTTTTGCAAAACTACACCTTTAATAACTGGGTCATAATCCTAGAAATGAACATGCTGAACCAGTTAAACCAACAACCCAAACTAAAGGCGCTGACTAAAAATTCTCCACTGAACATCCTTAGGTCTGGACCCGGCAGGACCAATGTTTGCAGGCGTCCCTCCAGACGAGCGCCTTGATCCAACGGATGCCCAGTTTGTAGACGTCCTACACACAGACATGAACTGTAAGCACCAGAAACCTAAAACTACAACATAGTCTGGGTTCAGTTTCTTAGTAGCATTGTACCATAACTAGACATTGTCACTGAAGTATCTGTCAACTTTCTTTTTATCTGATGATGATCTTTATGTTGCAATGCCTTTGAGTTGCACAGTCCCACTGGACAGAGCAACCACTGTCACACAAGATAAATCCATTTAGGTTCCTGATGTATTTGTTTTAACAGCCTTTGGACTCAAAGGAACTCATGGACATATTGATTTCTACGCCAATGGTGGACAAGACCAACCTGGCTGCCCCAAGACTATCTTCTCAGGTTAGTCCTAATAGATGTTACGAATGCGACAACTGGAGTGGGACACCCAGCAAAGGCACTGATTAGCTGTACCACCGCCCTCCTGGTGGGACCCACCATTTTGTTGTCTACATGTTCATATAGTAGATACAGTTTGCTCAATGTACAAATCGTTTGACAAATGCTTAGATGCCAGTTGTGCTTGGACTTGTTAAATGAATAAAAATGAAAAGTTTCTCATGCTGTAAAGCTAATTTCTACTCTACTTTTCCACAGGAAAATCCTACTTTGTATGTGACCACCAGCGTGCTGTTTTCCTCTACCTGTGTGCTCTGAATCACACCTGTAACATCACTGCTTACCCCTGCTCCTCCTACAGTGACTTCCTCAATGGCCAGTGTCTGCAATGTGAAGCCTTTAAGCCAGCCTCCTGTCCTGTCTTGGGTAATGGAAACACGCAGCATAACACAAGTCAAATAAGTAACAATTAGAATGCCACACAGAGCGCACTTCATGCAGCTCAAGATATTGACATCATCTTAATCTGTCTTTAGGATATGACATGAGTCCATGGAAGAACACACTCTTGAAACTGGGACAGACAAGAGTCTATTTCTCCACCACAGCAGATCCGCCATACAGGAGTGAGTTAACAGCACTATACTTGCTCTCAGAATAATTATCTATATTTCCCAATAATTTTTTTAAACATTTTAATTCTCATTGTAACAGAGACAAGCTACAGAGTTGATATTGTAACCTGGAATCAGTACTTGCGATGGGGGGTGGTTACTCTCCGCCTGCACAGTGGAAAAAACGTGACAGAGACCAGGATTGACCAGTAAGTAGTCCAACTTAACAATACATTTAAACTATATGTTCTATAAAGGTCTTGTGCGTAGAGTCTACATGTATTATGCTACCTGTCTGTTGTTGCTTAGTAAGCTGCTGCGGTTTGAGCAGTACACTGCCACACGAATGCTGGCCCAGTTTGATGAGGACTTGTATCCAGTTCAGAAGATATCCTTGCGGATCATCACCGGGAACGTGATAGGACCCCGTTACAAGCTTCGCCTCATCCGCATTCGAATAACCCCACTTGACCGGCCAGACAGGTAAGCGTGGGCAGATGTTTTCTTCTAAATGCATTCCTCAAGCACTCCTAAAACCTTAAAGACAGATTAATGATGAAACAGGGATTACCGTAATTAACATTAATGAGATTGATGTCAAAGATAAGCGTTTAATACTATGACAGCACCCTTAGTACCTCTCTCCTGTCTTTCCTAGGCCACTGATGTGCCGATATGACTTAATTATGGAGGAAAATGCTGAGATCACCTTCAAGCCATTACCATGTGATGAATCTCGTCTATAAGCGCTCACCATACAGAACTTCAGTCTTTCACGCTACAAACTGCCAAGTCAAGTAACGTAACCATGAACTAGTTACTATAAAGCATCTCTGGGCAAGAATGGAACCTTTGGTACTTTAGTTGGTGTACCTTTCTCAGACTACAAAATGGATTAAGACACTGCTCTCTATGTGCCTTTACTTGAAGACATTCTACATGATTTGGAGAGCAGTTGGAACTGACATGTTTTCCTTGCTTCAGACACTCTTGTCAAAAAGGCAAGATATGAATTATAGTGCATTTCAAAACTCACAGGCCACTCTTGGACTTGGCCTGGTTCTATATAGAACAATGAGCCTGATTTTCTATTTCTTTTTCTATTATAATGTTTCATGACAAAATTGCACTGGAACTGTCCGGTTTGATACCTCAGGTCAGTATTTAACAGAGCACTATACCAGCGTCAAACTTTGTCATGCTGTTTTATTTATTTTTTTGGCTGTCTCTCTTGTAGACAAAATTAGGAAACCTGAAGAAAATGCCTCACGATACTGCATGAGGATGCATGTTTTAGCCAAAGGAGGGCTGTGAGGCCTCCACATTACAAACACTGGTGACTCTTCACCTAAGACAATTCAAATCCCTCTACATTAGCATGTATATACAGTCGCAAAGGGCTGGGGATAAACACAGGTGGACAAAGAAATCATGGAATCTTATCCGTTCAGTGAGAAAAAAAAACAAACAAAAACAACACAGATCCTATCCTTCCTTATTGATGATGTTTGTAAAATATGACTAATGATGAACTGATACACTAAGTGAATTGTAGCTTTAGTCAGAGAAGTACTTATTGAGATGATGAACGGCAAGCGTTGAACGTTTTCCGCAATGTATTTAACTCAGCAACCTAAAGTTACCTGCCTGGAAATACAGAAGTGAACCAGCTAGCTGATTGACACTGGACACCCTGGATATAATGAGCACAGTGACCAAACGTTCTGCAACAACCACCAACATACTCATGATTGTAGTTGTATTTGTGTGTGTGTGTGTGGGGGGAGGGACTGACAATCAAAAGACTACAGTTACAGATTCCTCCACCAAACACAGGTATGGCACACCATCCAAATGTTTCTGTTTGGCCGGTGAGGCTTAAAGCAGCACTACGGGGATTTGGAGACCTCTCTGGTGGAATTGCGTAACTGCACGGAGAAACATTTTGTATTGTCAGTGACGCCTCAGAACCTCACAAATGGATGATCGCGAGTTCAGAGTATTCAAAGAAAATTCAGTCAAAACTTGGTGTAGGACGTTTCTTCTTCATATCTGTGCTTGTTATGTATAAATAGGTAAAGACGTATGATGTGGTTTAAAAAACTCCTGGAAAATCTGACCCGACTCCTTTGACTTTTAAATTATTTCAGTGCAGCTTTAACACTGTCAAGATCTATCTGTGTGTGTGTGTATGTATATATATACACACACTCCTCATTGTCCCTTGCCTGGCCTCTGGTGACACTAGGCTCCTAAGTATGACCTTAGGAAGCCTTTCACAGATCTCTTTAATGCATCACATTGTTCAGGTTTTATGTTTTATATACAAAAATGCCCTGGAAACAAGACTCTGGGAACATAGCTAGCTAAGCTAGCTCTCAACGTAGCATAAACAGGTAAACAACCAACTCATACTACCTTCAATTTTAGCGTTAGCTACTTACATCAATATGGAACCTGGTTAGGATTAACTTTGGCTAGCCTGGCTGACTAAACGCGCAAGCAGCCCACAATAAATTCTGTCAATTTATCAAACTTATAATGGCATCATTATAACCCTGTTAACTTTGAAAATACAAACCAAATGAAACTATTTTCCTCAGCTGTAAGGCTGGCGTTTCCAGTGACCGTTGGATTTTGAATTTGAAATGCGTGCGGCTGCGCGCGCGTGCTGCAGCGCTGTAACTTACCAACGCGCTCCTTTAGGAACTCCTTCAGCCCCAGGAACCCATATTAACCATCATTAATATACTGACTGTGCTATAGTCTCAGCTGCCGTTTCCGGAATAAAATATATAGCCATTGAGCAAGTCATAATGAGATTTTTTCCTATAATTATGATCTCATTAATATAAATTCTCAAAATTATGACTTGCTATGTCATAAATAATTACGTAGTGTCTCATAATAATGAGAAAGTTTCTCAATTATGACTTAATAGCTCATAATTGCTCACTATGTCATAATAAGAAATTTCTCAATTATGAAAAAAGTCATAATTATGAAAAAGTCAATTAATAAATTCTAAGTCATAATTATGACATTGAATCTCATTACAAGATACTAAGTCAACTATGAGAAAATCAATTATGAGATAGCAAGTCGTAATTATGTGATTGTAAATAATAATTGACATAAGGTCATTATGAGATTCTAAGTCTTAATTTTGAGAAAGTCATAATTATGAGATGCAAAGTCATAAGACACTAAGTCATGAGCGGATCTCATTATTACGAGCCAGTAAGTCAAAATTATGAGATACCAAGTCACGAGATAGACTCATTATTCTGAGATGGCAAGCCATAATTATGAGATGCTATGTCATAATTATGAGATATTAAGCCATAATTATCAAAGCCCTAATTATAATGATTTACTAAATAGCTGTATGTGTTTTCCAGTGGCATAGATGGGCTTTCATACAGATGAAATCAACTCTCTCTTTATCATAAATTGTAACACTGCTCAACATTTGACCATCTAACGCTAAGGGAGAGTTCTGCTTTTTCATTAAATCATTAATTTGCAAACAAAAAACCTGATGGCCATTCAGAGTGATAAGATGTGAAATGCTCCATTCTAGAGAAACTCAGCAGTATCAGAATTTTTCACACTGGAAGTGACAGGAAGCAGACTAGCTCATAGACAATTACTACATGATTACTAATATGCTGCCTGATGCCTAAGACATTGTTTTATTGTTTTACACGTTTTACTAAACATATTAAAAGGTTGGAGATGTAGATGCAGGGTGCCTTAGGGCAAAAATAGCACCCAAAGACAACCTTTTCCCCCAAATGTACCATTTTAACATTATTAGCATTACATAAAAAAATTCTGAGGATACATGTATAAATTCGCTGGCAGTTTTGGGTAGTAAATAAATGGCTGTAAGTTGTAAACACTGCGACCCCTGGTTCCTATCACCACCACTGTAAAGAAATCTGAAACAGTAAATTTCTCTTCATTGTACCATTTCACATCACATAACACTCTGAATTACTATGTTTAGATCTCAATGGCAGAAATTTTCTATGAAACTTTTCTGCATGTCGGTTTTACGCTGCCCTGGTTTCATAAGTTAAGCTAAGAACTACTGTATATCTAATAAACCCAGAATAGCAGGCAGGTCAGGTTTAGTTCTAATCATGGTTTCTCCTGGATTAGGCTGAACAGATTTAAAAGGCTCCAGGCTGGTTTAACAATACCCTACTAACTTGATCTATAAATGTCACACTCTGGGCACAACTAATGGAAGAATAAAACACCTAAAGCACTTAAGCTAAATTATGTTGAAACTTCTTGCAATATGCTAACATGCTTTAATTCCCAACAGATATTCTACAGTCATGCTATCTCAGAATAAATAATGGACAACAGAATCCAGAGGATATACAATTGTGATCAACATGAAACATGCTCAGAACAAACGGTCTCATTCATATCGTATGACGTTTTCCTGTGTACATTTATTTGATACAAAACTATATGTATGACGGTATAAGATGGTCCTCAAATAAACACAGTTTATTTTAACTAATTTGATTAAAGAAAGATTTAAAGAGACAAAATGATGGGTGAAATAAAAGGCACAGACCTTAATTAATGAGACTGAAACAGGAACGGCTATAAAATATAAAACTCTTGCATAATATAAATGAAATATGCTCTGTAAGTATGTAATTTGTGAGGATGTTTGATTGAAAAGTACATCAAATATGATCAACACCTTAAAATCAACTGTGACAAAGATGGTAATATAAGCTAAACAAGAACTGAAAGAATGGCTGTTGTGCACCAGCTCATCTGACATACTCCCATGTATGCAGGCACTGAGTTTGAACCCAGAGCCATACTCCTTTAACCCATTCCTCACCAGCTGGCATCTGTAAAAAAATGGTGAAAAGATTGCACATCAAAAGGCAGTATACCATTATTTTATTACATTTTATTTATTTTTGTAACAACTTTTATTTTTCTTTGTGTTCCTTCTCAGACAGTTTATTTACAAACAGATGTGGAAACAAAGAATGTAAAGTGTACTAAGTAGAAAGTAAGTATAATGTATTCAAATATTATTTACCATTATTTGGATTCCTTCTCATGTGTGGACCACGTCGTCTGCCAAAGCGACTGAAATTTTGTCTAGCATCGAAATTCGAGACAGGCATCTTTTGAACAGGACCATCCTGCAGCATCAGAGACATCATAAAGAGTCATTACTCTCACATAGAACAAATTACAAACATCACAACACTGATACACAGCATGCCCAAGATCAAGATGAAATAAGCATGTGCACTCACCCACTGCTCTGTTTGCTGAGGCATCTGCACAGGCCAGTCAAAGTCAACTCCTGCATCATGCACATCTTCCTCATCTATATATGCAGGCTCATTTTCCTGACTAGGGGCAAAAAATGCTGCAATCAGTTGTAAAGTTGTAATTGGTTTTCTTATTTAAAAAATAAATAAATAAATCAGAGCGAGTGTGTGAGCTCATTCAGGTTTTGGACCAGTGATTTATTATTAATTTGTTTAATCAGAGTACTGTCAAAGCACGACTAATGTATGACTTAAATTCCTATTCACATGTTTTTATGTTCAAAAAATGGTAGTTTGTGTTACAAACTGAATAAAAAATTGTGAATTTTCAGCTTTGATAGATCACGTTTTTTTTTCATCACAGATGCAACAGCAGCATTCTGAAATTGTGTTATTAAGGGGAAAAAAGTAGATAAAACAGCAGAAACAGTCACTGATTAAGCAGCTTGTACCTCTGAGGTGCCATCTGAGAGAAGCTCCCCCCAGTAATGGTGATCTTCACTCCCTCCAGCCTTTGTTGTCTCTTCCTCTCCAAGTCATGCCTTAAATCACCAGGAGCAGGGACCTGCCTTCTCTGTGGCTGATAAAAGAATGTGTTTGTCAAGCAGCACTTAACTCCTGACATTTAACACAGCTGTATCATGCAGATCAGAATAAGTGGTTACACATTATTTAAAGGCTGCCTACATAGGGACTTCATGACACATGCATATGAACTGACAGACATTTATAAAACAATAGAGCTTGTATCTGCAATAAATAGCATACGCTGTTCATAAACAGTCAAGATCTGCTTTAAAATGTTATTTAATGATTGTGTATGTGTTATGAAGTCCCTGTGCAGGCAGCCTTCAAATAAAGTGCTACCAAATAAGTAATGCTGAACGATTTACCTGCCAAGACCCTATCTTGCAGAAAATCTGTGTGTGTGATGAGTCACCAAGAGGTCTGAAAAAGAAGGAGACATAATGAAAACACTTCACTTAACTCTTCACCTTTCAATTATTTAGGTGAAGAGAGACTTCATCCATCTAAAACAATGTAATTCAGATTCAAATGTAGATTACTGTGCGTTTGATGACTAGTTTGAGTAAAAAAGACTGCACAATAGCTGTATTTATAGCACACAAGAGACCGCTGTACCTATTTATGACTGGCTCCATTTCCTCCAGCTCTTGCTGGTCTTCTGCAAACTCATCCTCATCCTCAAGGGTATAATGCTGCTCACTAGAGAAGCGTTCATTAAGAGTAATCCCTTGACCCTGGAAATAATTTTCTGATGAAAATAAAACATAAAAGAATTAACACAAATTTGGTCTAACTGTAGGGGAGATATTAGATGCATCTCAAAAGTAGGAGAGACCTTGCTAGCACTATACAAATGCTCCACTTCACAACTACACACTTTTAAATATTACACGTAAAAATATTCCATTAAAATTTCATTACAAACTCTCGTGCCACAGCAACTCTGCACTCATGGCTGTTTCTGCCCTTTTAAGAATGTTATGGAGCTATGCTCGAAGGATTCTGGATGACTAAAGGTCTTGGACACACCAGCTGCACCCTTCAGTTTCTCAGAAAAGAAGGATGCATTTTTCGGCCAGAAATACAGCCTCCCTCTGCTTTGAGACACAGCTATCATATGCTTGTCGACTAATTTAACAATGTCTGACCTTTGACATGATGTACCAGAGTGATGATCTCTTGGGCAAATGTCCCAGAATGCATAGCTGACTCCCTGTAGGTCCCAGAATGCTCCAGCATGGGCAGAAAGTCAAGACGCTGTCTGCCCACATTGACCAAGTCGAGTGACAACTGCCTTTCCGAAGAATAACCTAAGTGTCTGCACAAAGTGAGGAAGGCATGAAGAAAGCCATTACGACAATCAAACAAAAAGCAGGTTTGGGGGAACTATGCACTATTTAACAGACCCAAAAAGAAATACCAACCTTTACCAGCTTTACCAAAGATCAATTTTAAACATTTCCTTCTCAGCAGGCTATTCTGAAGAGGTCTGTTCAGCTCTCCAGACAAAACACAGATCAAGTCTAGTACTAAGCTACAGTGCCAATGAAGATTTTCCCATTGCAAATTTGTCTTTTACTACTGGAATCTGTATAAAAAATAGGGTTGGGCGGTATAATGGTAATAAAATATGCAGTGTAATGGTAAAAATTATGCTGAAACTTCAAAATGATGATGTATCAAGAGTCTCTTCCACATGTAAATGGCCAAATAAACATTCACACATTTATATTTTGGAAGGGCTTACCGACTGGTGGTGGAAGCTCACCATTTGGTGACGAAGATAGAAAGAGGGGAAAACCTCAAAAAAAAACTAAGCGACAGCTAAAAGCCCCACACACCACAGGATTTCTGTGAACTGTTAAAGAGATGGTTTGACAATTATTGAATGATAGCTTGAAAATCGTGCACACATTCATTTATTTGGTGACCAAGTAAGCAAAATAAATGTCTTATTTTCGTTTTTGCAAAGTTATTTATGGCACTTTTATGCAATCCCTCCCAACACCTCCCTTGCCCACCCATGGTACTACCGTACATTGCGGCAATAGTTAGAGAACGTTTGAAGGTATGGAACAAGTGAATACCGCCCAACTCTATGAAAAATCAATGAAAAATCAATGAAAAATCACAGACACCCCCCCCCCACACACACTGGAAATCAGTACAGTGTTTGAATGTGCTGCAAGAGTCAGCCACATATAACCAATTACCAGTACTTCCAGAGAAACCTAAACCATTCTCATGGGAAATTAAAGGTGTTACTGTTTAAAACAATTGCAACTGGGTGTATCTAAAAAGCAGAAGTAGGGAGCAGAGAGTTATTGTTGGTTTATGGATTTACAGAGTTAACAGTGTACATTTAATTACATTTTTATTATTGTTACTCGAATATTTTCTTAATAATTCAGAATAATTCTGAATTATTCCAAATTTCGAATTAATTTAAAACCTGACATAGCATCAAACAACCCTTTAGGCTAATCTCCCTTAACCGTCTGCTGCTTTTTAAGTATACCGCTGAATCATAAATGGGTGGTGAAGGTTCATGCCTCTTTTCCATTCTCCATTTCAGTCCTTTGGTTTAGAAACTTTGACAATCTTCTCTTCAGCTCAGGATCTTCTTAACTAGAAACATGGAGACAGGTGCAGAATGTCCATGGAGGATATTCACTAAGTGTTCAATCAATCAGTGATCAGAGGAAACTTCTTCCGAAATACCTCAGTCTTGGTTATTACTGACCAGCTTGTTCCAGTGTCTTGTCCTGTTCTGGCAAACTTCATAAGGAACTGACGATGTCACATGGTCTTCTCGCAAAATGAGACAGGACAAAAACGTTTTCATGGACTCAGCTTCATGCTTAAATCTGAGCTCCTTATTTCCTTGAACAACAGAGTGGAGTGGGTCCTTTGAATGAGATGGTATTAGGCAAATTTTGAGAAGAATCTGATCAGATACATGATGAATTATCCACCACATTTAGATTCATGATATCCAGCTTTGCCCAGTAGATTTCACAGAACATGAGGATCAGTTATGCCTGCTTCTCTGACCTCTTCAATCCTACTTTCAAAATTAGGTTTATTCTGTCTTGTACACAGTGGGTAGCGCTGTCGCCTCACAGCAAGAACCACCTGGGTTCAATTCCCCGCCTGGCAACCAGGGTCTTTTCTGTGTGAAGTTTGCATGTTGCATGTGTCTACATGGATTTCCTCCCACAGTCCGAAGACATGTAGTCAGGCAAATTGGAGATGCTAAACTGCCCCTGTGTGAGAACATGTATGTTGTGTGTCTCAACATACATGTTCTCACACAGACTGGGAGCCTGTCCAGGGTGTTTCTTGCTTTCTGCCCAATGACTGCTGGTACTGGCTCCAGCACCCCCCATGACCCAGGAGGATTGCGTAATATCATTTTTCATATTTATTTACCACTTCTAGTCCTGTTCAGCTTTTCCCAGTAGACATCATGGACCATGAGGATCTTAACTTGGCTTCTTCAACTTATTTCTCCACATCAATATGAGACTGTTACTTTGAAGAGCATTTCACAGTGTAAACTGGTCTTGTCTCTTCAGTATGTGGTCCCAAATCTTTGGCAATTCTTGATGTGGAAAATACATCTTGTGCTGCATGCACTCTTCCAAAAATTAGCCCAGAATACTATTGAGGAAATGTGAAATGTTCCCAAATCTCACTACCGTCCACACATGCAGATATCCTCAGCAGATATGCCATAATCGAAGATCTCCCAAAGCCCCCATGGTGTCCATACATTCAGTTTGCAATTTTTATAAAGTCTTCAAAGAATAAGGTGAGCGCCAGGTGGTAGTTTTAGAGGCTTTTGATTTTTTTGTATAGTATTATCAGTGAATAAGTCCCATACAATTCCACCAAATTCTACGGATATCAAGGTATTTGGGTCCAGTCCATTCCCAAATACACAAAACATATAAACACTGTTGTGTTTTTTCACAGAATCCGGGATTGTTCACTTACCTTCAAGCAGTACTGATTTAAAATGGAAGAACCTTTTTATATAATCTTAAATGAAGCACTGGTATTTTGGTGGACACAACATCTTCAGTTTCCTCTACAGGAAAGGTCATTAGTTGATCTGTGCACCCAAGTCATCAAGCGTGCTCTTCAAATCCATCTCACTGGTCAAGATCAACATGCTCCAGTGTCATGCTGGCTTATTGTCAGTCTTCCACTGGTGGATCTTCCAGCATTATTCGTAAGGAACAGTCTGGCTTTAGGTGAAGCTTGATATTTCACAATTTTCCACTTGATAGATTCCTTCCCACATCGCTAAGTGAACATGTGTTACCTGTAAACACTCCTTCTCATCCAGGAATATCTCACCAACATCCACAAAGTGTTCCAGCCTTGACAACATTTCTCACCTTCATGGAGTTTGAATTTCATCACTACTTCATCTCTTCATCGTAGCTGGGATAAAATACACGACGTACAAATTTTGGTCAAAGCTCCTGGACCAAATCCACAAACACAGGTTTAGAACTTCAAAATCTGTTTAAGATGTTAAAGGCTCACTTAATATTCTTCATGTGGTGTAGTAAAGATCCCCTGAAGTTTCTTCATTGAAGTAATGAATTAGTGTTGCAGTCACTTGTCAGCTCTCTTCTCAGCTTTGCAGAGGTACACTCCATTCAGATTTGAGTGCCAGCTGTGCAGTCCCTGGTCCATTATCAGGATTCTGCCTTCTTACTTTGAACAAGGACAGCACTTTCCCTCTCAGCCAAAGTAATGTGATGTTTCATCCTCTCAAATGTGCAGGTTCGAAGTTATCCAGCTCCAGATTTATTCCCAGTGGAAAACATGAGTATGGTCCTTTACCTCAGCAGAGAGCTGGCAATGATGTACAATACAGGGAACTACCTGTAACTAAATTGGGGGATTGATGAAAAACATAAAACCTTATTGAAAAAGCTTGACTGACGAAGTCCGATGAGACTTGAATCCATGACTTGGTATGTTGCATACTCCTACAGACTTCAAAACAGACAGATATCCACAATGCTCCCAACAAAGCAAAATAAGCTGTAATATGACGTCACGCAATATGATGTTACGTTTTCCATCAAACCAAGACATTCCAAATCCAGAAAATGTTGATGTCCAACCTCCTTGAAACACTAGGAAGCAACTGTTCCTGTGCTCTTCATGCTGTAGAATCAGACCTCTGAAAAAGAGGCATGAACTTTCAACCATACCCAACAGCACTGCTGCGGCGATACTATACCTGCTATGGCCGACAGGACGACTCATATCCACTTTGATCCTTAAAGTTTCATGCTCAGTAAAATCCATTCGAGGCGCAGGAGCAGCATTAGTGTTTAAGTTTCTTTGATGAGGAATTCCTTTTGAAAACGTTCCTGGTTGCAGAACACCACCATGATTTCCTCCTGGTTTTGTCTCCTTCTCCCATGCGTGCTCAGAAGATCTCGCTCTGTTACTCTTGTCATTTCTCAAATCCACATCACCAGTCAGATCCATTGTCCTCTGTCCATGGTGTTGTCTTGCATGCGTATCCATTCTAGATTGCTCCCAATGCTGTGATCTACCTCGCATGGGACTTCCTCTCTCAACAGGAGGGTGATGCAATCTTGTTTCTTCATCACCATGATAGATAGCTGAACTACCACGCCTATCACGTGTGATTCCTGTATGATTGTCATGGTCCCTCCTATGTTTGAGTGATTCCACGCTTCTTGGTGGTTCACTTGTTCTAAGGGGATCTCTGCCTCTTGTTAAGTCGTTGCCTCTTGGAAGATCTCTGCTTCGTGGCAAGTCATTGATTCTCTGAAGATCTCTACTCTTTGGACGCTCTCGGTTCCTAAGTGGATCATGGCTCCTTTGAGGATCCCTGTTCCTTGCATCATGGTTTGGAATTCCATGATCATGCTCCACTATAACAGGAGCATTATGTGGACTATAGCCCCTTTGTGTGACACTATATTCCTCTTGTGGATCCAAACCTCTAAATCTTTTAGGATGTGGGTGATCCTCCCTATAATTTGACTTCAAAGACCTGTGTTGAAAAAGCAAGTACAATTTGTTCAACAATGAAATAATCCAACAGTCAAGCTTCAAGTCATTCCAAGTCTTCCTAACCAATTGCCTTTTCTAAAAACAACCAATAATCAATCTTTAACTTGTTTTAAATTGTACAAATGAGAAGACTTAAATGAATTAATTCTCATTTCTAAAACTTCAACACAGAATGCACTCTAACAACTAATCCTTTGGTACATTTTCAGCATTTCTACAGATAATTTTAAGGCATCATAATTCAATCTTCATTTCTTTCCTTCACTTCAGTTGAGTCAGACAGAATATACAGCTTCATTAGATGTGTTTTTGTACCTCGCGGAAAAGGAGCCTCTCTCATGATATCTTTCTTCATTATGATGTCCATGTTCCATCCGGTCATGTCTCTTTTCTTGTGAATGCCTAGGACTGGAACCTCTTGAATCCCAGTGGGCCCTATTTGAATGGTGCCTGTCAAAATGAGTGGCATCATGCTCATTCCTCCTCCGGCCTGGCGACGGAATCCTCTGATGCGTTTCAGACACATAACGCGAGCCTTCAGGGGAAGACAACCTCTCCCTTGGCAGTCTTCTTGGAGAGTGAGATGGTTTCTCTTCAAACCTCTGGACATCATCCTGTGTTTGGTATCTTAAATTGGGTGAAGGCCTCCGTCTTCTAGCATGACCTATAGCCTCAATAAATTTGGCCCAGTGGTCAACCTCTTCCTCTCCCTGAGAGGGACCATTATCCCAGTGTGAATTACCTTGCACTTTGTTGACAATTTCTGGATTTCTCCACGGATCTGAACGCACAGATGAATGGTACTGCTCTCCATAGAACCCATCTTCTCGCCTCCCAGGCAATGTAGAGTTTCTGCAAAATTAAAAGTTCAACAAGCTATTCATGAGTATATCATTAGAATACAAGTAAATACAATACTGCCATATTTTACTACATTAATACCACATATTTTACAGTATAAAAGATCAAATGAGCCAAAGCCAAATACCTTGAAAATAAAGGTGATCTTGAACGTGGCCGTGACATTGTGACCTTAAAAACAGAATGAGAGTAACAATATAGGTGGTGTGCAAGAAAGAGGTTTAGAGTCAAGACTGTAAAATCAAAACTAGTGGAAAATAACTTTTGTACGTGTAACAGCTATTGGCATTTTAGTCTATCCTACTTCATCTTGACTATGCAAGTCTGTAAAGTGCAAACATTTTGCATGACGTTTGCATAAAATGTTTCCTATGGTCCGCTGTGTATATATTAATACACATGAATTTTCAATTATCAAAATACAATACAGTGGTCGTAGATTAAAATGAACAATTAACACCTGAATATCTGTCATTTATTTGTCATACATATAGTCAGAGACTATACGACACACCAGCGATGGATTACATTCTATTGCGTGTAAATATAAAATTAGACACTGCTCTTAAAAAACTAACCATTTGTAAATAAAACTATTTAGAACAATGGGGAAGTTGAACTGAATGAAATTTTATTTGATCGACGCTGATGAAAAGCCCAATATCAAAGAAAAATTGTTTTTCCTCACTTTTTGAAACAGTAGCATGTGAACATTATTAAAGTACTATTTACTCCACAACCCATAACGTCCATATTGAAGTCCACATATAAACAAAAATGGAAAAAACGGCATGTTTCGAATTCACTGTTTTCGTGATGCCACTAACACATTTACATATCGGCCCATTATTTAGCTCCTAACTAATTTACGCTGGAGTTACAGGGAGTGTTTCAGCCTTGACTGCTTTTTCAATGAGGCACAATACAGGGCAACCATTTAGTTACATATATCAGCCTTAAGGACAGCTTGTTTAATTCTTTGGAATAAAGACATTTTGGAAAATTGTATGCCATGTAAAATGTAAATCCCATGTTAAATGAATCACTACTTATCTTAGTATATACAACTCCAGCGTTATAAGTGGCCCTCGGGAAAAAGAAAACAGCAGCATATGCTTTCTGCGGTTTCTTCTCAGTTTTATATTTATCTTCCAAAACAAAGCACAAAATCCAAAATCTCGCTGGAGTTGAAGGAAAGAATGTGTACTCGATATAACTAAGTAGAATTAAAACCGGAGAAAATAAACATTTTATCGTTAATCATACATAACAGACAAATGTAAGTTACTCGTTACTCTTTTCTGTTATGAATTAGCTATCTAGCGTTAGCATAAACTAGCGTTAGCTAAGCTAGGTTAAGACTTGCTCGACAGTTAGCCGACTAGCTTCTAACCGTTTACTTAGCTAGCTAGCTTGACAAAACGAAAGAGTCGAATTATTATTTGAAGCTTACAGAAAAGTCATGTACACTACTTTTTGCGGCTGTCCTGCAGTGCAGATGAAGTAGGCAGGCTCGTAGTGAGCAGTTAGCTAACTTTAGCAAGCTAGAGTCATCGGGCCTTTTACCTCCTGCGCCGCTCGCGCACCAGAAAACACAAGAAGACGAAGCGTCCACCAAAATACCAGCTTCTAGCAAATAAACTGTCAGTATGTCATGGACCTAACATAGAAACATTTTACTGATGGGACACGAAAACAGTGCTGTCGTAGTTCGCGGCCTGTTTGTTTCCATTCGCGAAGAAACTTGCGTGATCCAAAACACACTCCATGAATAAACCTTGACCCGGATGTCTGTCGGGTCTTCCTCTGGGGTGAGTCTGAGACGGAGGGGAGCTGCCTGCTCCCTTGCTTTCTAGTGCACTTTAAAATGTCAGCGGGTGCGTTTCGTATCTCTGGAGCCCCTGAAAGGACATGGGGGAGAAATGATATGTTTTTTTATAATGATTAAGGGACCCTCCTGCCTGCGGAATGACGTTTTTTTTCCAAATTAATTATCTCGAGATAATTTTCTCGGGTTAATTTTCTGAACGTCTTCTTTTTTGACACGCAGGTTATTCTTTTAACACTTTGCATGCATCCACCTATAGCCATCACATTGTCCAGAAAGCTGCAGCTGCTCTTGAATAAATTGACCACTATCTCGGATATATTTATATATATTTGTATAACCCTTCCTCTGAAATGCTCTGCTGCATTTTAAAACACGCTTCAAATGGCGCTCTAATATAATATAACGATGTCTGTTGTCTTTGTGTTTGAGACCAAGTTCCAAATGAAGGGCTACATCCTCGTGAGACCTGGTAATGCATATAAAGAAACATTGCTGAAACCTGGTGAGCCATGTAGAGGACATTCTGGCCTTGTCAAAATGGCTGCCATCTCAGCAACCGCATTTTATGGGTGTTAAGAAATTGAAAAATATGCATTTATGATTGGTTTCTAAAGCTTAGTTGATACATTTCAGGTAGAAAAACGTTTTAGCTCATTTTCAGAGCATTTTTTATTGATATGCATAAATGTAACAGTAACGTAACAGTCACCATAACAATATGCTTTTTTGATGTCCTCTGTGGTGGACATTGGGACTTTCTAAATCTGTTTTTGTATGAAATTCATGGTATCACTGGTGACAGGAAATTGACTGAAGCAGAGGAAATTAAAGGAAGATCACATCCCTCTTGATCCAGTTTGGGTTAGAAGCAACAACATGTGAACTTCGCAGTTAAATACATTACGGTGATATTACTGTATCGGTTTTCTTTCTTTTTGGTCCTCGTTTTTTTGTACTGCTAGTATTTTAAGTTTTACTCTTACTGCTAAATGGGCAACTGGAATAAGTGTTTGCAGGCATTTAAGATAGGGATCTAGGTTTTATTTAATTTCCTAATTTATTAGAAAATCTCCTTTTACACAATTGCACATTTAAAAATTAAAATGTTAAAAACAAATTAATTCTCCTTCCTCTCCATTAATACCTACAGTTGGAACAGTTCGCTGCTAAATGACACCCAAAACTGTACTGACTGGGTGCCCTGGAGTTACTATGAGCAGTAAATTGATGATAAGGACTTTGAAGATTGATGACAAGGATTTTGAAGTTGTTGCTGGTGTTGCAGCAGGGTTTCGGTCTGATGCAGTAAAGGAAACAAGAAATATGACATCAACATAATTACTATGCAACATCCTGTTGTCCACTATAAAGGACATTACATAAAAAATAGATAAAAAGTGTTTTTGAAAAAAAAAAAATACTGTGACAATTTTTTTTCAGCCAGTAGACTTATTTTATCTTAAAATTACTAAAATTCTCAAACTTTATTTTTTTTGGGTCTTGTGGCCAATTTCTATTAGAATAGTTCCAATCAGAATTTCGCAACTTCCAGCACAACTGAAAAAAGAGTTTGGGGAGATAATAGTATAATGCTGCCATCTGCAAGGCGGAGTGGGTAATATGCTTAAGTTTTCCCTATATTCATTTTGAGATAATTAAATCAGGGTCATTATCTTGAGATAATTATCCTGCAAAAATTAATTTGAGAATATAAAACTGCATGTCATTTCACAGGCAGGAGGGTTTTTTTAACCCAGTAGAAAAACCCTTGTCATTTTTTCTCCCATGACCGTTAGGGGGGGGCTCCGTACCTACCAACCCATGTTCCCTATGTAGTAAACTAACTGCACTTACAAAAAAGAGCTGTAGTAACACTATTTACAGCTTTAATAATAGCAACATCTTTGTTGTGTAGCACATTTTATACAAAAATGCAGCTAAATATGCTTTACAATCAAATATAGTGTGAATAAAACAGTTTTGAGACACACCACATTTGAGACACACCCCACTGGTTTTAAAGCCATCTTTATGGTTCTTCATAGGGGATGATTACAACAAACTACCACCTGTAGCGTAAATAAAACTGGATAGAAAAGTAAATAAAAAAGAACTTCCTACTTTTAAAAACTTGTAGATATTATTTGATATTAACAGATAAAATGTTCCAAATTGTTGGTGTACAGTAACAGAAGTCTTTTTGTACTTTATTGTTCCTCAGGCGCTCTGACGCTACACATTTAGAGCTTTAAAACTCAGTAGAAGATTCTGGTAAAAAACAACAACAGAAAAAAAAATCTAAAAGAGCAACAGGGAAGCAAACATTTTGTAAAACATATAATTGGCAAAAGATGTGATGCCTTCCCGCCTCCGCCTGAGTAGGAGGTATTTTTTTCCATTTGAGACACACCCCACTAGTTTCAAAGCCATCTTTACAGTTCATTATAGTGAATGGCTATAAATGCCACTTGGGGGAGCACGGGCATACATGGTTATGAAAAAATGAAATGAATGAGAAGAACGCAATTCCAAACACCCCCATCTTAAAGGGCAGTTATCATGGAAAACTGAATTTTTGTCACTAAAAAAAAGTTTGATATACATTATATGGAAAAAGGTATTGGGATGCCCCTCCTAATGATTCAGGAGTCTCAATGGACGCACAGTGGCAGTGGAATGAGTTGTACTGATGAGTCAGTTTGGGGGGGGGGAGGTGTAAAGCATGCCGCCACTGGACTCTGGAGAAGTGGAAAACGCATTCTATGGAGTGACAAATCACGGTTCTCTATCTGGCAGTCTGATGGACGAGTCTGGGTTTGGCAAATGCCAGGAGAACGCTACCTGCCTGACTACATTGTTCAAACTGTAAAGTTTGGTGAAGGAGGGATGATGCTATGTGGTTGTTTTTCAGGGGTTGGCCTAGAACCCTTAGTTCCAGTGGAGGGAAATCTTAATGCTCCAGCATAACAAGACATTTTGGACAATTGTATGTTTCCAACTTTGTGGGAACAGTTTGGGGAAGAACCTTTTCTGTTCCAGCATGACTGAGCCCCAGTGCACAAAGCAAGGTCCATAAAGGCATGGCTGGATGAGTTTGGAGTGGAAGAACTTGACTGGCCCTCACAGAGTCCTGACCTCAACTCCACTGAACACCTTTGAGATGAACTAGAACAGAGATCGCGAGCCAGGCCCTCTCATCCAACTTCAGTGTCTGACCTCACAAATGCTCTTCTGGATGAATGGGCAAAGTGCCCCACAGACACACTCCAAAATCTTGTAGAAAGCTTCCCAGAAGAGTAGAAGCAGTTATAGCTGCGAAGGAGGGACCAACTCCATATTAATGCCAATGGATTTAGAATGGGATGTCATAAAATGTCCTGTAGCTGTCCCAATACCTTTCTCCATATAGTGTATGATGTAAACATTGTGAAAGTTTCAAAACATACTGTTCACTCCTTAGTCCTTACAGCCCATACACAGAAACTTAGCTGCAAAAAGACCCTATTTTGCATTTACTGTTTTTGTGATTTTGTGACAAAAACCCACTCATTTACATATATCCACCTATTCAGCCTACAGAAGTTTAGCTCCGCCCATTCCCACTGAAGTTATAAGGAATGTTTCAGCCTAGACTGTTATTCAAATGAGATGCAATACAGGGCAGCCAATCAGAACAGAGCTTATTTACATATATCAGTTTTAAAGACACGGTAACAAAAACAACCTGTTTAACTCTAAAGGATAATAAGAGGTTGGAAAATGAATTATGAATTATGATTTTTGGTATATAAACCCACCAACGTTATAAATGGACCTATAAATGATATACAAATATAAATCAGTTGATAGTTCAACAAAGCATCTAACATTAACTGTTCAGAACATTTTTTTTTGTGTGTGGAAAGTATTTTTCTTGAAGAAACACGTGACAAGCAATGTGGCTAGATAATTTTATTGTTATTGTAATATCCCAGGTTTCTGCAGCTCCAAAGCATTTGATCCATGCACCATTTATCACCATGAAGCAACTGGCTTATTTGAGAATGACAATGAATTTTATCCTTTCCTCAAAGTCTTCTGTAAACTCTGAAATGATATGAATCCCCTTTGCCCTTAACCTTTTAAACCTGTCCAAAGAATGAGAGAAAGAGAGAGAGACAGAGAGAGGAAGAGAGAGGCAGACAGAGGCAGACAGAGAGAGAGAGAGACAGGGAGAGAACAGCCGATCTTACATGGAATGTTGTCCTTATTGGTCCTTAACCATTCAAGTGCATCAGGAGTGTTACATCATGACAGCATCATACACATCTTTAAGACCACCAAACACAGAACCGCTGAAGAACACCAGGAACCAAAATGACTGAGCTCACATGCAAAGCTCACCAACACCCTGAGCATACAAGATGGTATAAACAGAGGCATTTTTACAAGATGAGCATATAGACAATATGACCTAACTTATGTAGCATATAGGGGAGCTTTCCAGTCAGCACATTTACTGTACAGGTTTAGCATTGCTTCATCACTCTGGTTCATAACGTGTTCACTGTATGAATGTACAGCCACTGGGGTTTGTCTGCTCTGCATAGTTTGCATCTTCAGAGTGGGTTTTAGTGAGTGAACAACCCAATAAATACAACATACAGCAAACACTGAGCTGCTTAACACTAACACAATAACAGAAAACGCAACACATTACGTCTTCCTTTCTTTTTGACTATGTCTCTCTCTCTCTCTTTCTTTTTTCTGCAAGGCTCTCTCTCATTTTTGCAAGTTTTCTTTCTTTTTTGCCAATTTCTTTCTTTCTTCTTGTCTTGCTATGTCCCTTCTTGCCTGTTCTTTATTTGCCAACTTCTTTCTTTCTACCTTTCTTATTTCTCTGTTTGGACAACTTAATTTTTTTCTTATGTCTTCTTTCTTTTATTGCAAAATTCGTTCTTTCCTTTTTCCTATGTTCCTTTTTTCTTTACTTTTTTGCCGATTTCTTAATTTTTTACCAACTTATTTCTTCCTTATTTTTTTGCCAATTTCTTCCTTTTACCAGCTTATTTCCTCTATACTATTTTGCCAATTCCTTCATTTTTTACCAGTTTATTTATTCTTTACTTTTTTGCCAATTTCATGCCTCCTTCCTTTTTTAGTTTTCCTTCTTTCTTGCCATTTGCATTCTTTCTTGCTTTACTATTTTGCCAATTTCTTCTTTTCTTCTTTTTTGCCAATTTCTTTCTTTTTTACTGATTTCTTTCTTTCTTTCTTCCTTTTTTGCCAATTTCCTTCTTTCTTTCTTGTATTTGCCATTTTCTCTTACTTTTCTTCTTATTTTTTTGACATTTTCTTTTTTGCTTCCTTTCTTATTCAGCCAGACTCTTCTTTCTTTCTTTCTTTCTTTCTTTTTAAAATGGCCACTGTTACACTGGAAGTTTTATTTCACAATGTGTGTGTAAGAATGTCACAAGAAGGGCATCTTATATTTTTGTAGATAATAGTGTACATCTGCATGACGTTTTGATATCTAGCAGTAGCCTACAATGCTTTGACTGAGTTAAAGTAGTGAAATATTGGATTTACCGTATGCAAACCCCAGCAATACGACACGTCACACTGAACACACTCTACACAGTTACACACAGTCGCGCTGCTGGTCAGTTGTGCTCCCGTCGCAAATACACAGAACTCCATTGAGTTGCTACAAGCCTCGTGTTTTTTGATCCACTCATTAAAACGCTACAGTGTATACAGGAATATAAAGAACTATAAGACTGCAGTATTACAGGTGCCTTCCCTCGCAGTTACTACAATGAAATATTTTGAAATGTAATACGTATGGAGGAAAGGCTAAGCTTTAATCTATGTGTAAAGGAGTGCTTCTGACTTAACAAATCATACAACATTCAGTGCTCGCTCTCCATTGTTCAGGCTCCGGGGTGCAGAGGGGTTCTCATGGAGAAGCTTGAAAAAGCTGGAACTGAGGCACAACAGACTGTCTTTTTGTTCAGGCCAACTCCAAACCATTCCTCACCAGGACAGCTCACGTGGCACTGTCTCCTAAAAACAGAGTGAGCAACAAAAGGGGGCCTGAAACGATCACAGACAGACTGAAAGTTGAGAGAGGACGCTGGCCTGTCATGGTCACTGGAAATGGGTGTGGTTATGTGAATATATGAATTATCCTAGTACTTCTTAAATACATTTTTGATTGAGTGTGAGCTACAGAGAATGCCGAGACAAGCAGCTGAAATTTAATATTTTGCTTAAAAAGGAAATTCCTCTGATTTCTCTAAATTTCTGCATAATTCAGTCACTGAGATGTAAACAAAGTCATTCAGAGTGGTTTGATGTAAAATGGTTCACTGTAGAGAAACTTAAAGACTGATTTCTTTACAGTGGTGATGATAGGAACCAGGGGTCACAATGTCCACAACACAAATATAGCTATTTTATTTATTATCCAAACCACCAGTGAACAGAGATTTTACATGTAAAGTTGATAATGGTAAAATAGTAGTAAATCCAAAAAAGTTTTCTTTGGGGCGCCGAATGTACCCCATACATAAAAAATATATGTTTTATGCCAAAAGCTTATCTCAACCCTATCAGGCTTTAGGCAGCGGTTTTATCATCATTCCATGTAATAGCGTCTTGTGAGGACTTCAGACACCCAGTCTTATCACCACCACTGTGAACAATTCTGAAAGTTTCACATCAAACCACTCAGGGACTGTGTACACCTTAATGATTTTATTAGGCAGAAATTTTAATACATCTTCGGAGTTCCCCTTTAAGCGAAATGATGTCCAAATGGAGCCTTATAATAGCATATGATATTATGCCATTAAGGAGATGACAAATTTGTACTGTGCAAGTTCAGCTCTGAGTTATCATTCTGCCCTGCTTGTGTGATAATTTGCTTACAAAGATAAATCATAAAATCAACTGTCAATCAGGTACAGACACTTTGTTTATTTTTCAGATTCACAATCAGAATAAGGTTTACTTTGGCAAGTATGCTACACACAGACCTACAAGGAATTTACCTTAGGGAGTCCAACATGTATAGTCGTATGCATAAGTCTGATCACCCCTGTCAAATTACTTGTTTTGTTCTAAGTAAGAATAAGTTAACACATCCTCTTCAAACTTATATAAGGTGTTTTTCTGCACATTTTAGTGTACAATTTCAAAGTTTAATCTAACTAACTTTCAAAGTTAGTTAAAAAACTAACACATAAAATATAAAATGTGCCCTAACTTCTGCAACATTTTATGTTTTGTTTTTCGATATGTTCAATTAAGGAAATCAGCAATAATTGTGTGTTTTCTGTAGTGGTTATTTTTACTCAGAAAAACATCAAAAACCTATTTTTTTAACCGACTTTATTAGCCTTTTTTTAACCTGTGGCTCACACTGTGTGGGCTAAATGAACAAATAAAACACACTAGCACATTTCCAGTGCTTTCAGTTAGCCAAATCTGCAATATAAATAACGTTATTTGCTCTTTAATGGACCAAACTGGCATTTTAAATTCATAAACAAAAATGTGTTGTCTATTTTAATAGCATGAATCAAATAAAGTGCTCCATCAAAAGTAAAAGGTAGCCAAACAAAAATAGCTAAAATCATCCCTAAAGCTCACCCATTGCACTAGATGCTGAGCTTTTCCATGGTCGGCCCAAGACTCTGGATGAGTGCTGAGTCTGTAGCAGCGCTGCTGAAGCCCTGGATGAGGTTTTTGTTGCAGTCTCCAAGCGCTGCCCCGGCAGGAGCTTTAGGATAGGGTGGCTGGCCGGTGAGATCCAGCAGCTGGTCCAGGGCCTGGCTGTTCCTCATTGTGTCGTGGGAGCCCTCGCTGACTGGAGAGTAGATCGGCTCATCTCTGGAGACTGGGCTGATGGAAGGAGGGAACAGGTATGCCTCAGAATCTTTTACGATATATATAAACAGAGCCTAATATGGAAACATGGCAAACAGAAAGGGGACACATTCACGGCGACAATGTTGATGGCTGACCTGACATCCATGGACTGGACCCCATCAGAAAGATCATCTGCTGCACTGCCCTTCGCTTCCAGGGGCTCTAGGTTTATTACAGGCGAGTCAGCAGAGATAAATGAGGGGGATTCATTGTTCTTCACCTCAGCAAAGGTGGAGCTTTCAGTTGGGCCATTAATCAGAGTAGCATCTATAACGAAGGAATGACAGTGTGTTACTTTATGCTGTAAACTGCTCTCTAAGTAGAGAAACTGTCATTTCAGTTCCTTTCTGAAAATGTATGCAGAGTTCGAATTAATGGGGGGGGGGGTCTGGAAGATGGGAGGACCCATAAGAGAGACAGAATTGAACTCAGGGGTCCCTTGTAAATTTTATGACAAAATGAAAGCCCTCAACGTGACCAGTGTTCAACAGGTGATACATTCATGCATCTATATGTATGTGTGTAAATACATATATTTAATATCCATTAGTATATATGGTTCTGTTGACCTGTCTACTATTTATTGTCTTGTGTATTTATTGTTCTGCATATTTACTGTCTGGTGTATATTCTGCAGTTGTTTCACACTGTCGTGTATCTGCACTCTGTGTAGTCCTGTGTAATGTGCAGCTGTTGTGTTGCTCCATGGGGCCTGAAGAACGACATTTCCTTCCAGTATATACAAGTTATGTTGATGAATGACAATAAAGACGACTTGACTTGATCTGAGGTTTTTTCCTCCTGGATGATGAATTCCTAATGTAACCATAAAATCTAGTTCATTCTGGAGAACATTAAAGTTTGAGTGCATCTCAAACTGATGACAAACTTTAGATACTTTTGACCTCACATATTCATGAAGACACAGAGGAAATAAATGCTGTTGAAATGCTGTTTAAACTATGATTATTTGCATACTCTAAATATTTCTACATCTTTTACCAACAATAAGAAACAAAAGAGAGAACTGTTTGGATGCTGAAAATCAACCTGAAATCAGCCACCCCCTCCCACCAATCATCAAGCTAAAACACTCAGCTATCTCAGAGACCCTCCACAATACCCTCAGGAATACACACAGCACACAGTATGGAAAAAAATCATGAAATGTTTTATGATTTCTGATTCACACTGACTGTAAATATAATGCCAAGGCTGGTGTCACAAAGTTTTGTCTCACCTCCAGGTTCCAAAACGGACGGGGTCATGGGGGAGCTGGACTCGATGTGCACCTCGTCTTTCTGTTCAAACACAAAGCATGCAGTAATTTAGCTACAGTCACTACTTATCTGACTGATGTCATTTATGATGAGCACGTTTTCGTCTGAGGAACGTGTGCACGGATCTTACCTTTGGTTCTGCATCATTTTTTCTCGTCCTTTTCATGATCTCTTCAATACGCTGTAAGAATAACATAAGTTTAACCAAAGTATAATGAGCTACTAAACATATTAGCCCTTAGATGTTGCTGTGGTTACCACTGGTGATAACAACTGTATTTGAAGAAAATCATTTTATATGAATCATTTTTGACTTGTTAATTGAAATAAATGTAGAAATTTTGTGGAAAGTAAATTCTTCAAAACTTCCAAATGATACCAAATTTGTGTTTCTAAGTAGGACAGTAGATATTTTATTATGAATTGAATTTAATGTAAAGTTATGATTTGCATTTTGCCATTTTTTTACCTTCTTCGTCATTGAAATTACAATAAAAAAGTAAGAAGCACAGACTAGAACATGTTGATAAAGACTGCAAATTAAATGTAAATATAATTAGTAATGTAACTATTAATGTAACTATTAACTATTAAATGTCATTAAGTCAATTCCAGCTCCTGGCAACCATACAGGTAGTATTTAGGACAAAAAGATGTCAGAACAGATAGTGTCTTGTCAGTAATTCCTGCTCAGTGAAGAAGTCTAATGTGGTACATTTGAAGTGGAATTCCACCAAAATTTAAAAAATGTGTATACACAGTCATTCAGACGGGTTTGATGTAAAATGGTTCATTGCAGAGAAATTACTGACTCAGATTACTTTACAGTGGTGGGGACAGGAACCAGGGGTCACAGTGTCTGCAACACAAATACAACCATTTTATTTATTAATCCAAAATTACCCGGGCACCTACATGTGTCTTCTGAGTTTTTATATGTAATGTTGATAATGGTGAAAAAGTGATAAATCTGTAATGACTAAAAGTAGCTTTTAGAGACATTAAACACTTCAGACGTCTGGTTTCTGTCACCACCACTGTGAATAAACCTTACTCTGTTTCTCTAGAACTGCGCATTTCACATCTAAATACTCTGAACGACAGTGACATTGTTTGCATCTTAAATCTTGAATTATGAATAAATTCAGAAAAAATTGAGGGTTCCTCTTTTAAGCAATAGAACATGAGAGATAGTGTGTTACCACGAATAAGATCAAGGTTTGAAGTGTTCTATTTCCATTCCTAGTTTTGTAAAATAAAGAAAAAAAAGGGAAAAATACTGTTTTATTTAAATCAGTTCAATTTTAACATTGGCAATTTCTTTTAACAAAAAATAGTTTTAACAGAGTAAAGCCACTGTTGGTCAGCGGAATGATACAGGTATGGTGAAAAAGATGTGCAGTTATAACAACACAGGTAGAACACTTTTAACCAGATTGCATGGTCGGAGCTACCGTTGACAATGATGGAGTGTTTGATGAAGTGATGAAGTGGAGAGATATAAACCTTCTTCCTCTGCAGTCTCTCTTGCTCCTCCTGCAGTTTGAGCTGCTCTCTCTCCCTCTGCTTTCGCTCCGCCTCTCTCTGCACTCTCTGGAAGGCCTCCTCCCTCTGTCACACACCAAATCACACACTGACATCACCGTCCCTTTCACGCACACGTCATTGCAAAATCCGCAATTATAGAGGATGAGGCATCAGAAGTATGAGTGAGAGCGGCTGACTGGCTCTGCCCGCTGACCTCTCTGTCCAGCTGATCCTGGAGCTCTTTCAAGCGCCTTTCCTTCTGTCTCCTGTCATCCACCTCTTTCTGTCTTCGCTCCTCCTCCTGCCTCTGTCTCTCCTCCTCAGCCTGGCGGGCCGCCTGCACCTGCCGCTCGCGCTCCTCCTCCTGTTTCCTCTGGAGATCCTCCATCCTCAGCCTGAACCGTATGGGTATATTGGACATGAAGACAAACATACACATACCCTCATAAAATGGACTCTATGATTCAAAAATTTGAAATCACAATTAATATCAAATATTTTTGTTATTTTGTACACAACAATAATGTCGATTTAGGTGAAAAGACCCTGATTAGCCTCTATACCCTATAAGCCCACTTGTTTTATTATTGTGAAATATTAAACAAAACTGGAGAACTGGGAATCATATCAAGTAAACACATTTTCTATGTCTGTTACAGTCAATTATAAGCTAATGTAATTCTTTTAGTTTAGAGATATCTGTGTATAAGTGAAGAGACTGTCCTGAACTCATGGCGCAGTCATTGTGTAAACTTTGCCTTAAAAGGTGGTATTTAAAAATAACACCTTTTCATAATTCTGTGGCACAAACATACAAACATTTGAATAATATTCACAAAATATGGAGATTAATGAGAAGATGAATTACCTTTATGATTGTGTTGCTTAACATTTAGATACACTTATGTCAGAAGTCAGAAAGCCAGAGTGATACAATTTTTCTGTCCAAAAGTTATTAAATTCTCAGGAAATATTTTAGTGGAGGTTAGATATAAGATAATCCACTTGCATAAGGAAGCAGAAAATCAAGGAAAAGAAAGTGAAAAGACAGAAGTTTCCAAAACTGGAGTACAATAAATGATTAGAATATACACAGAAAATGTGACTCCTAACAAGCATGCTACACTACCAAAACTGTCTCCATCAGATAAACAGCACTTTCATTTTTGAGAGAGAGGAGAAAATCAAGCTGCTTCTGTTCAAGTGTTTCTGTTCATCCTTCCACTGTGAGAAGACAACTCAGCGCTATTAGTCTGAAAGGATGTGTAGCTGTCAAGAAGCACAAGGAAACAGACAAAAAAAAGAAGAAAACTTGTGATTAACTGTCCACCCCAGAGTCCAGACCTCAGCATCACTGGACGTGTTTGGGATTACTTGTATTGTGAGAAACAGTAACTTCTAAGACTGAACTTCAGAGGTGTGAAAAAACATCTATGCAGATTTTTTTGAAAAGCTGAAAAAAAGTCTCCTTAAAAGAATAGAAGCCATAATGAAGGCGAAGGATGGACACACTAAATACTGAAAAAACATTATATTTTATTGTTGCAGCTTCTGTGTAATTTTCTGTTAAATGTATGTTGTCTGCTTTTTTTCCTGATGTACTTAATGGCTGTTTTGACAAGAACTGAAATAATTGAACAGTGATCTCTGACTTTTGCGCAGTACATCGTGGGCTTAAAGGGTGTGTCATCATGGCTACACCTTACAGATATGCTAATTCTAGTTCTAGAAACAAAAAGTTATTGATGTTCATTATTCCTTCCTCACTGAATGTTTCTGATAAATCATATACTCATAATCATATAATCATAAACATGTTTGCGTTAAAGGAGAGAGTATCTTTTATTTCATTAAAAGATGTATCAATATAATCTGAAAAGATCGATATGAAAATAATTTTTACTTGGATTTAGGTGGCCTTATTACCCCTAAATATTATAAACCAGATACTGAAACTAGCAGTTTAAGGGGTTAATATCAAAAACAATTTTAATGGTGATTTCAAACCTTTGAATGATAGTGTATGTACAAACACACTCAACCATTCTAAACCCATATACAGCTCGTCTTCACCTCTCCTCCTCCATTCGCTGTTTCTCCTCCTGCTCTTTCTGTACTCTGGCTAGACGGCGTCTCTCTGCCAGCAGCCTGGAGGCTTCCTCAGCATCGGTGGTGCCAGCTTTACCAGTGGGCGTCACCGGGGACTCTGATACAGACACAAAAGGCAGACACAAATGATCTCATTTGACATTTTCCGCCCATCAGAACATCACTGCAGTCGCATTAACTTCACTAGCAGAAGTAATCAGTCAGGCTTTACCTGCATTATGTCCGAGTTCTTTGCTTGCAGATTTTGGTATCTTCTCTGTCCTGGAGGTTTTCCTGTCCAGAGTGCTGTAGCCTTTACTCTCGGCTGCCTTCTCCTCTCCATCCCACCTCTTGCTGCTGTCTGCGCTGGGGGTGGTGGCTCTGTGCCTCATAGGTGAAGTGGGGAATTGCCCAGGAGAACAGGGAGACTGAATACGGCTCCTACACGACTTGGACCTTTAATATCAAGCAGAATCAGAAGAAATGGTCAGGTAACCAGACCACAACCTATACTAAAGACACATAACCTGTCAACAGTTTGGGATACCTCAAATGTTTTTAATACAAATGAGCATGTCCGGTTGCAATCACAACATACTCAAGACTAAGCAGGTTTATTTTGAGATGCGGCTATTTGTGACAGTGCTATCTTGGGAATAAGGCCAAAGCGCACACATTTTATTCCTTTGTTGTGATGTCAGCAATCATCGGCACTCAACCTTCAGATGTTTTTTGGCCAATAGATATAAATATGTGCTTTTAACCAGTATTGCAACTGCAATGTAAGCATTTAAGCATTTAATATACTATAATTACTGACAATAGCTCCTCTGTTGCTGCACAATTTATCAGTCACCCTCTACCCTGACCATCACTGAAAAAGGACTATCATAGGGCCTCTGCTGACCAGACATTATTTGCTACAGTCAGCAACTGTAAACCTATAAAGTGCACCTATATGGGAGGTGGCCAATGGCCAATGAGTGCAAGTAGAATACACTGGTAGCTCAGTTTATATGAGGAGACAGAAGACAGTGAAAGTGCAGGAGACCTTTTAGGTGTGCTGGCATTCTTCCGGGTTGAGTTCTTGGTGGGAGTCGTGGGAGATTCGAGTTGTTTCACTGAGGAGTCGATCAGGCCGTTATTGAAGCCTCTCTCTCCCCCTGGTTTTTCTGTCTGCACTCCAAAAGACAGCAAATCCAAACATATTAGCTCCAATACAAATGTGAAATCTGAGTATTTGCCTGTGCATGTGCGGCAGCCATCAAAGCTATAAAACACAAGATTTGAAGCTGGACACGCAGACATCAGAGCAGCGCTGTTGCTAGGAGACCAGCTCCTTTGTGGCTCATGTCCCACAGTGCTGGTCACCAAATATAACCGCATGAGCTGCGTGACAAAACTGCCTTTATAAAATAATATTTGTGTTGGTGCGATTGACTGCACGTCCGCTGTGGAGACTGACCGACCTGGGGGGTTTTGGGGGTTGTGGTGCCGTTCTGAGATTCATCCAAAGGCCCGGCAGACACTCCATTGGTCTTCTTGCGGTCAGCCCTGCTGGGCGAGGCCTTGTGCAGGGACCTGTGGGGGCTGGGAGAGGCTAACCGAGAACAAAGACAAGACACTGGAGGGTCAAGCCACATAAGAAGAAGGGCAAGGAGGTGAGATAGAAGAAAAACACAGATTAATAATAAAGCACTCCAAAACAGCAGTGTGTAACTTGCCTTTCTCTGTTGTTTGGGCTAGAACAGTGGAGGAGGAGGAAAGGCTTTTGATCAGGTTTGGATCAGGAGACTCAGGTGGAATCATAAAGTCTGGCAATACAGAGGAAGGCATTGTAGGAAGTTTTAGGAAAGGGAAGAAGAAGAAAAAGAAAGGCAATGAAATCTGGACTCATATTGAAGCTCTGAGATTAAGAATACTGATCTGGGCATTAAATTGACCTATTTATGCTCTGCATATAAATACGTTCTTTCATAGTGTTACTAGGTCAGACAAGCTTTACAGAACGCTAGTAAAAATCCCATTCAACCTAATAAAAAAGTGTAGTGATCTTAGTTTAGAGTTGCTGCATAATACTGAGCTTCCAGTACAAAATGCTACACTATTGAGCTGGACTACATTGTAGCTAATCAAAAGTAATATCTTAATAAATATTGAACATCCAGCAAAGTTTGAATGAAAAAAGAATAATAAATAATTAATAAAACACGGCTTAAAACACACTGATTACTGTCTGGGCATGGCTCAAATATTCTGATGAGCTCATGTGATTGACAGTCCTCAGTGCATCACTCCCAGCTATGCTGCTATGCCACTGAACCAGAACGAAACACAACAGCACAATCAAGGAGGAATTAGAGAAACGGGCACTACAGGTTGTGTTGTGGACGTAACTATTCAATAGCTATCCAATTCTGTCAGATTTTACCAATGTTCAATTTCCATTTAATCCCATTTTAACAAATTTCAAAAAGAAAATATTTTATATTTTCATGAAAAAACAACAGCACTGTATGAGTATGACCTCTGAGTATGACCTAAACCTTCACTACAGCTGCAAGTTCATGGGGTGCTTTATATCACCTATATCACATAGGACCACCCAGTTTACATCAAAAGAGGAGAATTCTGGCAAAATACATAATATTTTTTGTCAATATCATAATGGATACAAATGAATGATACACATGGATACAAATAAATGATACACAAACACACACACACACACACACACACACACCATGTGGACATGATGTACACATTTGAATCAAGAATATTTAATACACCATTTTTTTCAGCATGCCTTTTAAATACCATAGAACTGAAACAACTAATGAGGCCAGATCTTAAATCAGTGCTCTTACTCTGGGATAAATACAGGTTCACACAAGACAAACACTGAACTGACATTGCATTCGCCCACAGACTAACAGATACAAGTTTATTTTGAGGAAAAACGCCAGATGGGTCTTTTCTCTAATTAGCTGTTTACTGGTAAATTCAAATGTATGAAGATGAAAGGCTTACGGCCACATAGCAGACACCAATTTTGTATAAACATACACAAAATAGCTCTCTCTGTGGGAGACTTGACGGCCTAAGGGTTTGTGTTCATTGCTGTCATAAGAAAACCTCGTCACATTGAATGAATGGACCAATAGAAATTTTGAAAAGCAAACCATTTAAGTTACGTTCACACATTGAAAAAAGTGCTGGATTAAATTCACTTGATTCAAATGAGTGCTACAGATAGCATACCAGTATTGATGGCTATAGTACTACGCCAGTATCAGTCAAAAATGCTGGTTGGGATATCGGAAGGACAAAAAAGAGTGAATGTGATGAAAGATTCTGTAACAAATCTGTCCTAAAACAGCCCTCCCTTACACTGTGTTATGTGATGTTATTAGTTGTGTAGTTCTTCCTGTGGGGTACTAGAGGGATTGAGTAGTTTCAGTATGATACCTGAGCCTATTTTCAGGGAGTTTTCATACTTGGCAGGTTTGGTCAGATTAAAATGAACCCGAATACGATAATGCGAGTCAGCAGAAAAAGTGAGAACACTGCCATGTGTCTCAGAAAAAAGGTACTGAACTGTCACTGGGGTGGTTACCTCAAGGGTACGTCTTCAGTACCTTTAGTTAGGGAATATAACTGTAACATAATCTATAGCAATTATATTTTTAAGTAGTACAAGCCCCACCCACTTTGTCTTGTTTCTAGGGTTTTTATTTTATTGTTCTGTTTTAAAGATTAGGCTATGAAAATGGACAAATATGGACCTTTTCCCTCCTAAAAATATTTAAGGGACACAGCTGGACTTTAAAACCGCTGTTGTACTTTTAAAGTTACATTTACATTGTTTGTAGCGTGATGAATGAAAATTGTACCTGCACAGTACCTTTATTTCACAGTGTAGTGTGGACTAAATAAGCAGACTGAGACCTCTGAAGGAGGTCATTCTCGGTCTGCTGCCAAACAAACTCTGGTGCAGTTTGTTTTGAAATACAGAACTGAATACACTGTTTGAACACACTGTTTGAATACATTGTTTACTTGCTGCATATCCTCTTGGGTTCCTGCAACACACAAATTCCTGATGCTGTTTTGCCACACACATGCGGTTATTATTTTTTCATGAGCTCAGAATTACAGAACACATGGCTTTGTTTTAATACCAAGGCTGGGGCACGATATAGAACACTCAATATGACCTCACACCTTAATCATTCACTTGTATGCAAATACCTCTGGTCATTACATGTTTTGTTGATTTTCTAAGTGAACATAACACATCCTCCAGAGCAGAGCTACCCAACTGTTCTAACTCGCAGCCCACTCAACCACAAAAGCTTCCACGACCCACAGGATTTGTGAATCATTTAAAGTATAAACAAATCTAATACAATATCAATGTAGCCTGTGGATTTTGCTTGATTTATAATATAATGCAACAGAATGAACACAAAAAAATGATGTTGTTTGGCAGCTACCAAGTGCTAGATGACATGATGAAGAAATGAAAGCTGCAAAAGGAGGCCTGGCTCAGTTCAAAAGGTTTCGATGCATATTTATTTGGCCTACAGCAGTATTTTCGGATGACAGTCAATTCTCTGGATAACATATATCCTGCACTCCAAAAGCGGCATTATTTCTATTCACATTCTGTTTAATTTATGTGAACTTTCACTGGTAACAGGATTCATTTGTCCTCTGCTGTCTCATTAATAATGAATGGTGCATCTCCAAAAGGAGCTCAAATGGAGCTCAAACTGTTCCAAACATCGGAGCTGTCTCCAAAAGCTCTATAAAGTTCCAGCTCCTGAATGAAGGAGGTGGTGAAACTCTCCCTGCTCCTTTTACTTTTCCAAAATGGAAATAATCTCACTCAAAGTCATTGTTTGCCGGTTTTGTGAGGAGTAAAGATCTTTGTCACCTGAAGTCATTCTGCCCTTTTGTTTGTTTCTGGTGTGGTGCAATAAAGCTCAGTACTCACTGCTGTATTTCCTTCATTTTGGTTAATACTTGTTTTTTGTCCGAGATACTGTGGCTGTTTCACTTGTATGTGGTCTAACATCTGGATCTTTCTTTTTGAAAGACGCTGTTTGTAACCATTAATCCATGATGGATGAAATTTCATATGAATGAAAAGACTTGCACAGAAAACGTAAACATGGTTAAGTTAGAACAAAATGTGGTTTTAAAAATATGCCCGCAGTCCCCTAGCAGTACCCACTGGCTGGAAACCACAGCTCTACAGAGAACACACTTAAATAAGACATTTTTTTTCTGCAAATTTCAGTGTGTGATTTGTATTTATTTGAGTTTAACATATTGGGAAAAAAACATAAAATATAAAATGTGCCATAACCTTTGCACAGGTCAGTTTTTTGTTGTTTTTTTTTACCAGTATGTTAAATTCTGTGAATAAACAGTAATTGTGCCATAAAACGTAAAGAAGTATGTTCTTTGTACAGGATGTGTTAACTTATTTCACTCAAATCAGCAAAACGTAATTTGACCAGAGGTGCCAAAACTTTTGCATACATCTGTATTTCATATATTAATGCACCAGGTTTTGCACCAAGTTTTATATTTATGAAAGCTGTAAGCTACTCGAGGCTGTGTTATGTTTTTTTATCCATATGACTTTTGTTGACAACATTTTTTGGTAAATATTTCAAATATTTCAGTGTGAACACCAAATGAGACAGAACTAAAATCCAACAATGTATCATTGTCTGGACCAAAAAGACCAGATTTATAAATATTAACGCACCCTAAGATTCTCATCCTAAGTGAATTAAAAATAGCTCATTTTAAAGCTGAAGACATTTTTAAAGTTAATGGATCAAATATGTATGGGCCAATACTAAGGTTTCAACATCAGTATCGGTATCAGAGAAGAAAAAGTGGCAAAATATTACAGTAATGTAACGTTTATCCTTCTGTTTAATTTTGGCAATAGTTAAAGGAATGAACTGAATTTTCCCTGCTTGTTTGATAGAGAAGAGTCTGATGTGTGTAAAAGTGTGTAAAAGCTGATAAAGTTTAATAACATGCCATTCACGCCCCGTCTATACAGTCTATATATGGAAACTAAGCTGCAAAAACAGTTTTGAACTAATTGTTTTTGTGATGTCATTAAAAAGTAATGTATTTGCGTTATTTAGCCTATTCAGCCTACATCAGTTAGCCCCGCCCTCTAACTAAAGTTACAATGAACGTTTCAGCCTGGACTGATTTTTTGAAATGAGGCACAATACAGCTTAGAACAGAGAACAGAGCTCATTTACATATATCAGTCTTAAAGGCACAGACACAAAAACAGCTCCTTTAATTGTTAGGGATAAAAACAGGTTGGAAAATGGTCACGTAAAAATCAATATAATATAATACAAAAATAAGATAAAAGTGGACCTCAGCTAAAATTAAGAATGTTAAAAAATAAAACATAATGTTATGCTTTAACATTAAGAATGTTAGAAGTTAAGTAAGTTAGTTACTATTTCGGTGATAAAATGTACTCTTACACTACCGGTACACTTCTTTGAGAGATTTAGCTGCTATGCGTTATTGCCTCTGTTGTTTAGAGGAAAGACTGTGATAGTAGGACGTGGGCTTGCATATACAATGAGCTAGCAAATGAGGAGCCCCCCCCACCCCCCCAACACCTAAACCCCTGTGCTGGTTCAGCACTGAGGGACACTGCAGCTCCAGGCCGATCCCAATTACAGATCATCCTGCACATCCGCCCTTCCTACTGCGCAGGGAAGAAGATACTGAAACAGCTCAGGGCTGTCCTGACGAGGAGGGACAGGAGGCCTGTGGTGTGTTTTATACGGGTGAAAATGATTAGATGTGCTTTTGCATATGTTGCAGTTAGGCTTCCTTGATTAAAGTGCCCATATCATGGAAAACTGCTGTGTCCTTGCTTTTTAAAGAGTTTGATATAGTTTGTAGACATGGTTAAAGCTTCTAAATGTACCATTCGCTACTCCTCAGTCCATGCAGCCAATATTTTGAAAATAAGCCGCTAAAACAGCCCATTTTTGTGGTGTCACACGCTGACTTAGCCTGCAGCAATTAAGCCCTGCCCATTCACAGTGAATTTACATACTTCAGTCTGTACCAAAAAGGCCTGTTTAATTCTAAGGGATAAAAAAGGGTCATGCAAAAATTAATTACTGGTTCAGAAAATCACACAAATATAACAAGACCTCAGGAGAAAATATAAAACGCAAGACAAAAGGTAGAATATGGGGCCTTTAATAAAGACAGATAAATAAATACATTAAAAAAATGCATTAATAAATAGTCTCAAATTTCCTAACGGCACACTGTTCAGGTCTATAAGCTGTAAAGGGGACCATGCATGCTATAAAAAATTATAGATATGACCTATGCAAATCTCTGACCTCACAACGATTTGGAACGATTAGAAACGATTCAGTGCATCATGATCTCAGATTTCATTTTAATATTTTACTTTTGTTACTTTTAAAAATACAGTGAACACCCAAATGCGACTGGAAGACCTACTTACAAAAGGAATATTTACAAACAAAACTTGATGCACTGAAGCATTCTGACACCACTAATACGGTCCATGCTGAAAACAGACGAGCCTATTGCACACCACACCCTTGACAGAGGAAAAGAACACCGTACAAAGACCATGTGATCAGTACCCATGCATGACACACACACGCATAACGATCACTGTGACTGCAAGAATAAAACACAACATAACATAAATGAATGGATGACACACAAAGCAGCAGGAGCTCAGTACCGGTCCTGGATTGGCTGGCAGGAGGGAGAGCAGCAGGATCATTGGCTAAGGAGGCAGAAGCAGCAGGAGTGGGCAGGACTATCTTAGGAACACCTGTGCAGCAGGTGATGCAGAGCAGAGAAAGGACAGGTTTATGAGCTTCAGCAGGAGAAATGCATGATCTCACTCTCTCTCTGTCTCTCTCACACACACGCACACAAACACACATTTGTTTTTGTACCTGGTCAGGACAAGAATCAATCATATCCCCCATATGTATTTCATATGTTATGTAAATATGTTGTTACCTATATGTAATAATAGTATGACCCATATGTATATACATACACAGTACTGTGCAAAAGTCAGCAACCACCCTTCATTTATTTAATTTCCAATGAAAATGACCATTAAATACGAGACTCGTTTTTCATTTCTGAAGAGATTAGATATAAGACAATCAACTTTCCATCAAAGGAAAACAGGAGTTTCCTAAACTGGAGTTCAAAATATGATTACAAGGTACAGAGAAAACGGGACTAACAACCATGCAAAACACTGGTAGACCACCAACACTGTGCCCATCAGTTAAACAGTACTCAATGCTTTCATCTTTCAGAGAAAATCAAGCTCCACTCTTGCTTCAGAGCCAAAAAGATCCACATGTGTTTCTGTCCATCCTTCAAAAATGATCATTTGATCAAAACAAAGAAGCTACTGGTGTTCTCAGAACAATGCACTGTCCATTCCAGTGTCCAGACCTCAACATTATTGAATGTGTTTGGGATTACTTGGATTGTGAGAAGGGAAAATGCAACCAATTTCTAAGACTGAACTTTGGGGGTATGGAAAAATATTCCTGACATTCCTGCAGATTTCTTTGAACAACTGAAAGCGAGTCTCCTGAAAAGAATAGAAGCTGGAATAAAGGCAAAGGGTGGACACACTAAATACTGAAAAATGTGATATCATACTCAGTTAGTGAGGCTTCTGTACAATTTTCTGCTTTTTATCTGACACTGAAAAATTAATAACTTGTGTTTAATGGCCATTTTGACTGGAAATTAAATAATTCCATTAAATTACTTAAATGTCATCTGACTAATAGTAACATGTTATATTCATGTGTGCACATTTATATATATGTCCCTTTCATCTATATATAATATATATTTTAATAAAATACTCATTACAAAGTAGGTTTCCCTATTTTTTTTTTTGATTTTACTACAAAGTCAGGACATTTTTATCCTGAAAATGTGCAAAAACAAACATTAGCATACATACAGCTACAGTCACACACTCCTCCAGTCTCACTAATTCACACTGATGATTTGGTCAGTCACTTGGTGTATTCACTGTGTACTGCTTGCAAAATTACACCCAGCTTGATGAAACAATGATATACACTGTCAGCAAAAGGAGAGCGAGCTTTCTGATGGACTGCCACTGCATTTGAGGCAGAGCATCTAAATGCATTTTATGCATCAAGCAAAGCTGGATGGTAATATGACCTGTTTCAGAAAAAAATAGCCCAAAGCATAGCATGCCTGTAATGCTGGTGATCAGATCACGTTTATCTGAGAGGAGCTCAAAGCAGCTTTTCTAGAAGCAACCATAAACTGAACCCAGATTGGTCTTTCTACATAAAATTATACAGCTTACTGATGCGTCATTTAGCATTGGCAGCTAATTTACTAGCACATCTGTTGCCGAACCAGGCTTTGGTAGGACGTTCCTTCTCTCGGCCAGCATAAATAATTAATGCCGTTATGAATGCACCACAGCGTTTGGGTGGTGCTCCTGCGTCTCTCCCTGTCGGCTGCCTCGTGGTGGAAAAACACAGGTCGATTTATCTGAGTCTCCCATCTGATGGCGAGGAGACGCTATCGCAAGCAAGCGGCTCAAAATAGAAAATTCTATTAACTCAATGCTTTAAGAGTAGGAAGATATCAGGCAGGCGCTGAGATGGTGACAGAGCAAAGTGTGTTCACCTACGCAGTAAATAATGTGTGGGGGGAAGTGGGGGAAGAGTGACACTGAAGTTTATGATGTTTATTCTACAGCTGAAACTGCCTGAACTGCCCTGCAGGAGCCAAAGCTGATGACTGGAGATGTGTGTGTGCTGGCCTGTGCTACTAATCAGCGGCTGTCATCTCTAACCTTGAGCCTGGAGGGATGTGGTTGTGGTTGTGATGGTGGTGGGGGGTTATCCTACACCTGCTCCGCAGACAGCATGAATATAGGCAACAGACTGACACCACCCTACTTCTAGCAAAACTGTAGCTGTCCATGGTGCTGTCTATAGCATACACTGTCTTATTGAGCTGTCTCTGGCTAACAGTATCCTAATGTATCATCTAATAATAGTTAACAGTGTCATATAGTAAAAATTAATACTGTCTTATGACACTGTCTATAGCTAGTAGTGTGCTACAGAGTCCTATACTAATAGCTAATACTGTCTTGTTGTACTGTCTCCATCTAATAGTGTCCTATGGTAATGCCTGTAGCTGTACTGTCCTATGGCGCTGTCTATGGCTAATATTGTCCTATCGTGCTATCTAAAGCTAATACACCCTATGGTACTATCTGCAGCTGACAGTGTCTTATAGTACTGTCAGCAGTTGATAGTGTCCTATCATGCTGCTTGTAGCTAAAACAAGTAGTGGTAGTGTCTGTAGCTGTAAAAACGTCCTGTTGTTCTGTCTGTAGTGAATACTGTCCTATGGTGCAATCTAGAGCTAGTATATCCTATGGTACTGTGTGCAAGTTATACTGTCCTATGATACTGTCTGTAGCTAATACTGTCCTATGGTGCTGTCTGTATTTAATATTGTCCTATGGTGCTGTTTGTAGCTAATACTGTCCTATTGTGCTGTCTGTAAGTAATATTGTCCTATGGTGCTGTTTGTAGCTAATACTGCAATGTGATACTGTATACAGTTACTAACATCCTGTTGTTCGGTCTGTAGTGAATACTGTCCTATGGTGCTATCTGTAGCTAATTTATTGTATGGCATTGTCTGCAAGTAATACTGTCCTGTGGTGCTGTCTGTAGCTAATACTGTCCTGTGGTGCTGTCTGCAAGTAATACTGTCATATGGTGCTATGTGTAGCTAATATGTCCTATGATAGTGTCTGCTAGTAATACTGTTTGTAGCTAATACTGTCCTATGTTACTGTCTCTAGCTAATACTGTCCTGCCATCTGCAAATAACAGTTTGTGTTCTATAGTGCTGTCCATAGCTAGTACATCATTTTAGGCTTTCTGCAAATAAAACTATCCAATGCTACTGTCTACAGTTACTACTGTCCCATGGTACTGTCTGTAGCTAATACTGTCATACGGTGCTGTCTGCTGCTAATACTGTCATATGGTGCTGTCTGAAGCTAATATGTTTCATGGTACTGTCTGCAAGTAATACTGTCCTATGGTGCTGTTTGTAGCTAATACTGTCTGATGGCACTGTCTACAGCTAATGCTGTCCCGTGATGCTGTCTGCAGATAATACTGTCCTATGGTGCTGTCTGTAGCTGATACATCATATGGTGCTGTCTGCAGCTAATACCATCCTACAGTGCTGTCTATAGCTAATACTGTCCAATGGTGCTGTCTACAGCTAATGCTGTCCTGTAATGCTGTCTGCAGATAATACTGTCCTATGGTGCTGTCTATAGCGAATACTGTCCAGTGATGCTGTCTACAGCTAATACTGTCTTATATTGCTGTATGCAACCTCATAGCCTCATCCCAAATTTCCCCTTTGGGATCAATAAAGCACATCTATCTATCTAGTGTCCTATGGTGCTGTCAGATGCTAATACTGTCCTAAACTGCTGCTGTCGCACTGAAGTCCGCAGTTGTTCCTGTACCACCCACACCATTCAGCCCGGCCCTGCCTCATCCCACTCACAGATAGAAAGATAGATATACACTTTAGCAATGCTGAAGGAAACTGCAAGGTTACAGCAGCACAAAGAACTGCCCTAATCACATGTATATGTTGAGGAGACGCTATAAAAGAAACTAAAAACATTTTACTAAATCCACAAGATGCTTGAACAATTACAGACTTTAAAATGTTTGCTTGCAAGTCAATGTTTTACATCTCTAAAACAAAAGTGCTCCCTCTGCAATGCAGCCTCCACACCCTGTTCTCTTCACTTGTCTCTCATCCTCCCCCCTCTCCCCAGGCTCTCAGAGCCCATTTCTGGATCCCCACGCCCCAGCAGACAGACTCACCCTCGCAGGTTCCGGGCGGGCCGCCCCATGTCCAGCGTTTGGGCCTCTGCTCTGGCTGCAGGCCACGGTCTGTCGAGCGTCGCATCAGGGCCTCCAGACGCTCCTGCTCGTTGCGTTCCAAAACAGGGAAGAAGAGATTCTCTCTCACCGAGCTGTCGCTACGGCGCCGGGAGGAGGACGGAGACAAGGCCGGATGCTCCATGCCAACCGCCTCTCCTCTCAGCTCACGGCACTGACAGCCTCGCTGCCTGCTGACAAATAACAAGGGCCTTGCCCTCTGTTTTCTCTCTCTGCGCGTCTCTCACGCTTCTCTGCTCTCAGCCTCTCTCTCTTTCTCTCTCTTTCTCTCTCCCCCTCCCCTCCCTCTCTCTCCCCTCGCAGGTGACGGAGTGCGTCTAAGAGAGCAAGCAGCCAGACAGAGATCAGCAGCACGTAAACCCCGCCCTCCCCCACCCTCCCTCCACTGCAACACACACAGGGTAGCTATGGTAATGACACAGGTCGCATCAGTGTTATTAGGAAATCTCTGTATCTCTCTCTCCTCCCTCTCTCTTTCCTGTTTGCTCTTTACATCTCCCTTCCTCCAGTCAGTGCAGCTGTTTCCCCTCTTCATGAGCTCAATAACTGCATTTCCTTGGTGGGATTAACTCTTAAAGAGATACTCCAGCCAAATTGAACCATCACTACATCTGGTGTAAACGTGCTCATTTGCATCGTTGCAGTAATTTCCAGAGTGACGTTTTCAAGTTTAAAGACTAGAAAAGCCCATTTCTGATGATGTATCTTGAAGGTGGGAGGTGTTTTTGAAAAACTGCAACTGGGGGAGGGCAATGTGATGATATTTTACTTAACAACAGCATGTTTTATTACAACAAGAATATAATTACAGTGTGTGAAACACTGAATGAAAATCATTGCAGTCAAATGTGGGACAGCTGGGACAGATAGCTTTTAGTCAATTACAATTTATCAAACCTTAGAAAAAACTGGTGAACACAGAAGTAAGGCTCATTGCTAGTGTTACTGCTAGGAAGCCAAATATCTTATTGCTGCTGTATGACTGCAGTAACTCTAAATTATTGTTACAATAGACAGAATAGATCAAAGATTCTGTCAAAATGACAGGAATGACCTTTTAGATGAGGAGGACAACAAGCTAAAATTAAAATAAATTACAGTAAGCAAGATACCTGACCATCTAGATATCTTACATCAGTTTGGCTTCTTTTCTATCATGTGCATTTTGTGCTGAATAAGGATAGAATTGATGTTTGTTACGATTTTGTTTGACAACAGAGGTAAGAGTTAGACTAATGCTAGCTTGGTTGTATTTATTAGCCTGTAGACTAAACCTGCAGGCTATGCTAGCAGTCAGGATTAGTTGACACCACAGGGATTCTCTTGAAAACCATATAAAATGGTCAAAATACAATGTCACACTACAGAATACTACATAACATGACAAATAACCCATTAAATAAACATATTAAAGCTAGAATGCCCCTTTAAGAGTGTGCAGGTAGAAAAGATCCTAACGAGCCAATGACAGTGGTATATATTTAATAGGAATAGCTTGACTAAACATACTAATGTGGCTCACACTGAATGGAATGAGTATGATCTCATTTGTCTGAACTATCCCTTTAATATGCAAATGTTCTTTGTCTCTAATCTCAGGGCTTTTTTTCTCACTAAATCTCACTTATCGTACTCATGTATGTGGATCAAAGCAGAGCATTCAGATTTATACTGGTGTGACTGCAGAGGAAGCAAAATCAATTTAAAGCAGCACACTGGCCAAGAACAGAGTCATCTAAGGTAAGGTTAGACTCTACCGACGCAGCACTAAAACTCCAAGGACATTTCCCCAGAGCAACCAAACAGCATGAAATACTGCACCACTGGACGCACCACACTGACAGACTGGAAACCTAAAGTGTCATCCTTTGGTTAAAGACTATAGCAAACAGACAGTGCAGAACAGCCTCTCTCCAAACAGTACACTATCTTACGAATCTCCTCTGTGCTTATTCATACGCTGTGTGTCATGAAGGAAAGCTGAATTTGTCAGTGGTAATCATGATTTATAGACACGTCAGCAAACAACAGTTATCGGGAATGGTGAGGTCATTCTGTCACACCAGAGAGTGGGCAATCATTAGTATGGGGGATGGTCATCCCATGACATGTTTTCAATCAATAAACACAATGAAATCCATTCCAACCCCACCCATAAAACCTTCCTGACATACATGTGGAAAGGCTCCTGTGAGAGACAATTACAAAAGAAGTTTTACACTAAAAAGAGACTACAAGCAGAAACAAGGTGAACTGTAACCCCCTGATAGCAAACACACAAGATGTAATGCATTAAATAATATACACAATCTTCCCTTTATGTATTTATTCAGCCATGTTTGGTGTCTGAAGCTTGTTTTTCAGTTTTGCACTGGATGTCCAAGACTAATGTAGCTAACAAGTAATGAAAGCTAGCGTAAACAGTGTAAACTGCACATGTGAATTATCACATAGTTTGTGTTGTGAGTTAATCTCACTTGTTTAAGTGATTTCTGAATAGAGATGTGCACAGGTTCTCCAGTACTCGGTTAACCGTTTAAGGTGTCAGTATTCGAATAGTGAAATCAGTATTTGGCTACTTGTTATACTGCATCAAAAGAAGACGGAGAAAACATACAGACGGGCTGTTTATTTAATGAATTGCTGCTTTTATGTTTTACTGTAAAATGTTATGGTTTTGCTTGTACTTGTGAGTAAGTATGTACGTATATGTGCTCTGCGCTCATCCCCATGGCCCCGATGACAGTCGCGGGAGCCGGTGGGAAGGCGAGTGTTGGTGAGAGGAGGACGTCAGCCGCCAGGTGGGGGACAACATCGATGACTATCACTTGCATCCCTCGCCGGTGTTCGGGGTTTGGGCCCCGCCTTCTCGCCGACTCTTGCAGCTGTCAACATGGTCCAGGGAAAGAGCACAGGGCACAGTATTCTTTACTGTGCCACTCGTGAGACACGAGTGCCTAAAGGTGAGCACGTTGCCAAGGACGCATTGTTAAGAATGTGATTGTGAAGGCAGATGTAACACAGCTTTATCGTTAACGAGGCTAACTACTCTAGCTGATGCTCACAGGGTCCCGACCAGGGACATGGTAAGTGGGGTGTTGATGGTGTGGCAGCACCCTCAGATTTCAGTTTTGGTTAACTGCAACTTCTAAAAATTGTGTAGTGTGTTCAAGAAATGTTTTGGCATGTTAGTTTTGGTTTATGTGTTCTCCAGCATTTATTGAACATTTATTGGTTCATTTATTGGTTGCATAAAGTTTGTCCAGAAGGACAGAGAGCAGAGAAATCAAGGTGTGCATCACAGCATGTGTCAGTTATGTGGGTATATTGTCATCTCTTGCTACGTCATGATACGCTCTGTTTGATGTAAACCATCAAAAAAATTCAATTGAAAAAAAAAGGCAAATCATTTTGCATGACGTCACTGTTCACCTCATGCATATACTGCTTAAAATTTCAGCACCGCCAACGTAAAACACCTTCAGGCATCCCTGTCTATGACAAATGATGTTGGGACATTGTCCACTGAGAAGAAAATGTCTTGTATAAGATGACGAGTCTCCAGTATCCAGTGTTGTACCAGTTAGATAAAACTACTGATTTGCATCGGCTTTTTTGAATAATAAAAACATGTTTTCAACTGTATTCCTCTGCTTACCTAGAAAAAAATGTACTACTGGTATTTTAAGCTATCACTTAAAAGAGTAATCCCCCAGCTATATCCCCAGAATAATTTTGGATTTCGTCTGAAGTAACGTTACGTTTTTTACTTTCGCCATAGTTAACCGGATATCCACTCATTAATGTTTGCCAATTTCTGACACTGTATGACATCATCACTTTCAGAACAAAACCTTTTATCTTCTTTTTTGTCATTTTTTTTTACAGAATTTAAAACTGCTCTTTACATGGTGTGTGAATTTCTTGATAAATGGACCAATAGAAACTGTCTAAAATGACTAATTCTTACTTTGTTACTTTGACTTACATTAAAGGTAAAGAATGTTTTTTCCATCTATTGTTAAGTTACTATTCTGGAGATACAAGGTTTTTGTTCTGACAGTGATGACATACTGTTATCTATAAAAGTGGTTGTAGGATGGCTGTAACTACTGATACTACTGGTACAACTAGGCAATGTACTTTGACCCATGTTTATAGATGGCAACGTCATACGGTGTCAGAAACTACAGGGAGACGCACTCGAAAGAGGCCCCGCATATTCTGTAATAACTCTTGCTAGGATGAAGCAATCTGAATGAAACAATGTGCAATGTGCTCCTCAGTATATGGAGCTTCGAACAAGCCGGTATGCCTCTGCATCGGAGTGATGAGGTAGGCACCGGACAGCCATGGCAACGTTTAACCTCTGTTTGCAACTTCTGGGTGCTTACCCCCGTACCCCTTCATGTGTCTGGCAAAAACCAGAGATCACTTCCAGCATCGCATGTAAAGCATTCAATTTCACATTCGTCAAGGTGTGTAGCATATTGTTTTGGTTCAGATTGCTTCATCCTAAAGAAATTACAACAGAATATTTGGGGCCTCTTTCGAGTGAATCTCCCTGTAAATATGCAAGTGTATTAGACCTTACTTGACAACTCCACTATGGCCCACATGCAGTTTCACTTTTAACTCTTGTCTGGGCATGTGCGATGACATAAATGGTAATAAAAGCAACACTGACACTCGCAAATGTGTTCACTACTGCTGTGACTGTTCATTCCTCCAGAGAGCTTAATAACGCTGAATTAAAACACTGGCTTGTGACATTGATTTATCTACTCATGTATTAGAAACTATTTGTTTTGGGAATTCAACATATTATAGAGCTTTTGATGCTCAAGAGCGTCATTAATCCACTTGTTAATGGTAAGATCCAGCGTTAATGGGAAAGCTCAATGAGCTCCGTGCTTTTTTTTCCCGAGACATCTCTCCACTTCATCGACTTTCCAGATCCATCACCACTCATCATTTACAAATTACGCCCTGCATCATGCTAAGCCTTATAAGTGCAAAACTTAGGCAAACTTCAAACATCAAACATGTCTTGGCTGACTGACTATATTTGGGATAAGGGGAAACTGATGTATGTTAGATTTTTTTGAACAAACTATGCTTAAAAAATATTATAATATGATAAATAAGTATGAACATAAAGGTTTGTGGTCGAGAATACAGCAGTGAGAAGAAGACACAATGTGGTACATAAACTTTGGGCTTTGCTCACTGACCTTCTCTTCCTCCCCACGCTGCTTCCTCTTCTCTTGGGCCGCTGCGCGGCGGAGCTCCTCCCGCTGCCGCTGCACCTCCAGGCGCCTCCCTCGCTCCTCCAGCGAACGCTCATACTGCTGCCTTGCACGGAACTCCTTCTCCCAGAGCTCCTGCTCTCGAACCGCTGCACACAAGGCTAGGGGTCAACATGGGCGAATACAATGACTCAAAGTACTACACCACACAGTGGCCCAACCGCTAAACCTGCCACTAGGCCTCCCATCTGACCTGCCACCAGATTTGCGACTCGACCTGCCGAAAAGACCTGCCACCTATCCTGCCACTGCCAAACCTGCCACTAGGCTTTCATTTGACCTGCACCTGCTGACATTACACTGTCACTGTACCTGCCAACAGACCTGCCACCATCACTGGACCTGCCATCAGATCTGCTGCTGCCACTGAATGTGCTGGCAGTCCTGTCACCGCCACTGGACCTGCTGACAGACCTACCACTGCAACTGTACCTGCCAACAGAACTGCCACTGCACCTGCCCATAGGCCTGCCACTGCCCTTGGACCAGCTGACAGACCTGCCATTGCACCTGTACCTGTGGACAGACCTGCCACTGCACCTGTAACTGTTGACATACCGTCCAATAGACCTGCCACTGAAAATAGACCTGCTTATGGACCTCACCCTTTTGACCTGCCACTGGACCTGTCACACCTCATGTCATAACTACAGCAAGCAGTCATACAACCCACCACTACCTAAAGGGACATGCCAGGGCTAAGGGGAGCTGCCAGTTGGCTAAGATTTTAGTTTTAGTTTAGTTTACTGTTTCCAAGGGGATTTTTATTTTCAACTGTGAACACATTAACAGAGAACTCTAACAGACAGCTCACAATTACAGACAGCATAAATAAATAATTACTAGAATTATATGGTCAAACAACTCATGAGCAACACAGGAACCTAGAAGCTGGCATTTATAACGTCAGCAAGAGATGGCAAAGCATGCCTCGATTAACAAAATGATGTAACTGTAGTTGGAATTTGTTTGTATTATGGAAATTTATGGAGGTCTTCTATATCTTTGTCCAGATAGGACAACAGTGAAGCATAGATTAATTAGACAACCATCAGATCTATGGTTCAGGGTTGTGTGCAATGAGGTGAGCTTTGTGGCTGGGGGCCACGGTATGAAGATGAAGTGGACTGGGTCTGGAAAGACCTATAAGCTTAGTGGTTGTGTATGCTATCTTAAGACGTTTGTTTTTTTTGTGACTACAAACATACTGAGGAAGCTGATAGAGCCTTAGAGGAGGACAGATGTGACTGTAGAGGTTTTGTTTCCTGTTTGTCAGCCAGCTTGAGGGAGAATTTTATTACCCTCATAGTTCAAAATTAGCGTTCAAAGTTAATTCAATATCTTTATTTCTGTATGTATCATTGTGCATTTTGAAGCAGGTATATGTAAATGCTAGTGGGTACACATATGCCTGCTTATCACTTAGACGCAGTTTACACCTGATGTTGTGACTTGTACATGGATTGTAACCTGATGAAATTTTAACTACATGCATTTACATATGGTTGTCAAATGTGTCTCTGATTATGTGTAATAATGTGTATTATGTAGTAATATGTAAATCAGCTCATAACATGACAGCAAATTGTCTGTGTTGTTTCCCAATTTTCTTGTTTTATTCAAAACATGTCATGAATTTTCTTAAACTGACAGTCATTGTTTACAAGAAGACAGTTAAGATGAATTCGCCTCCAGTACAAGACATTGTGGTTAATGGCCCACATGTTATAGCGTAATGTATTGTAGTAAGATGAATAATGACGAGACAAAGTAAAGATGAACCAGACTGGTGCTTTACTTCAGCTAAATATCTTGAAGGCATGCAGGTTAAGTAGGCTTCTGAACTCAGAAGTGAAGCTTGCATCAGTAACTGAACTGTAAGCAGCTCCACCCTGTTAAAAGGTGAGGACGTGGTCCCTTCTCCATATGCAAAACTGCAGGATGAGATGTCTGTATCTTACTAGGAGGGGTTTTGGTATTAAAATGTGGCTTGGAGAGATGGGTGTATTGTTGTATAACATCTGGCTAAAATGCATCTGTGACCACCACCTGAATTGCTTTGAGCAATCAGATTTAAATTGTTTTTACATGCATCTTGGGCATTCACAATTTGCATTTTCATGTGGATAATCCCTATCAGCATATAACCGTGATACTCAAAGCTTCCAAGAACCACTGTACCTGCCAATAGATCTGCCACTGCCACTGGACCTTCTGACAGTCCTGCCACTGCCACAGTTCTTCTACTGGACCTGCCACTGAAACTGCCTCTAGACCTGCCACTGCCAATGGACCTGCTTCTAGACCTCCCCACTGGACCTGTCACACCTCCTGTCGTGGCTACAGCAAGAAGCCACATGACCCACTACTACCTAAAGGGAGCTGCCAGGGCTAAGGGGAGATGCCAGCAAATTTTAGTTTCGCATTTGCATTTTCATGTGGATAATCCCCATCAGGATATAATCCTGATACTCAGGGCTTCCAAGTGGCACAACTGTCTAAGAGTTTGGAGATTGTCCATTCTGCCCACCCTCTATTCCCATCACTCAGCACAATGCTAGCCAATGTGGGCCTCAATTAGCTGACACAACAGAATTAGCAGTTAGCATTCTGCTCCAAGCATGTTCAGCGGTTCAGTGACACTGTGTTTGCGGCAGTTAAAAAAGATGTGGTGGCACTTCACGTGACCTGCAAGCCTTCCAGCTCGGTAGCAACATCTGACTGAAGGAGAATCAGTTAGCGAGTGAGAATTGGCCACGACTAAACTAGAAACAAAAACTGGGTAAAATCCAAATGTCCACGGTCTGCCACCAACCCCTCCCTCTAGATTAAATGAGTCACCAGCACAAATAAAGCAAACACATTCATGCAGCCGGTGAACCCACAGCTAAAAAAAACAACTGAAGAGATTCATGTCATTACCTTATTTGATTTTAATTCAATACTCATTTATTTTATTATTGTTGAGCTTTATCACCTGTCTGTAAAGCATGTTGAACTGCATTTTGACTCTAAAAATAAACGTTATTATTATTATTATTATACTGCCGAGGCCCCAGCTTAGTTTGAGTCGCTGTCCGTTGTGAATGCTGCAAAGTGCAGGACTGTCCCACAAGACTTTGTCTTTCCTATTAATTTCTTTATCTTGTGTAACTAGCTCTGTATTATGCCATATTCACCTGATTTAAACCACCGTTGAAGATACTGGAATAAATCCCCACCCCAAAGTCAAGTTTATTGGCTTCTTCTTTCTCTGTGCAAACCCATTTTCATCTTTTTTGCCCAAGGCCATTTCCACACACACACACACACACACACACACACACACACACACACCCCACAAACCCCAAAACAACAAAAAATCAGATATCATGAAATGACCAGGTGTAAACCAAATCTTAGACTATCCTCACCCCATCCTCCAGCTTACCCATAGTAACAGGCAAATGTCAGACATTCTTATAGATGCACACATTTCATTGCTGTCATGTAGCACTTAAAAAAGCAAAACACTCCCAGATTCAACTTACCATGAATCTTCTCTCTCTCTTGTCTCCTCTCTTTCACTAATCTTCCTCTGTCCTTTTTAGAAGCTCCACCTTGACAGGAGAGAGGGAGATATGTGTTAAAATACACGTGCATGAACAGAAGATCTTACGCATGTTCTCTCAAGCAGCCTCTCCATTGCAACAAATGCCTAATCTTATGCAAATTAATGCAAGGTCAAATATACCCAGGAGGAACAAAACATGCTAGAATGTGCTTTTTTCCCATTTTCTGACTTAGGCTAATCCTTGTGGAGGCACTGGCTGTCAAATCTCCATGAAATCTGCATCGACAGTTGACAGGAGAGACTAGGGAAAAAAAACAACTCTGACATTTTGGAATGTGATCACATCTATTTTAAAAAGAGCTGTATTACTAGGTTACAGCCTTCTTGATACAATGATATACGCCCAATATGCTTCCAGTGAATTCAGCTACTTTAGAGTGTTAACATATGAGTTCAACTGCTTGTATAGTATCCATAGAAAAGCACTGCCAGTAGAATGGGATTCTAGAATGGGACACTGTGAAGCAGCCTTAGATCACCATGTCCAACGCCAAGCATCAGCTAGAGAGGTATAAAGCCCACCCCAGCACTGGGCTGTGGAGCAGTGGAACTGCATTGTCTGGAGTGATGGAGTCTGGGATGAATTTGTGCGATCCATAATTAATAATCCAACATCACTACCTGACCTCACTAATACTCTTGTGACTGAATGCAATCAAATCCTAACAGCAATGTTCCAACATCTAGTGTAAAGCCTTTCCAGAAGGGTAGAGGGTGCACCTGCAGCACAGGGGAAACTGCCTAATACTCTTGATTTCAAAAGAAATGGTGGTGTCTACAAACTCCCGGACACAGAGCCAGTTTTCCAGACCCAGATTAAGACTAAGCCTGGATTAAAACGAATTTCCAGTGTGATTCACCATTGGCAATGCAATTTAGTCCAAGACTAGGCTGAACTGGAGTCGGGGAAGGAAACCTACAGTGTATATCTCAAAATCATTCAACCATTCTATTATTAATGGTGATACATGACTGAAGAACAATGAGGTTTGTCAATGCAATTTCAAATATGTCAAATAATAACATTATTAACTGAGTCTATACATTTAATAGCCATCAACCTGCTTCAGCTTCACTTCCACGCCTACTGCTACACACCACCCTCCTATTTGAACAGAATAAAAAGACGAATGTATCATGTACACTTTCTTATGTAAATGCTGCATTGATGGCATGATGCACATAGGTTGCAATCAACACATTTGCCATATTTCCTTGACATTTCTTCAAAATGAAGCCTGTCATGCACTTGAATTAGGATATTAAATGAAGAACCCCTCCAGCTACTTTTGGCCATTTGCTAGTAGAAAATTATTCACTTACTACATTGAAATACCTTCATGCCACACAGTTTGCCTGCACTGGGATTTTAACTGTGCTGAGCAAGAAATTAAATGAGATAGAACATAAAAGATGAAGAAATATTAAGAAATAATAAAAAAAAATGAGTACAAAGATGAGACATTTCTAGGTTTCCATTACAGCACTGCTGCCTTTTTTTACAGCTTCGTGTAATTCACCATAGCAGGTGATTTCACACTGAAAAAGCGGTCAGCACTATTGCAGCCCCACTCGCGCTGAACAGCACACAGTTTAGCACTACAACGCTGTGAGATAAAGAAATGCAAGAGTAGCTTACTTGGACTCTCCACGACTGTGGCCATGTCACTTCTTTCCCCTCCAGTAGTTTATAAATGCGTCCGAAAGAAATGAATTACTGCCCTGATGGCATTGCGACCCCTCAATACCGTGCAGGAAACGACCCCGGTTCAAAAAAACGGCATTAATACTATATTAACACACAGTGTGGCAAATGTGTACTTCTCTGTGTGATCAGATTATCGATGAGTTTGTGGCGCAGATCAATGTGCAGAGCGCTCGAGCTCGGGCTGCTACTGGCAATGCACTACGGCACGCGCTCCCTCCTCCCCTCCTCTTCCCTTCCCTTCGATCATATCGAGTGTATTGCAAGCAATGCACCCACGAGCACGAGCGCTGCATTACGTCACGCTGTACACAGTTCTATATATGGTAACCATGGCAGCTGATTTTCTCTGCTGTTCCCTGGAGACGCGGGAGCAGACACGACGTTCAGTATAATAACACTGACTTATAAAATAATAAAGCGAGCAATTATGCTTCGCATTGCACATTCATTTGCAGCGCTGTGCAGGAATGCTGGTCAGTGGGTCAGTATGCAGAGAAATGCGTACCAACTTGAAAAGCAATCACTACAGAGGAAAACCGTGGAAGGCAACGCATGACATTGCTTTTCCACAGTTACACGCAAAAACGTGCCAAAATGGAAAACAAACCCTCTTTCACACTGTTTTTACGTCGCTAGACCCTTTTTGTACTACAGATCTATCTGCCTCATTGAAATGCAACCGAAACACACATGACGAGATAGCATCTGAACAGTAACACGCGGGAAACGTGCCAAAATGAAGTCACGGGAGCCTCGGTGACATCACGTGCAGGGGTCACGGGGTGACTCGTGTGATTATACATTCAGAGCCGGTTAATGAGGAGCCAGAGTCCGGTTATGAGAAGCCTGGTCTCTTCCTATTTCCTCTATTATATCAAAAACATGACTGCAAAACAGAAGAGGGCGCCCGCGAGCGAGTCCTCAACGAATGGGGGTGAAGCTAAACGGCTAAAAACGAAAGGTTAACGTAGTTTCTAATCACTTGCCCAGAACTTTCCTTTAATTTTGGAAATTAGAAGCATGTATTTCACTAAAAAAGCAAAGAATACTCACCTATATGTTTACTTTTTTCTACAGCAAACGGCTTTTGGGCAGCAGGACGGTAGCATTACTGCTACTGAGTGCTGATTGGTTGGCGAGCGGAGCAGCTCATTGGCTTTTTGCGCTCACTGACGTCATGAACGTATATGAGGTGCCGTTTTAAACTCCCGTAACTTTGTTTGAAAGCATTTAAAAATCTAACAGTGGTGTTAAAATGTTTTACGCTGTTTTATGTTCAGGAAAATTAATGTATTCTTTTATATTTAAAGTGTTTAAGCATTTATAAACTATGATTTTGCTCAAATGCTTCATCTTAACCCATTCATTTTGGACTTGCTCCGGAGCGCCCTCTAGTGTTTGAGAAACTCGGAAGATATTACAGAGTGATAATTCTCCTCTCTACTAGTGTGTCTCAATTCACGGGCTGCATCCTTCAAAGGACGCAGTCTACAAAGGCGTGTCCTTTGAAGGCCGCTTAGACCCGTCAAGGCTGAAATGAGATGAGACGTTCTGCTCACAGAACCGCTGTTCCCGCCCTTACCGTTGCATCATGAAACGCTGCTTCTGTCAAGTTCTTTTAGTTAGTTATTTAAGCGTAGAGCCAGACACTTTGATTTTTGTTTTATTTTTATATTTAAAAGTGTGCTCTTCAGCTGCTGTCTGCTCCTCTGCTGATTATGTCCTCACCGGCACGCAATGAACCTCGAAATATGCTGGCTGGCGAAGGATCCACCCGTTGGATCCTTCGTTGCCATGGAAAAGAAGGACACGTTTCTCTGCCGCATATGAAGGAGACTTTGAAATGGGACAGCCTAGTCGCTCCACTGTGACGCAATCAGCCTTCAAATGCAGCCTTCGAAGGATGCAGCCACTGAATTGGGACGCAGCTTACAAGTTCTCTGATACATCCTCCCGGCCTGAGCTGTGTAGGCAGGGAAATGTCCACTTGGTAAGTGCCGCCCCTGGTGGTCATCGATTACTCACATGACCACATTTACATTCAAAACTAGGATTTTCTGTGATGTCACAAAAAGCAACATTTTATATCTATCCATCCTTTCAGCCTACAACAGTTGAGCCCTGCCGTCTCACTGAAGTTAAGGAGTGTTTCAGTCTGGATTGCTTTATGAAAGAGGCACAACACAGGGAAGCCATTCAAAACAAACATAATTTACATATCTACCTGAAGACACAGTCACAAAAACAGCCTGTTTAATTCTACGGGATAAAGAAAGATTGGAAAATGTCATGAAAAATGAATTATGATCATTTTTGCTACATACACCCACACATGAGTGGACCTCAATGAAAGAAAAATGTAGGATATGGGCCCTTTAAGTTGGGGTGCTGACATTTTAATCAGCATAAATGTGATGTACATAGTGATGTAATGCTAAATGCCACGCAATTTGAATTGTTTGGATAATTTACATCAAACATAACGTGTTATAGCATATTATGATGGAATAAATACAGTTCTACACTTATTACTGACACCACAAACGCTGATCACACTCTGCTCTCTCCCGTTGTGGAAGCGATTTATGCAAATGAGCTGCGCTACAACCAATCATACTGTGGATATGCAGGGACGGACTGGCCATCAAGAGAACCGGTGTAACGAAAAGCTGACGCAAGATTCTCAGAGCATCAACTTTTTAAAAAAAATTATTTTATTCTAAGAGTGCAAGCATCAACTTTTCACATATAAAACTGCAAAAAAAACATGTAAAACTGCAAATGTGAAAAGCTGACACTGAAAAATGTTTACAACGTACAAACATTTATTCCACGATGCTATTGCTTAGTTTAGCAACCTGGTATTTATGCCTGCGTTTACTCTGTGTCTTTAGTAGCTCAAATGGTCAAGAGGTCTGAATATTATCTATTTGCTAGCGTTGCTACAAAAAACACGAGTGCCTTAAAGCGCCACAGACATGGCTGAGAGGTCTGAAAAAGTGCGGCTAGGCTAACCATGACAGCTGAAGCTAGAAAATATATTTCTCTGTTTCTCAGTGTTCCAGCGTCATCCACTGAACAGAAAATCATTGACCTTGTGTAGAAGAGGACTGGCTTTAGTCCACCGTAAAACTAGACCAACATTGTTGGTCACCAGCAAAACCAGCATATGTCTTTTGGTTGCTGGTACGTTAGTCAGCGACAATGGAAGTTAATATGCTGATTACAAGCAAAACCATCATATGTTGTGTTTTGATACTGGTAGACTAGCTTAGAACAGCATGAAATGCTTGCTGGTCTGTGCTGTTTGCAATGACTGAGGCACTGACAAAGTAATGTTAAGGCATTAGCTGGCTAAATTCTTTAAAAAAAGGCTTAATCTCCAGCCACGTTTAGCCATACCACCCTGCTGAAAAAGACCATTAGAACCATTACAATGTAAACCTAAACCTAGTAATTTGAGGCCTCAATATAGTAATTTGTGGCCTCAATAAATTAATTTGTGGCCTTAATATATTAATTTGTGACCTCAATGTAGTAACTTGTGGGCATGCCATATTAAAAAATAATCACCATGTCACCTTAGGGGCTCCGTAGGTTCCAATCCCTGATATGAAATGATATGAAGTCTTAATAAACAAGTATACACAAAACAAGACACGACAGCTGAAATAAGATCATTCAACAACTTTGGGGATACTCCATGATGGATCATGCTTTATTTAACTGTAAAAAGAAGTTAATTAGCATGATAATCGATTATAACTCACTCATTTTTGGTAGCTCTTCTTACCATCACATAGCCTCCTTCATAATGTAGTTCACAGAGCAGCTCTGCTGTATTTTTGATTCGTCTGAGGGTCCACATGGCTTGTTGCTGATAATTCTATTTTGTCAAAATAGTTCTTAGATTACTCAATTGCTAATATAAATAATGGACACTACTGTAATTAAATTATAGTACTATTAAATTATTAAGTATGTCACATTTTTTAAATATAGTTTTGCTTTTAGTAATCAGACAGTCATACTTGACACACTGTGTTGCTTTATTGTGTTGTCTGAATACACTCCAGCAAACATCCATGTAACCTTACATCTAGATAGTGAAATTACGTAATGTGTTGCTCGTCCTGCGCTGTGTGCAGCAGAATATTTTAAAGCAGAAAGCAGTGAGCACGTGCCGCGCATGGTCCATGACCCACTTAATCCATTCCCTATCAGGAATTTACTGTAATCTCCACAGAGGGAAGCTGCTCTGTCTTACTTCATTCACACACACACACACACACACACACACTCAGCACCTCTGGCTCTCCACGTTTGAAAGCACGTGGGCCTGAGAGGCTGAAACGTGCAGTGAGTCAGATGAATGAAGCTCAGAGGCAAAAACCAAAACTGCACAGCAGACAGCAGTGAAACATCCACACACACACACACACAAACACACACACACTCTAATCAGCACATATACCACTTTGAAAACAAAATGATGGAGCCATATGGAAGAATTACATTACACTCTAGCAGCATGTGGCACAAGACTGAACTAAGAATTTTTATTCACTGCATTTATTCATTTTATTTCAGTTTCATTTGTGTTATTTATTGCATTATTCCATATTCCTATATTCTTGCATTCTATTTATTTTTGCCTGCATTTTCACCTGAATTTTACTTACATGAACAAAATTGAAACAGAACACTCACAATATGTTTTGTGTACCACAAAAAGCCTAGTTTAATTTTTAGGATAGTTTTCCAACCTCTCTTTATGCCTTAGAATTTATGCCACATTGATTAAAACTTGTTTATCCAGCCAATAAGTGTGTTTTTTGTAAAAACGCTATTTATCATTAGAACAAATGTAAATAAACATAGAAACTGTTAATTAATTATGTTGTTGATTTTCTAAGAGAAAATAAGTTAAAGACCCAGGGAACCTAAATCTCTTTTCTTTCTAATTAGGTTAATCTTGTTCTTGCAGGCAAACAGTAAATATGTAAAAAAAAAGTAAATCTTTGAAAAATGTTCCAATGGCCAATAAATGACCGATATATTTCATCATATTTCTCTCCTCTTGATGTAAACTGGGCAGTCCCAATCTTGGGTATCACCTCCATAAGCATTCCCCTGTCCAATCACAAGGCTGATGTCTTTTGCCCCACCCACACAAAACAGACTCAGAGAGTCAGAGAAACTTAGCGAGCTAAAGCTAACCCAGCTAACCAAAAGCAAGCAAGCTAGACCACCTGTGTGTAGCAGCCTGTCAGCCGTTCATTCGTTTATCCACACACCAACACTGTTTGTTCCTTCATTCACACGTTGCTTTGTCCATCTGTCCATCTGTGACTCTTTTTATCTAGTTACAGTCATGATTTTAGTTCTGTATGAGTGGCGGAGCTGGCTAGGAGTGTTGGACAAATAGGCGTCAATCAAGCTGCTTGTTAGCCACACCCACTTTTCCTCAGATAGGTCAGATCAGCGTTTTTAACCCGTGTCTCATCATATTTATATTTGTCATTCAAGCTGTGCTGGATGTTTAATATAACACTCAAGTTAGTATCATACAAACATATTTTACTTTGTGTTCTCTGGGACTTGTTAAATAAACTTAGAATGAACTTGGTATTTAAACTTTGTATTTAAAAAAATAAAATAAAACAAAAAATATAAAATGTGCCACAAATTTTGCAAAGCCCTCATTTCATGTTTGTATATTTTCCAATATGTTAAGTTCAGCAAATAAACAGTGCATTAAAATGTGCAGAGGTGTGCTCTCTGTAAAGGATGAGTAAACTTATAAAATATATAAAATGTATAATTTGACCAGGGGTGCCCATACTTTTGCATAAAACTGTGTTAGACACCAGAAAGCGACCTGTTAAAAATGCATATATATGTATATGTAAACACATTGGACTCCATCGAGACCGCACTAAAACATTGTCTGTAAACAACAGTAAACATGTGTGTATTTTAAACTGTTCCAGGTTCATTATGGCCTCTTTTCCACTGCAGGGCTGAATGGTTCTGAGCACGGAGGCAAACTGTTCCAGTGGCATTTCCACACAGACACGGTTCAACACGGAACGCTAAAAAACCAGGCTCAGCCTGTTTTCTCAGCATCCCGTTATTTTAAAACCAAAAACAATGAAATAAGTGCAGTTCGCTCACACGGAAACCACATAAATGAAAGCAGTGCATGATTTAAAATCCACCACTTAATAAACAGCAAAGCTTCAATCTAACACCAATTTCTAAATGTTAAACGGCGCCACCAAGAAAGGAGAACTAGGAGAGAGTAACTGGTTAGCATTAGCTTAGCTAGCATGCTGCCAGCTCTGCTCATCACAGAACTGATGATTCTTACTAACTAAAGCTTAAATGATGTAAGTTTAGGTGATAATGACTCAAATCTGAGGAAGCAAAGTCGAGTGGCTGATGTTAGAGGAACAGAAAACCGAAATTAAACCTGCTCTTTGGTGTCTGAAACTGGAGCCTCCTAGCTAAGCTAATGCTTACTTAGTTAGCTCAGCTAAAGAGATCCAAACACCCCAGTCCAGGTTTGATTCGACAAACTGATGCTCTGCTATCACAAGTATAGATTATAAAAACTTAAAACAGCAAGAGCAAAATCAACTGATCAAGCCGAAATTGAACCTGTTCTGTTGTGTCTTGCCCTGTAGCCTGCTAGGCTAAGCTAACGCGAGTGTACGGTGCCTCCCACTGCAGTACAGACTCGGTTCTCGCAAATCGATGATTAAAAACACCCGTTTAGAGGATTAAGACTCACATCTGAGAGCACAAGTTCGAATGACTGATGTTGAAGTGACAGAAATATAAATAATAGAATTTTTCTGTGGTGGCTTGAGCTGGGCGAAGCTAATGCTGGTGTAGTTAGCCATCTACAGGTGAAACCCACCGCAGTACAGGCTGTTTCAGTCACTCATGCTCAAATAACACCCGTTCAGAGAATGAAGAATCGAGAGCACATTAAGAGACTGGAGTTGGAGTGACAGACGGAATCAAACGTGTTTTGTGGTGGGTGGTGTGTGCTGTTAGCAGTTAGGCACTTGTTTGTGCAGTTTTCTTCGGTATTTCCTAGTTCTGAACGGAAAGGTCCAGTACATCCTGGCTCTGAATGGAATGACCCAGTACAGCCCTTTAGAGGCGTTTGCCTCGACAGTGGAAAAGAGGCCTATTGCTTCATGTTTTTGTAATGCATTTTTATTTGTGTCAGTGCATGTACACAGATATTATTTTGTTAGACGCTCAGCACATGAGGAGCTTATAAAACCAAATAATTATCACTAACATGGTTTGCAGTTGTTTTATTTTGATTGCTTTGGTGTTTAAAGTTGGAGAGGATGTGAAAGACATGGCATGTGTAGAGGAGTGTGGAAGAGAGAGAAAGAGAGGATGGGGACAGCACACGTGTGAAATGGTCATTTGACGTCATATGGGGCTGTCGAAGCAGGACAGGGCGATGGCGAAGGCTTGCAGCGCGCACATGGGAAAGCTGTAGTCCAGTGCAAACCTATCTTCATCCAGGCGACCAAACAGCATCACAATCTTGTTTGCTGTGGAAACACAAGCAGGTAAAAAGGCTCAACAGAAGAAAAAGAGACTACAAAGACAGAAAGACAGCTAAAGAGCAATGGTAGTGTAAGAGAAAGAGAGATGGAGAAGGAAGATAAAGGCAGAATCAGAGGAAAATATCCATTCAAGCACATGCTGAGAGTAAATGCTGGTGAACTTACGACTATCAGGACAGATGAGCTGAAAGTTCTTCAAGGAGCACTTTGTGACCCTTCCATGGAAGTCGAGCTCATGTACCCCCGTGTCCTTGTTCAACATCGGAGCTTTGTTCTTCAATTCAATCAAGTTCCTCCCGTTATTATTGTGTATCCTATTTAATAAAGACCCCTGTTGAAAATAAATACAAACACAGATATTAGAAAATAATTATTTATGATAAATTTACTCTGAATTGTAGAACCCAATCATGTAAAATATTTTGCAACAGTGTAATAACCTTCCTAAGAATGTAGTACAATGTCTTGACTGACAATGTAATAATATTTTCACAGATATCGTGTTTTCCAAATGGATGGTCCAATAATTGTGTCTGATAATAAAACACAGAGTATTGTAGCCCTTTAAACAGTTGTGTGATCGCTGTAATAATACTTGTAGTTGATTGTCCACATATATTATGAATAAAACAATTCAGTCATCTGTACTGGGTTAAACAAAATAATGAAAGCACCACATGAAACACTCCTACACACTGGTCATTTTATCAGAAACACATACCATATGGGTGCCCTTTGTAGGTTTATAGTTACAGACTGTAGTACATCTGTTGCAGCACAATTTTTAAGCCCCCACTTCTACCCTGTCCATCAACGGAAAGGGACCACCAAAGGTACAAGGTAGGTGGACATAAACTTTAAGCTCAGTGTAATACCAGTCAGACTGAGAATGTAATACATTCTAAATAATATAATAAAGTGTTAAATTACCAGTTAAAATATTATCACATAATTACATTATGTCCTAAAACACCTAAGAGCTCATGAGAAGTGTGAGTGGAAGAGTGTGAGATAATCTGTGTGAGATAATCTGTGCTCATGTGTAGAGCTGTATAACTTACAGCAACAGTGTGAACGTAAACAGGAATCCGCTTCAAGTCCCTGTCTATGCAAGGGATGATGACAGACATCTTCTGTAACTTTCGAAGTCCCAGCATATTGGTCTCCTACACGGAGAACATACAACATGTGTTCAGTCACTGAGCACTGAGCAGCACCCAATAAGAATCTGTGTGTGTGTGTGTGTGACTGCATATACTTACATAGTGGACAGCTGCCAGCTCCTGCATGCACTTATCCCCCTGCAGAGCTCCGTGCTTCATGTCAGGGTTTCTGCCGTTGTCATACAGTGTGTATTCACTCCGCATTCGATTGGATCTGCAGTTAACACACAGAACGTTTAGAATATATGATCCAGACCTACTGAAACAGGGTGACAGAACTACAGAGAGTACAGCTACACAATATGTTAAAAAATACTATATTGCAGCTACATGTAGCTAGATGCTGTGATTGTGATCATATTAAAAACATCTCCATGTAAGAAGGTTAAAAATGGACCTGAATTATTTTGACCATTGCTGGATCAAAAGAACCCATATAAACTCATGAGGAACATCAAGCATGCTAAGCTAAAGGCATACTGCCACAGCAAGCATGAAAAATGTATCTAACCGCCACCTCCCCCCAAACCTCCCATGCCGAGTCTGCTTTTGGCAGAAACTTGTACGCACCTCAGTTGCCCCACAGTGCTCTCAGCCTCTTGAGATGCATCCGCTGTGATCACATAGGTAGACGTCTTGCTGTTTTTCCTAGCGACCAACAGTAACTGCTGAGAAAGAAAGACAAGATACATTAGTTAGAACTGCACTGACCATTAGAGAGAAGAAGCAGAGTAGGGGTGCACAATATATCAGTGGATGATAGACTGAACAATACACAGGAAAATGTAATTATTATAATTGGTCTGATATTGGAACTAGAGTTTTTCAATAATAACCAATAATTTAGTGCTCTATTTGTACTAGTAAGTAGTGCACGCTTAGCTTACCTTCATGAAGTAAAAATGTTTACATATAATAATGTAAATACTTATAATAATTGTCATGTCTGGTTGGCTAACATGTGATTACTATATAAAAGTACTCAATGATCCATCCCGAGTTTTAACCCATCTCACAGTCACTGCACTTTCACAGCGTGAGTTTTAAATTTAGTGAGATTATCGGTTATTGATATTACTTCTGGTGTCGTCCACATCAAGATATTAATTTGGACATTGTTATTGACCCTGAAATTCTATATCAGTGCAGAGTTAAGCAGTTTGTGCATGTTATGTCTATGGCTGACCGCTCTAACCTTTACGCCATCCTCTGTCTCCTTGAACAGCTGGTAGGAGGGACCATCCTTGCTGCTTCTGTCGCGTTCTATGCAGCACTTGACCGTAGCACCTGGTGCAAGCGGTCGCAGCACAAACTCCTTTGTGGTTTCCACCATGGTGAGTTTATCCTCTGAGTCATCGGGTGTGGGACTGAGTCTCTTTTTGTGGCTCAGTCTGATGCTGTGGGCCGGTTTCCTCAGCGCCAGCGTTGCTCTGCTGTTCCTCCACACCATCCTCAGTAGCTGCTGGAGAGGGAGTGTCTTTGGGTTCCTCCGCAGGTTCTGGACATGGATTGAGGGGCGTCACACTTATCAGCAGGCCTCCTCCATTTGGAGAAACTGGCCAGCTTGGTTGCTGGAGATTATCTTGCTCGTTCTCCAGCTCAGTGTTCTCTTGTTGTTTTTCCTCATTGAGGCATTTGTTCCTTCTTCTGCCTCCAAAGCCCCTGCGCCGATCTCCCTCTTCTGATCTAAAAAAGTTCACTCCGGGAGCAAACATTCTTTTCAGAATCTCTCTCTTCCGACGCTTTTCTCTGTCCATGTGTTCCTGCCTCGCCTCCTTTATTTTCTGGATCTCCATTTGATGTTCTTTCCACTCTTTCTGTTGGTCCTCCTCTCTCGGATTCACTGTTTCTTGGAGCAGACGTTCCTCTTTTTGCTTCTCCTCCTCCATCTCTCTCTTTATCTCGGTCAGTTGTTTGTCTACCTCTGGCGTTTCATTTTCTTTCTTTATCGTAATTTCATCCAGATTGGGCACCCTCTCCTTTGACACGTTTCCACTTTTGTCTTCCTCAATCTTGATTTCTCTTCTCATTTTAGTTTCATCCCTTTGCTCCTTTCTGTCTTTCTGCTCCTCAGACTCTTTGTCCACTTCTTTTACGTTCTCCTTAAACTGCATTTCTTGTTTAAGTTCTATCTCTTGTTTCACATCTGTCATTTCTCTCCTTCCTTCCAGCCTTCTCTCCATGTCTCTCAGATGTTCTTCCTTCTCCTTAATCTTTTCTACTACCATGTCTTTCTCCCACTCTGTCTCTTTCTTCCTTTCCTCCACCTCCTTCCCTAGCTTCTGACTTTCTTCATCTAGCTTTGCCTCCACTTCTTCTGTCTTGCTCTCCTTCTCTCTCCACTCCTGCTCAATCTGTAGCTTTTCCTCCATCTGGATGTGAAAACTTTCCTGCAGTTTCATTTCCATCTGCCTTCTCGTCTCTGGTGCTCGTTCTTTCTCCATGTTTTGCTTTTCATGATCTCTCTTTGCTTTCTCTCTTTCTTCATCCATCTGTCTCTCTATCTCTTGGGCTTTCTCTTTTTCAGCCCTCATTTCTTCCTCTTTTGCTCTCTCCATTGCCAGATATCTGTACTTCCACTCTTCCTCTCGCTTTTTCATCATTTCTCGCCATTTCTCTTCTCTTTCTGCAGCTAATTTGCTTTTCTCCATCATCTTTCTCTCCATCTCTCTCAGTTGCGCTTCCGCTTGCCTCTGTTTCTGGAGCTCTTTTTCCATTCGTTTTTGTCTCTCCACCAGCTGTTTCTCCATCTTTTGTCTTTCATTCTTTCTTTTTCTCTCCATTTCTTCTAGAATGGCCATTTCTGTCTCCTTCGCTGCCTTCCTCTCCAGCTCAATCTGTGCCTCCATCTTTCTTCTCATCTCTTGCAGTTCTTTGAACTTTTCTTGCTTCTTTTTCAGTTCTTCTTCTCTCTTTCTTTCCTCCAGTTCCAGTCTTTCATTCTCAGTCTGATATTTCCTCTCTTCCTCTCTCTGTCGGTCCTTTGGTCTTATGCTCTCCTTTGTCTCTCTCTCTCTCAGAACGCTAAACTCTTTGAGCTGCTTCTCCTCTCTGTGTCTCGTTATGGAAGCCATTCTGAGCTTCAGTTCTTCCAGCTCTGTTTTCAGAGCCTCTTCTCTCTTCCTCTGTTTCAAATCCTTCATCTGTCTCTCTTTCTGTATTTGCTCAAGAAGAAGCAAGCTCTCTCTCTCCACGTGTGTTTTGGTCATCTCCTCTCTGTGCTCTTTCTCTAGCACTTTTTTTCTCATTGTCTCCAGCTCTTGTTCCAGGTCTTCTTCTTGCTCCTTGCATCTCAGGATCTCCATGGCGTTCTTTCTCACTCTTTCCTTCATGGCTCTGATCTCTTTCACTGTGTCTCTAAAACACTCCTGACCCTTCGGAACCATCTACAACACATAATAAATAGCATTTATTGGGCTGCAAGGTGTGGACCAGTAGCATATTGTGACTATATTGCTATATATTGTGACTACCCTTTAATGCATGGTGTTGCCTTAAGGCAATAAATACTCTCTTTTAACCTTCTATTGCATGATGTTGCTTCAGGGCAACAAACTAATTTTTCTCACTTTACAATGACTTTATACATATGTAAAGACAAGGATAAGGTTAACTATATTAAGAGCAGAGTTTGAGTAAGTCGATGAAAAGCATGTACTTGGTCATACTGTCTCTTAGTCGGCACATTTAAACCTCTTTTTTACATTCAGTATAAATTTTTTTTTGAGAATTTGCAGAAATATGTTTGTTGCCTAAAAGCAACATTGTGTGACAGTGAAATGGATTTAGCGAGTCACAAGCCAGGTCTCACCACTTCAGGGAACATGGCTCTATACCATTTTTTCCCATTGTCGCACAATGTTACTTTAGGGCAATGTACTCCAAAAGGACCCTTGCACACATTATTACCATTATATTTTTGTGTTTCTGAATTTAATTAACAGGCCCAAAAAAATAAATCAAGGACCATTTTATGCAGAAAAAGTTAAATGAATATATTTTTTAATTGCTCTCATCATGTGTGCAGTAGAGGGTTAGTTTTAAGCCTGATTACAACATAAAAGGTCACTTTTTTCCTTTTCTTTGCCAGACTAAAAGTTCTATTAAGCAAGGTTATCAGTGTTTTTAAAGGCTATATGATAAAAATGAAAAATGCTATACAATATAATGCTAAATGATAAAAATAATCCTAACTGAAAGATTCCCACTTCAGAGTCACATTTCAAAATACTTCACTAAACAGGTACAAATGAAGCCTTTGAAAATACTTATAAATACTATGTGGCAAAGAAAAGCCATAGAAATATTTGTGCCTCAGTTTCTTACTGTAAGTCCATTCAAAAACTTGCATTATCAGGGTTCCTGTGGGCATCAGCAAATCAAATCAATTTACTGTTTTTTACAGTTTTAATACCACAATTTGTGTCATTGTGTCATACAGTCATTTCATGAAGTGTTTAATACAGAAAGCTTCACTTTATAAGTAGTCTACATACCACTACTATGATAATGCTAATTTCCACTAGCGATTTTAGGAGAATTTCAGTGTCTTTTCAGCACCAAGCTAGTGTGCACTTTGTTTGCATTGCAGAATTATCTTCCATTGTCTTATGTGTAATCATGCTACTTTAATAAGAGAATTTATGGACACATTTTTCACAAGAGTGACCTCTTGGTGGGACATGGTTAAAGATTGGCTTGCAAAATTATGTTTGTTGGATCACTTGAATGTCTTTATTCATCTAAGAACATCTACGATTGGTCGAGATGCTTAGAGCGCAAAATTAAACATTGAAGGACTGGCTAAAGGCTTATTTACATATCGCAACCTGAGATATGAGTATCACAAATATTTCAATAATAATTAGCAAACAATATAACATGCAGCCCCTAAGCCTTTGCATGCAGCACTTTCTCAATGTCCAAAGTGAACTGTACAAACCCAAAGCCTGAATTAATCTGACTAAACATCTAAAGCTACACTAAAGAGTATTTTACTGTGAGCTGTGCTAAATGTTCTCACTACAGTCAATAAGATCATAAGTCTTGCCTGTCTTGATGACTTCCTCTCCTCTCTTTCTCTCTCTCTCTCTCTCAGCTTGCTGAGCTGCAGTTGTTTCTCCAGCTCTTGGAGCATCTCCAGCTCCTTCGTCTCCTCCTCTCTCACTCTTACCCATTCTATCCACTTCTTCCACGGAGCTCTTTCTCTATTCTCTTCCTCCTTCTGTCTTTCCATCTCTCTCTGCTTCCTCTTCTTTTCCAGCTTCCTCTCCTTCTTTTTCATTCTCATCAACTCCTTCTTCATCATCTCCAGCTCTCTCTCTATCTCTCTCCTCTCTCTCTGAAGCTGACAGAGCTGCTGTTCCTCTCTCTGCTTCTTCATTATTTGGCCCTCAAAGCAAAAGAGAGCCATTTTGGAGAAGCAGCTGCCCCAGCACCCAACGGCTGTGGGACTGGGTGGGAGTTGCCACTCTCGCTCCTGCATCATCCTCAGGTTTGGTTCTGAAATGTTCACTGATTAAGAACTACTCATGTAGACTATTCAAGTTGTACCTGCATTGAAATAAAGAGCAAAAACTTTAGTACGGAAACTAAAAATGTCTGAAGTCATTTTCTTGTACAAGAGGCCGAACTTGCTAGGACTGAAAATGTTAGCATTTTTGAATGAGAGAGAAAGAGATATACATATTTATTTATTTTTTTTGGCATTACGACATTTTTATGGCCTCAACTCAGGTTTAGTTACACTTTTTAGGATTGTTGTTTTGAATATATATGAATAGTTTTCCCACCAAAAATTTAGGAAGTTTAAAATGTGCCACTGTTGCCAACTATGAACTGCTGAAGGAGGACCAGAACACTATTCAATTACATCAATTACAGTCATTACATTTTTGTCACATAATAATGAACATTTCATAACATAACAGTTTGAATACAGAACTTCAATAATAATAATAATAATAATAATAATGGTCTGCTAGTGTCTCACATTGTGATTTCCTGTGTTGTGTTAGCATCAGGCTAATGGTGACATACATCAATACAAAGTTTTCAAGGCAGATTTAACATAAAACACGAACATCTAAAATTGGCATTCAAGTAGGATTTTCTCTGCTTCCTAAGCTATTTTGTAGTGAAATCATTCAGTTAATACTTTGGCTCAAAACGTAACACTGAATATTAATAGAGGAGCGGTTTAGCCTGTTAGCCTACGGCCTTTTAGTCTAGCTGTTAAGAAAATAGGTCAGATAGTATCACTAATATTTATGTTTTCATATATATTCGGTTTATAAGTATGTAATGATGATACATATTTTGTTTTAAACCGAATATATAAGATAACATAAACATTACTGATAGCTTTAGCCCGCATGACGTCAGGTCACGTTCGAAACCCGGATTGGGAGTTTCGAATCAGATCGGAGCGAATGATTCATTGAGTTCGAACAGTTGAAATGACTCGGTTTGAATTTCACTACAAACAGCTGCTGATTGTTTTCTCCTAATTAACAGCTGCAGCACAAATCCCACCATCGCTCACCTTCAGTGTGTTCTCTCCTCCGGACGGACCGCTGAATGATGCTTTGCTAGAAATTCTTACAGTTGTCTACTTGAAACTATCCCGGACGACGCTGTACGTCACAATGGGAACGTCTCTCTCACCCTCTATGGCGTCACAGCCCGTTGCCAGCGTTGTCGTCTCTGACGCCCCGCCCACATGGATTCTTCATTTATTTATTATTATTATTTTTAAAACCATTTATTTATTTGAATCACAGAGGTGGGATACTTCAAAATACAGATGAACATTAAGATATGTAACAAAGTTATGGAAATGGACAACAGCCCAAAAAATAAAACTAAACAAAAAGGGGAAGAAATATTGATGGCTTTCTACAATTTAAAAATTTACAAACTAATTTCATGATATATCAAACAAATCCACCAGAGGGCGCTGTAGCATTACAAACTGAGCATGTGGAACATCTGGGTCATTGTCAGAAAACCGCCTCGAAACATGTAAATGTGTCATATTTGTATCGAATATGTGTCATAAGCATCAGATAAACAATAGTCTTATCATTTCAGTATTGTTTATAATTTCAGTAGGTCTATTGGAGCTGTATTTATATATCTGTTGGTACAGCAGTTGTTCTATTTTAAAGTTTTTTGGGTAATTTGTTTTACCCTAATTCTCATTACTGCAATATGTGTCCACATATATGTTCTCATTACTTTTATGACTTCATTGTAAACTTTAAGGATAGAAACCAGCAACAGAGTGTTATGTGGTGAAAGTAAGCTGGCTGGCAGTGTGTAGCAGTAGCGACGTAAAATCACAAAATACTGTAGTTTGCATAGGCTATATTATATATTTTATTAATTTGCTTTTTTGTAGTTTGACAACAGTACAAACATTATTCACAGTGTAACTCTCAAACATGTTGCTCTAAAGAGATTTTGGTCTCTTAAATTGGAAAATCAATTAAATCATTCAGGTTTATTTTTAATTATTCAACCAGTTTGTGAGAATAACCCACTTGCTCTGGCTGCTCTTGTTGGTTCAGGATTGTGAGCTTTAAGACCTCCCTTATATTATAAGGCCTATAAAAATTCAAATTCAAATGCTGGCTTATAACATCATTATAACATAAGATCATGTATTTTTCTCTAACTTGTGGCATTATATTTTAATATCAGCTAACATAAGGAAAAAAAAACAAAAAATGAGAAAAAGTTGAATGACCTCAACTGTCCTTAAAAACAGACAATGAGACAAGTAGCTAGCATTAGCATGTTAGTCTTAGCACAGTCTGTCCAAAACAGGGCATCGTCTTTTATATTGTGACCTTCAGATTACACATCCTTGCACTAATACACCCTACAAACTGCAGTCACACTTTATTTGGATAGTCCCCTATAGATGCTCTACAAATACTTAAATCATTAACAAACCTTCTGGTGATATTAAGTTGATTATCAACAACATTGTCGTTAGGTTTAGGGTATTTTAATTTAATAAAATCTTTCACACTGAACTTAAAGTTCAGTTGCATTTAATAGAAAATAAATCAATGTTATTTAAAGACAGACTGAGCATTTACAAAGCATCTACAGTGCAACGTCCACATAACACTCAACTGAAGTTGGATTGCATTTAAAGGATAATTAGTTGAATGTTACTTAAAGATGTACTGAGCAATTGCAAAGCATCTACAGTGGACCATGCAAATAAAGTGATACTCAGACTGCATGTTAGATGTTATTAAAACAGTGGATATAAAATGAATACACACCCTTAAACCATTTTCACATTTAGTTGACCTCCAAGCTGGAATTAAAATACAAATATATTGAAAGACCTACAGAATTTTATGGCCAGCAGAGGAAAACGTCTATCACACAATACCGAAGATATTATTGGCAGTCATGGGCTGGAGGTTAGGGAACCAGCCTTGTGACCGAAAAGTTGCTGGTTCAACCCCCTTAGCCGACAGCATGTGACTGAAATGCCCTTGAGCAAGGCAACTGCTCCCTGGGTGCCGTGGCTAGGACTGCCCACTGCTCCAGGCAAGTGTGCTCACTGCCTCCTAGTGTGTGAGTTCACTACTGTGCATGTGTGTGGATGTTTCACTGCACTGATGGGTTAAATGCAGAGGTCTAATTCCTCTGTGTTCAAACACAGTTGGCTAATGATTCTGAATTCTATTCTATATTTCACTCATCTGGCCTGCTGGGAGGTTGGCAAGAAGAAAGCAACTGAAGGAAAAATAAATGGTTGTGGTCAGATTAAACCAAAGTACAACTTTCTGTCATGACTGCAAAAACCTAGTATGACATACCACTAAAACAACACCATCCCAACTGTGAAGCATGGTGGTGAAAGCATAACGTTACCTGGGGAACTTGACAAAATCGAAGAAGGATCAATGAAGCAAACCCAGGGAGATTCTGGAGAGGAACATGTTGAAATCTGAAAAGGAGTTGAAAATTCATAATCCAAAAGGACAATGACCCCAATCATAAGGTCAAAGCTAGCATGGAGTGGCTTGCTATGAACAAGATGGATGTTTTGGAGTGGCCTAGTCAAAGCCTGGACCTAAATACAACTGAAAATCTATGGAATGACTTAAAGGTTGCTGGTTATCAACAAAAACCCACTAACCTCCCCCAGCTTAAGCAGTTCTGCAAAGAGGAATGGGAGAGGATCTCCACATCCCATTGTACTATTCAAAACGACTGGTAGCTGTAGTTGCTGCCAGAGGTATATACTAAAGAAGAAATGTTCTTTTTTTCCAAATTAAAATGAGGTGTTTCAGGACAGAAGTTCTCAAAGTTGTTTTGTCTTAGTCCCCATTCGCCCCCCTGTCATTAATTTCACTTAACTAATGAGGACCATGTCTTGTCCATTTTGCTAGTTTTCTCCACCACTATCGCTGACATTACAGATGACTCATTAAGAGGTGCCAGATTGCTACGAATTGTAACTGGTCGGCACGCAAATCACATTTTAATAATGATTTATAACATCTACCATTTTACTCATTTATTCAACATATGGCCAAAACAGATTTAACATACCAAGTTAAATTACCTTGTTTTTAGTTGTTATTATTCAAAATCTGCAGACCCATTAATGTAAAATACTGACATTTATTTCTACGCATTTTACTTCTCATTTCACGTTTCACTCCTACCACCCCCACCTATCAGACAGAAAACATTCAGCTCACTCAGAGACCCTCCCTGATATCAGGTTTCACTCCCATGTGGAAAAAAGTGCTGATTTCTGATTCACATCAAATATAATTATTGTTATATAGTGTTCATTTTAGCACTGATTATAAAATAGCGCTTATGATAATAACGTGAATGTGGAGTTGGGGGAGCCCAAGTATGTTGCTGTTTAGAGCCTCCAAATGAGCGTCAGTGCAGCACTCCTGCAGATCTACTGCATCCTTTGTTTCAGCCCTAATATAACACAGCTTTTTTGAGTTCACGAGATGGTCCAATATTTAGCTTCGCATTTGTACACCTCTGGTTTACAATTTTTATGGTGCTTGGGGTGCGCTGCTCACATTCAGCGAGTCACACCGTCATCTTGTACAAGTACAGACACAGATAATACAGTCACTGACAGAACTTTTTGACGTTTTTCTTTATGTAATTTGAAAATGCCAGCTGCTTTTTACATTGTGAACAGACCAGTAGAAATAGTCCAAATTGACTTAAAATAACTGTCACATCACAGATATATGGTTTTGTTCCAACGATGATATATAGACATTAAAATAGATTAATATATATAAACATCTATGTTTTAAAAGCTTTGCATGTAATTAATATCCTCTTAGAGACATTGTGGAATGCAGGTACTGAAAGGTTCCTATTAAGTCAGTAAACAAAATTTAAAGTACACTTACTACAGTTAAAGGAATTACACTGCTGTACTAGTTACTTTGCACCACATTATCCTCAACACTGAATTAAACTGGCTGTTTTTGTTACTGTGCCTTTAGGATCAATACATGTAAATAACCTCTGTTCTTATTGGTTGCTCTATATTGTAAAAAACAAACAGATCAAATAAATCAAACCAGATTCAAAAACCAGTTCAGGCTGAAACCTCCTTATAACTTCAGTACGAATGGGCAAGGCTGAACTGCTGTAGGCTGAATAGCTGGATGGTTGAAACTGTGTTGCAATAGAATCAAAAATGTAATTCAAAATGGGCTGTTTTTGTACCTTCGTTTTAAACATCTGCAAAGTACTGAGTGGGGAGTGAATGGCAGGCTGTTGAAATTTTGATTATAGTTAAATACATTAAACACAATTTAGTATAAACTTGAATAAGATATGGTTTTCTATGATTTAAAATGAAGAAAGAAGTGTATTATTATTATTATTATTATTATTGTTGTACATTTCCAAAACTAAAACCAGGAAAACAAAAACTTCTGGTATGAATTACTGATCATTAAAAAAAACAAACAAACAAACAAACAAAAAATACAGAATGTCATAGTTTATATGTTTACTGTTGACTTTTATTTCAAAATCAAATTTCTTTTGATCAAAAGCAGCAAAGGAGAAAAAATGACAATGACTCGAGCATAAAATCCACCAATTAATCCTGCAATCGTTTCGCTCTTGCAAAGGACACATTTTGTGAAAAACTACCTGATTACATTAATCTGGCATTTGACTGACTATTTGAATACAAAAATATTCTGGTCTTTTTTGTTTTAGCTTCATGATTGTTTTGAATTTTTTAAGAAGAGAAAAAAACTATTTTTTTTCCCAGCCACCGAGGTCCTTTCTTAACTTCAGAAATTCAACATTTACAATACTTCAAACAGCCCTGCACAAGTC